TTTTTCCTTTAAGTATATGGTTGATACCGAAAGGTTCTCGTTTTCAGATTGGACATTTGAAAGAGCATAGGTTTTGCGCCATGAGCGCGGTCCGTATAACTTTCCGTTCAAAAAGTTGATGATAATGGTCACCCGTCATCAATATATTTATTGTAATAGCAGAGCCAGCAAGATGTGATTTCCCACCGATTAGGTTTCACTTGCTTGTTTCTCAGTTTGATCTCATCGTCAGGCGAGCGATGTCTCGGTGATTGATAGAGGAACTCTTGCAAGGTGAGCGTCGGCTCAATGTGGGTAGCGAGGGACTTTTGGAAATGTTCAACGATAGTATCGTAGAACAGTTGCTGCTTAGCCTGAAGACTATCGGGAGAAGCGTGGAGTCTGGCATCTAGTGCTATCGGATCTTCTGATACGGAAGGACTCTTCGTGGAGATGATCTCAGCGTTTGCATCGCTCAGTTATAAATCTATAAGAGGTCAACGTTAGCCAAGGCCAGCACTGATATGAGTGGGATACTCACACCCAGTTCCGGGGTTGTTCGGGTCATATGCCTTCCTCTTAATCTCTTCGGATTTTGGTTAGATCTCAAGGGAATCGAGCCGGGAGCCGTTTCTAGGCTTGGGTATAGTCTCGAATCCGAAGACACAGTGAGTGAGAGGGCGTGGGGGTATGATATGATGGCTCATATATACAACAGGCTAGATGTATTGAAACGGATAATATTAGAATTGATGTCCGAGGATAACAGAGAAAGGGTCGAAGGGAAAGTCATCAAAGTGTGGCATTGCTTGAGTGACCGACAACAGGGATCGAGTCACCAGCAGTGAGAAAGGAATTTGGTACCTGAAAATAAATGACCGTATTTAACATATGAAAGAGACGAATATTTTGAGATGGGGATTAAATAGGAAGAGGGAAGAACAGAAAAGAGAGAGAACAGGAAAACAAACGTGACCTCAAAAATGCTTCGGTACGTACCTTCCCAATTTGGTCTATACAGTATACAGTATATCTGAGAAGAGAAGGAGGAGGGAAGAACAGCTGTGATATTCTCCTCAATAAATAGCCTATGGGATCCTGGCCAACAAAGCAAGACATCATCCTCAAAATTATTTGCTCAAACTTTCATATCCTAAGCCCTCTTATAGCCATGATCGGGCTCACTAGGTAGAAGTTTGATGTCGAAGCTGTGGTGAGAGGTACAGACGCTACTATTTTCTCGATTCTCTTTAGTCACTGATGATTCTAGATTATATTCTACAATCTCTGAATAAACTTGAAGGCATTGCTGTCCCGATATCGGCGGCAGACGGTTTAAAAATTTGGGAAGCCACTGCGCGAATTTATGAGGAGATGCTGATGGTAATCAAAGTGAGTGAAGTTGAGGACATTGGGGAATTCGTAAGAGCTCAGATATGTTTGAAGAGGACATTTCAAGGCCTCTCTAGTTGGATGAGGAAAAAAAAAGAGATGCTCACATGCCGATTTGAACGACAGACCTCGTGATGGACTAGAAAAGTACTAGTCACGCGCTCTACCAACTGAGCTATGCGAGCTGGTTAGATATTAGTTTATCCGATGTTTATAATATATCCTTTCTTGATAAAGATATAGTATACTCGTATCAAAAGGCGGTACGAAGGCTTCCAGATCCATAGATCAATCTATAACAAGGGGTTAATGCCAAGGCGGTGAACATTCCATACTTGCACGTACCTTCGTCTTCCAAGCTCAATACTTAGCTCAGCGTCATGACTCGTTTTAAGCTAACATCTCTCTAAACTTTGCCTTTAAGTGTCCAGCTTTTCTCGCACTCGTGGCCTGGGCAAGCATGCTTACAAGAACAGTTCGTCAATTTCAGCCATTTCACAACCGCCTTAGACTTTCCACCCTCTACAGTACTATCCGCATTTTCGCTAACACCACCCACGCTTCATATTACGCGCAGTTCATTATATAGCCTTTCAAACAGGAATCACCTTCTCAATCACTATGAGTCCCATACTATATAGGTGGAAATCACCTAACTGGTGTCACCTTTTTCCAAAATAATTATCATATGACCTCGAGAAGTAATAATGTAGATGATAAGTTGAACACTGTGTGAAGTTATTCTCCCTCCGCCGCCCTGCTCACATAACCAGCTCGCATAGCTCAGTTGGTAGAGCGCGTGACTAGTACTTTTCTAGTCCATCACGAGGTCTGTCGTTCAAATCGGCATGTGAGCATTTTTTGCCTTCTCCAGCTATAAATTTTTTACAATCTGTAACGGTGTCTTTTTTTTTGCTCTCTCCCTTCATTTAGCCAATCTTGATAACCGCGAAGTAAAACAAGCGCCAATTGGACTGTGCACGGGTTAGTAAATTCATGGCTGCTACCTTTTGAGTACCGCGAGGTCTGGAAAATGGGACCTTAACGTGCATTGATGAATGTGTGTATATATGAGGTTATTTTAGGGTTATGTCTACGAAATTTTCATGCATGAGGATGATTTCGCTCCTCCGGACTAAATAAATCCAATTGGCCATCTGATATTGTTCGAATTGATCTGATGCCTAAGAGAATGGACTCTGAAATCGGCACGAAAAATGCCGATGTAGAATTTTTGAGTGGGTCCTGCCCTAAAAAAATCCGCCGCCCCATATATCACAGCCAGACCAAATAACCATCTAGGCCGGCTGGCCCAATGGCAAGGCGCTTGACTACGAATCAAGAGATTGCAGGTTCGATCCCTGCGTCGGTCAATATTTTTGTCGTTCTGACGTTCTTTTTGCTCCATTGTTGTCCAGAATGTGGCCAAAAATGGCTGTTGCACTACATCGTACGATGGTGTGTCGCCGTATGGCTGAGTGGCGCTTAGTTTTTAGAGTTCACGGGTTGATTCTTGAGTTACCAAGGGGGAGTAAGAGTAGAATTTGAATATTAGAATTTGATATATATTTCAGTATGTTTACTTCAGATATGTGATATACTAAATTAAACGTAAATTTGATACTGCACTACCCGGAGCATGCAGGTTGATAGTATGCTTCCCTATAGTAGAACGTCTAGAAAACAGTAAATCAACCACATGGTTAGAATATCAGACTAATCATATGTCCTGTCGGTATACAAATGTCTCATATTGGAGCCGAGTGGACATGGCATGCTAATTTTAGCGTTCGTTTTTAGATGTTGGCTAACGCATAACCTTGATTTCATTGTCCTCCAAGTTGTTTTAATGTTTGTGATAAGTAAGGCACGAAGCGCCTTTTATATACCAGGTGTTAAGCGGGACCAAACCGGCGGTCTTTGTCCAAAGAAGGTATGACTTTTATTTTAAAAGTAAATAATAATGGTCGCCCGTCATTGACATATTTATTGGTAATAGCAGAGCTGGTAAGACATGATTTCCCACTGATCAGATTTCACTTGATTGTTTCTCAGTTTGATCTCACTTTCAAGCAAGCGATGTCTCAGTGATTGATAGAGGCAGGCTTGCTCATTTATAAATCTATAGGAGATAATCGTTAGCCAAGGCCACTAGCAATGAGTGAGAGTTCCGGATATCAACAGCATGACGTATACCATTAGAGTTCAAAAACCACCTTTGTATATACTCTCGGAGAGCAATTCTTGATTGAGACATCCCAACTTCGACTATAAGTGATGGCCACTTACTAACAAGCGTAGAGTGAGAATGGACTTCGGAATCATACTGATATCCGGTTGCTTTGCGCAGTTGAACCCGGCCACCTCTCTAGCACTAGTCGCCCACCAGCGCCCTGATTGATTCGGTAAACCAGCGGCAGACATTGCATCCCCGAATGAGTAGTAGAGCTGGCAAACAACGCATTCGTGCTGCCCGCTAGGCATGATTATTAGTAGTATGTTTCGATCGTCAAAGTAAATCGCACTCCACTAATCCTTTCGCGAAGAAGGTGTTTGCGTGGGGAACCGCCCACGTCAGCTACGGCTTCAGAGGTAAAAGGTATTGAGTTTGATTTGTTTCTTTTGGTCCCTCTAAGCATTGATTGTTTGAGGCTTCTTTTGTCGAACGTTCAGTATCATCAGGAATATGAAAGTCCGCTTCTGTAGGTTGAAGCTCGATGGGGGAATCGTGTTCAATTGTGATATTAGATGAGTTAAGGCAAGGCAAGATGTAGATTCGAGGAGCAGAGGTGTTTGCGTTGCTATCTCCGCCTCAGGGGTACTTTTATGGCTATCCATCACATGGCCGCTTAGTTCCATGGATGTAGTCTTTTATCTTAAAGGTATAGAGATAGCTCATATCGAAGGTTCCCTACTAAAGATATTCGGGGATAGTTTGAAAGCCTTAGAAAAGACCGATAGAAAGATGATAATGAAATGGTTTTATAATAGTGCTAGACTTTCTCTACAGATGTACGACCGATCTAGATATTATAGTACAGGACAAATAACCGAGGGAAAAAGTTGAGGCTAGGCCTCCACTTATCCAAGCATATCAGCTTTCAGGACATCTCTCGGCGTAAATATTGTCCAGAAATGAGACTTTTGCCTTTTCTCGTTGTGCTGAAACAATATCCGGACTTTTTCCGAATTCATAGGGCACTCTGACCTGACAACGAAATGGCAGGACTAAATATTTAGCTCTATTATGCATACTGGCTATATGTAGAGATTGATATAGATAAAAAGTGGATCTGGACAGGACCCCTCGCGCTCCACCATCTAACTTTGCAAAAGAACAAACAGAAGATTGTGCATCTAATAATCTAGGCAAGTAAATCTAAATGTAATAAGAAAATATATAAAGGAATGCAGGTCAAAAACGGCTGGTGCCCACGCCCTTGAATCGACAAGCCCCCACCTTTCAGCAAAGGATAATCGGTATCTAGAAATCTCGGGAGCGCGTTCCGACCTCGAGGAACTGCTCTATAAAACCACTGCCGGTCCGCGTGGACCAGGGAGATAAACTTCCTTTAAACAACCATCTAAGTCCCAAAAGCTTCCCCAGCTCTAACACCCACACCCACAACATGGAAATTCCACAGCCCCTCGAGGCCCCAGGCCCAATCAGACCAATAACCTGCGTCGAAATGCACACAGCAGGCGAGCCAACGCGAATCATCTGGGATGGAACCCCGCCTTTGACAGGTACCCTGCTGGAACAACGAGCGCAAGCAAAAGCCCAATTCGACGAATTCCGCCGCGTTCTCATACTCGAGCCGCGCGGCCACTACGACATGTACGGTGCGATCCTACGCCCGGAGACCGAGCTCGTCGCGTCCGGAGAAGCCCATATAGGCGTTCTGTTCATGCACAACGAAGGGTTCTCGACTATGTGCGGACATGCGACGATCGCGCTGGGCCGGTTCCTTGTCGACGTTGACGAGAAGGTATTTCCTCGTCGGAGGGAATTGAAATTTGACCCTGTGTCCCGGACGACGACGCTTAATCTTCATGTGCCATGTGGCGTGGTCGAGGTTACTGTTCCCACGTTGGATTCTGGGAAATCGGATGCGTCGCGGCCTGTTTCGTTCGTGTCTGTGCCGTCGTTTGCTACTGCTATTTCCTTTCAGGTCCCTGTGCCTGAGAAGTATCGCTGGGCTGAGCTTGCTGGCAGGGCTTCTGTTACGGCGGACTTTGCTTATGGGGGTGCGTACTATGGTATGATTAGTGCTGAGGAATTGGGCTTCCCTGGTGGACTTGGGGAGATTAAGTTGCAGGATATGGACCATGCGACAAAGTTGCTCAAAGAGGCTGTGGTTACGAATCCAGACTTGCGATATCTCATCCAGGATGTTCGGACTGCTGAGGAGGGATTCTTGTACGGGATTATGATCACTGATACGCGACTGGGACATGTTAGTGCTTCAGAGGGGACGGCGGCTGCTCGTGCGCAGTTAGATGCTAGCAGTGAGGAGACAGGGCTCTGTTTCTTTGCGAACCAGCAGATTGACCGGTCACCCACTGGAAGCTGTGTGGCTGCGAGGGTGGCTCTCGCACATGCCAAAGGGACTTTGCCGGCGGGTGAGAAGAGGATTTATAATTCCCTGGTGACTCGTGCATACAGAGGTATTCCTGGATTTGTTGGGTCTGTCTTTGATGATGCTGGCACAAGTGGAGGAGACCAACAGAGTGTTCGAGTCTGTGTCGAGGGATATGCGTATTATACCGGATATCATTCCTTTGTGGTAGAGAAGGAGGATGGCCTCGGGGTGGATGGATTCTCTGTGAGGGACATTGCACTATAGTGGCTATTTGAAGCAGCGAATTCAATATTTGGGTCTGTGTTTGTCTTATTTGAACTTAAATAGCGGTGCTTTTTGCCGCCTTTGCCCACCAAATAGAATACCATATATAAAGTTAGAAATTCAAGTTTCATTCTTGATAGTCAAATACTTCATGCCTAAACTCTCTATTGATCTATTTCATATAGCTAAGGCTCTGGGTTGAAACATAACCCTAAAATTGCGGTCTCGGGATCTCCATGGCTTCCGTGGTTCGACCATACGAGATACCACCTAGACGACTGATAGGCTTAAGAACCTTCAAATCGACAAGATTCCTTTCCTCGTTAATAGCGTCATCCCGAACCCAAAAACGAACGCCCTCAATGATAGCAAGCACACCCGATTTCTTACCGGGGGTGACCCGACTCTCAAACTCCTTCAACTCAACAAGCTTGCCCTCGATAGAAAGAATGGACTCCTTGACACGAGCAGGCTTTACAACAGAGGTAGGCGCCTGGTGCAGCCCCGAAATCTCCCACTCGGAGACACCATAAGGGGCATTGATAGAAGTCGAGTTGGCCGCTTCAAGGAAATGCTCGGAGATGATATTGATAACACACTCCCCAGTCTCATTCAAGTTCCTCAATGAGTCCTTGGCTTTCTCCATGGACCCAGAAAAGCCAACTGTGAACAGCGGCGGGTCGTGGTTGATGACCTGCGCGTAGCTGAATGGGGCGAGATTGGTAGTCTTGCCATCTGCAGACTGCGTACTGACGAGTGCGATCGGTCGCGGGACCATTCCTGAGATCAGGAACTTATAGTTGGAGGCCACGGGACGGCCCTCTTCATTGGGGTCGATCTCGACGTGGTCCTTCTTCAGACTCGCGCCGTCGTCGTTCGCGCCATCGCCTTGCTTCCATGTGGGGTTTGGAGACTTGGTGTATGTGATCTCGGCATCGCGGCGAAAATCTGGCCGCGAGGCTTGGGTTTTCTCGAAATCGGGGCCGACTTTGAGCATTGTGCAGGTGTGGCTGAAGAATTGAGCGGGGTGATTGGGTTGAAATGGTGCGCGGGGTGTTGCGAGATCAGCACTTGAGATTATAAATCAGCCATGCGGTTCAGTATGGGTTGCCCCGCGAAGTGTTGACGATGAGGGTCACCTCCGTCATGCTCGCTAGAAAGTGAGGGCAGTCAAATACTTACTACAATTGCAAGAATGAGAGCCTCCGAGTATTTCGGGAGGCAGATTTAAGTAGAAACATGGGGAATATGGGGCAGCTCTTTGATTCCAAGAAATTCTTATCGCATTTACTATCAAGCTTCGGCTGCAGCTTAGTGCCACGGATGGGGCTGCCGCGGACTTGTATTGCCACGCACTATATCACTTCCTCTACCGACTATCGGGCCGACTCCGGGGATATCGCCGGGGAACCTTTGCCCCTGGAGAAAAACCGAGTCACGTCATGTGTACAAGGTCTGTTTCAGGATTATGGGTGACCGTAAAGTTGTGTATTATTACATGTATACAGGACATTCGAAAATTTGCAAGTATTAATGGCATAAATCAGCAAATGAATCCATAGTATTGGTATTACTGACCTAAACCCACAACTGCGGGATTTTGTTTCTTTGATCCTGAACTGTCCACAGGAAATGGCCGGCTAAAAGCACCGTTCACCTGACCTTCTAGAAACTGATGTGGAGCCTGTCGGTAAATACTATATTCTTCGGTCTGTTGGGGAGATTTCCCTGTTTGAGATCTGGAATAAGCTTAAATCTACTTAAATAACCTTGGAATGAACGATCAACCGTTTCAGATACCGAGTACCTATACGGAGAATATATACACGTAGTGTTGCTAAAAGGGTCTATACTTGGAAACGTGGGGGAGTGAAATACGGGTCCCCAGTCCCCAACCCACTTCTCCCCATAAAAGCTCCATCTGCCCCAAAGCCTGGATCCTCGGAGTTGATGCGATGAATTTCAATGTTTTGATCCTATTTTAGTCATTCAAGTTCATGAGCGTCAGGCATATTATATTCCGTCTTCGCTTTATTCTTTAAAGATGGTATTTCTACCCCCAAAAGTAAAGTGATTACAGTATAGGTATATAAAACACAAGGGATCGCCTCGTCCCATGACCGATTGCTCCCGAACGGGGATGGCGTGGCTATTTCCGGCATAGCGGTCAAAGGGGGGAAACTGACTCCGATGTTTTCGAATCAGAACATTACCTTACACAAATACATCGTGAGATTTCCAAAAGTTTCGGAAATGTAAACTGTGCTAGAAAGAGTGGCGTAGTACAAGCGAAGGAAATCACGAGGCCTTATCAACTCCCCTCTTCCCCAACTTTTCTCCCTTGAACACTTCACACATACTTTTTGCTCCCCTATTAGCCTGGAACATTGGCCACCGTTGATTTCCTCCTAATGAAGCTTTCGCCATTTGACACCTTCCCTACTTCATCCGTCCGATCCTCGTCCTCCCTGAACCTTAGGATCCAAGATCCGCGCCGAGAATCCCCCGACGCGCTCAAGCTGAAGCTGGGAGTGTGCAGGTACCCAATGGGTCGAGGCCACGGATAATTATTGGCTCGCCATGAGCCTCCCTTCTCCCAAGAAGAAGAACGGCGGCATTCCTTCTGTTCCCAGACAAATCCGCTTTGTTGCCACAGATGGGCAGCCCCAAACCAAGCGGCGCCGCGTTAATGCCGCGTAAGTGGGCCTCATATAGTTCACGGACATAACTTCGAGGACCAAGACACTGACGTCACTTTTGTTTTATTCAGTTGCTTAACATGTCGTCGGCGCAAGATTCGATGTTCAGGTGAACAACCAGGTAGGATGGACGGGGCGTCTCGATTGTGGATATCTTGCTGACGGGTATATGAGGGAAGTATGTAAGACTTGCTCCGACTACAAGCATACCTGCCTCGGATATACCGAGTCGACCGCACACCGGCGAACGCAGTCCGACTCCGCATCTCGAGCGCCGCCCATTTCCGCACCGAATGAATTGAGCCAACCCGCTGCCCGGGCAGTCGAAAGTAGCTCCCCCGAACCAGTGTCAACAACGATAGCCAAGCCCTCTGCGGATAAGCCGAATGCGAAACCGCCCGGATCAAAGGAAGTTTATTCCTGGGATACTTCTGCGAACAAGGACTTGGATACACAGGCTGTTGGGGACAGTCCGGCGAGTGGTCGTACCTCTGTGAGCTCGGGGGGTCGTACACACGTCCCGTATTTTCGATACTTCGGCCCTACTGCGATTGTACCGGGGTTTAAACAAATGGTTGTGCAAGTCCGAGGTTCTCGCAAGAGTAACCCGTCCACGTCCTCAGAATCTCTCTCTCCTCTCAGGAGCCCTAAACTGTCCGATATTCACACAAAACCCCTGGCTACTGCCGCGGATAATCGGGACAGTCGCGATGCGAATATCCCATTTTATGACCGAGATGATGCACTTCCGGTTTCGAATATTGTATCCCATTTGTGCGAGCTGTTCTTTGCCCACCTCGGTTGCAGCTTTCCTTTCCTACAGCGAGAGAGATTTCTCCAGGACCTCAAGGAGAAGAAGGTCGACACCATGTTGGTAGATGCAGTGTGCTCGTTAGCTGCTAGATTCTCAATACACCCATCACTTGATCCTCCACAGGCTCCTCCTATCGATCGTTCGCAGCCGCCACTCGACGATAAAAAGTGGGACCGTGGCCTGCCATTTGGTCATCGCGCGATGAGCGGTCTCGTGGATTCACTGCCATGTCCAACCCTTTCTGCCGTCCAAGCCTGCTTATTACTCGCTTATGAACAATTCGGATCAAATCACGACAGTGGACTGTGGATGTACCTTGGAATATCCATTCGCATGGCACAGGACCTTGGACTGCAGAAGTTGCAAGGCCTCAAACATAATTATGGCAAGACCGGCGTCACACCGAGTGAAGTGATGACAGGTCACGCGGGGAAACTAAGAGAGGAACAGTATGATGATCTGGATGTGCATCTGACACCCAAGACTACCTCACAGACTTTGGTTGAGGAACGTGCCCGGGAGCGCGAACGGGTAGACTCGTTCTGGAGCATCTTTTTCCTAGACAGAGTCATCTCTTCGGGTACTGGGAGGCCAGTGACACTGCGCGATGAGGATATTGAACTCTGTTTCCCTCTTCAATCTGAATCTCAGCTACCAAATGGGTGGCCCGCGCCTTTCCCACCACTTATTCGGATCATTCATCTGTACGGCCGGGTGACCGACCTCATTAATGGCATTCAGGATGTCAACCTCGTCACACCTGATACGTTGAAGATGCTGGCTGGGATGGAAAGCGACCTGACCGGCATCTATCAACACTTGTCCCCCAGACTTCATTTCAACGCAGCCAATTTCCAGGCCTATGTCAAAGCCAAGGAGGGAACTAATTTCATTCTTCTCCATTTTTGGTTCCATACTCTCATAGTTCTCCTTCACCAACCGACGTTGTTGAACTCATTTGGTGGATCAATCCAACATCTCTACCCGAATAGTCGTGAGTTGTCGATGTCATCTGCCAAAACCATTGCCGATATCTTATCCTTCTCGGAACTTGTCGATGGGAAAAGCTTCATTGGCAATCCTTTCACGAGTCAGCCGATGTACATTGCGGCGTGCGCATTCCTCATGGAAAGTGCTTACTATGCGTCCTCATCCTCGGGAGCTGAGTCGCAACAACCTCAGCCACTGTTGGCGAATCAATCCAGTGGGTTCGTGATGCCCGCTATAGAGTCATCGAACGGGACAGAACGAAAGTCTATGGCGAAGCATATCTTGCTTGCTTCTGCCGCCAAAGAGAACTATCAGCGGTGTTATAAGGCCTTGAAAGCACTCAATACATATTGGGAAGGCACTGGGTATATTTTGACAGTGCTGGATCAGAAGGCCAAGGGGATTGTCGACCCTCTCCTTTACGCCGTGGAGGAGATGGAAATTACCCAAGGTATCGCCCCTGGGCAACCGCCTGGGCCAGGAGCTTGGTGTGCGGGCAATGCACCGACGGATTCTGTCTTTGATCCAGAAAGACCAGCCGGGGTCGCGGATATCTCATCTGATGGGAAATGGTCACCACACATTGACCCAAGTCAAGGTTTGTGAGATTCGTTGATATTTATGATAAATATAGCACTAACAACTTATATCTTGACAGCTATCGGATGGGCACTCACAGGAGCAACAAATTCTTCACAGCCCAACTTGAGTCTACTCTATCAGATGTCCACGACCGAGGCCGAGTCTTCGCCCAATACACCAACATACTCGTCGCAGTACAGTCACAGCTACCCAGTCCTACCGACGAATGCCGGCGAGGGGCCAAGCTCTTCATATGCGCAATCTATTGCACCCGCCAGGACTCACGAAGAAATGACACCCTCACTCAAGACAAATGCTAAATACCCCAATGTTCACGCCAGAACAACTAGCACCGACGCCTCTTATTACATGGGCATGAATTCGACCTATCCCGAATCAAACATGCGGACAACACGCCCCGTACAGACAACACAATCTACTTTTCCCGGGATGCTCCCCCCCGGGCTACCAACTTCACATATGGATACCCAACCCTCCGCATATAATTACTCGATACCCCAAGCAACATCCGATCTCCAGCCGGGAATGGACGATGCCAACGGGATGATGATCGGGAGTCATGAGGTCGATATGAACTCCATTAACCAGCAAGACTCTTTGCCGTTCGTTAACGGCGAGATCCTTCCGTGGTTGGAATACCTCCCTCAAGATGTCCTCAGTTTCTTCGGCGACCATCAAAATTATCCGCTCATGAGTCCTGACGATGTGTCACGACCTCCGTAATGTTCTTTTCGTATATATTTATCTGCTTGAGGCGATTTGCATTCGCCTTTGTTCCAGCGATTAGCTTCTGCTTTTGTTTATATATTTCCGACCGAGATGGGGGTTTTTTGGCGTCATGTTGGATGATATCCTTGCCAGCAATAGATCCCTCTTTTGGTTGTGTATGTTCAAACCGGCATGTTTGACTTGGAGGAGTTGGGTTCAAGTCCATTTCCAATAGACTAAAAAAAGTTTCTTTGCAAATTGATTTCTTTGAGATCCTAACAGACGGTATAAACCCACGATAACCTTGGAAGTTCCACGTTCAATACAACTTACGATGTACGAGTATATTGTGTGGCTTGACGATCGACATGTCAGTGGTTGCCCGGAACAACGGGGCGGTGAGCGACTGTCAACATACGTTGGAGTGTCTTGAATTTCGCGTTCACACAAAGGGGAATATGTGGAATTTGGTTTTACCAAGTCCCTAGATTCTTTTGTTATCACAGACAGCGCTCGAAAGTCTCAGAACGCATCCTCCCGCCAGCCATTACATGAGAATCTCATGGCGCAGTTGAATGACGACAGTCAACAAAACATCAATTGCACAGAGATCCTGAGCCCACAACCATTCACTCCTCCAAGCAAAGGCTTCCTTATATCCTCCCTCGAGTCCGAGCCCTCCCTTGCCGATAATGCCCAGATGTCCTCAACCCAAGACCATGAATACAGCTCCTCCTCGTCCCGTCATTCAACAAGCGACGTCTTCGGCCACGAAATGGACGATGAGCTAGACCAACTGAAATCCAGAGCCTCGAGTCGCTCATCACTAGCTTCGACCCCAGCCTCCGTCCTCATCCACCCAGTCGACAGAACGAATAAAATGCCAGAGATGGACATCAACGAAAAGATAGCCGGCTACAGAATGGAGGAGTCCGAGTTCGGCGACTTCAATGACAGCCCCGCTAACAACCGCACCATCCGCCAGCGCGAAGCCGCCTTCCGAAAACCGAGTTCCGTCCGGGCGATGCAAATGCACACAGAAGATGAAGCCGATGACGATGATTATATAACGCCCCCGCGACGACGACAAGGCCTCCGGTCACGGTCGCCCGGCCCCTCCCCATTGAGACGATCACCGTATTACTCGCCCAATGCACCGAAACAGCCGAAGCCCAAGAGGGAGGCTCCCCTCGTGCTGCTACACTGCACCTTGCTCCCGCCGTCCATCCCAGTACCTGGGGCATCGGACCCGAGGAACCAGGATATCCTCGAAGAAGAGCTACCGGCGCAATACTGGAGGCGCTGGCGGCGGCTGCAAGACCGGGTGGGATCGAGCGTGCTGCGCGATCGTGGCGTGCTGATCTCGCACCCGGAGGACCTGTACGATATCCTAGAGGAGCGGCTGTTGGAGAGCCTCGAGCTGAAACGGCCACGTCTTCAGAACGGGCACTTCGTGGGACAGGACGACAATGACTCTAGCTCTGGCTCCGATGGGGAATTCTCGGATATCGGAGAGAGCGAGACGGACGGCGAGCAGGGGGATGAGTGTCCCGACTGTGGGAAGCATGTGCGGCATGGAGATAGTAATCGTAAATGGGAGATTCAGGTATTTGCCGCGAATGGATTGATGCGCGCTGGGGCATGGGCTGCTGCGTGGCGCGATATGGAGAAGGTTGATGTCGAGGTAGGGCTTTGGTTGCCCTCTGATATTCGCGATAATTTGGAGAGGAGGCTTGCAGAGAAGCAGATGGCAGCTGTGGAGCAGGCGAATAGTCAGATACCGCAGATGTCGCCGTCGGTTGATGGTAGACAGCAGGTCCCACCGGAGTTTTTGCAGTCGCCTAGGCATGGCCATGCCCGCATGGTCAGTGATACGGGGTCTTTCACGACGTCTGATGATATGACTTTCAGGCAGGCTTTCCCGGAAGCTGGAGCTCGTCTCGACCAAACGCCTGAACTTGGGCTGGAGAAGAAGGAACATGAACCTGCTCTTTCGACCCTCCTCATCAATTACATCCGTGTTCTGGCGGCCGATAAGCGCAACCTTGCCCTGCTTGTTCTCAGTGTCCTTGTGGTTTTTCTTGCTATCGGTTCCCGCCAGCAACAAGTCCACGTCTACTCCCATTTTTCACAAGGCTCGGCTCATGAGATCCTGCCCTCCTCGGCTGTGCCGAATTTGAGCGCGGCTCCATCTCTTATTCCTTCTGTTTTTATACCGAATTCCGACTTTTCGACGTCTGATATAGTGGAGTCTGCTTCTCTGACTGTTGACTCTCTTGATCCTCATGCGCAGGCTCCACTTGAGGAGGATGAAAATTCTTCTTCTTTGTCTGATGTCCCCGTTGAGTTTTCTGTGCCGTTCGAGCTCATGGAGCCTACCCGGACTACGCAACTTCCCCTTGGGGGCAACCCAGAGACTCCTTTGGATGACACTGTGGACTCTACTGCTATGCCTCTAGAGTCCTCTCCTTCTTCCACTGACTCTATCGAGTCTCCCGTTTTGTTAGATGAGACTGCCCAGTCTGATAATCATGGCGAAGAAGAAGAGCTCGAAAAAGACGAAAAAACAGATTGATCCACTTTCTCAACCTTACGACCACGACAGGAACGATATCAGGCGATATGTTTGGCATTTTGATGATTTTTACAATGTTCCTCTCCATTTTGATGTCTTTTGCTGATTTAGCCATAGCCATAGCCCCTCGTTAGTTCAGCTTTATGATTCTCCTTATATTAGCGAACCTCATCTGGTTTTTCAGATTTATAAATTGTATGTTCACTCAATGATATCGGCCGTAAACGCTTTTTTCAAATGATATGATCCAGTTGGATCGATAGTAGTAGAAGTCTTTCTTTGGATATTTTTTTCTGGATATCTTTTCCTGGGATGACATAAAATGCCTTAAATCTTTTTATGAAACAATGCCAAGTCTAGACTTTGATATCTCCACTTTGCCCCCAGGTCCTCCCGCTCGCTTAGTGATCGTCCCTCTCCAATAGATTAGCTATTTGACAGATATTGGATATCAGATCTGTGGATTATGCATAGAACGTGTGGAGACAATGCACGAAACCTTCAAACTGGTTCTTCCATGTAACCTGTGTCCACATCTTATTCTAAAGGCGACCTGTCCTCACGATGCGGGGCAATCTCTACTTGTTACATCCCACAATGTACACCAGAAAGCAGAAAGCAGAAAGCAAAATGGAAAACTGATTCAAGGCTCGATATTATTGATTATCGATTAAAGGTAAGGTTAGTTGAACGAGTTCGATTTTGTATTGGGCAGGTTCAAGTGTCACTGGCCCAGCGAATTTATCCGTCAACCCAGCATAAGTCACAACCTTCGTAAAAAAGTGCTAATCACGTCCAGACCTTCGTAAGCTTCGTGACAGGAACATCTAGTAGCCGCCGCCGTAACCACCTTGGCCGCCTTGCTGGCCACCGTAGCCGCCCTGACCACCACCGTAACCGCCCTGACCACCGCCGTAGCCACCCTGGCCACCACCGTAGCCTCCGTTGCCGCCACCACGGTAACCGCCGCCGCCGAAGCCGCCGCCGCGACCACCACCGCCACCGGCAGCGCGCTCAGTAGCCTTGTCAACACGGATCTGGCGACCGTCGAACCTGAAAGAAGTGGTTGTTAGTAGATGTTCTGACGGGAAGTAGATGTCGCGCTGGAACAGGCGACGCCCATGATGCGCGACTGTCCCAGGACGACTTGACTTGACCAGTCGCTTAAAGCGGAGGAGAGGAGATATGGGATTAGCTTGCTTACTCCTGGTTGTTCATGGCGTTCATAGCGGCAGTAGCCTCATCGTCGGTGGAGTAACGAACGAAACCGAAACCACGGCTGCGACCAGTATCACGGTCCTTGACGACGGTCTAGAAAGAAAATGGACATTAGAGTTGGGCAATCAGTGATGGAAGTCAGAGCGACTCACAGCATCCTCAACAACGCCGAATTCCTCGAAGCGCTGGCGCAGACTGTTGTCGTCTGTGTTCCAGGAAAGACCGCTAGAAAATGAGGGTCAGCAGGCGCATGTTATATCTTCACTAGGGTCAGTCTTACCCAATGAAAAGCTTCGACATTTTGATGGAAATGGGGTGGAGAGAGATCGAGAGAGAGGGGGAAAGGGTGTTAGTGTGAAGAGGGGCACAGCCGAGCCTGATCTTAAATACAACCCGGGACGGAACAACATCACCCCACAGATTCCTGATTCCTGGTTTTTCAGGCGCGTTTTTTATTTTGTTTTGTTTTGTTTTGATTTTGCGATTTGGCGGTTTGACGTGCGTTTGGCTTGGATTATGGCGTCTGTGAGACCTGACTTATGTATACTTGTTTGGGTAATCTGTTTACCTGTATTGTCGCTTTGTCATACATAGTGGACCCGTCTCCCCACGCTGTCAGGAGTCTAGATTCCTACACTACTTGCACCTCATCCAACAGACGTATGCAACAATGGCACCATTTGAAATAATATCCAGTGTGGATGTTGTAGAACAAGTGACCAAGAGCAAAAGTACCGTATCGAAAACTATATTTAGAATCCTCCTTCCTATGTGTTCTCGTTATGAGGTCATACCATCCCATCTAGATCACCCCACCCCCGGACGTTCTATATAAAATCTTCTTTCTCCTCCACCCAACCTTGATTCTACAACCAACTTACAACTCATACTCTCAACTCCTCATCTCAACTCAATCATCAATATGCCTGTCATTGAAATCACCAGGTAAGTCTCTCCCTTACACAAACAAACACAAACACAAACTAATACCCTACAGCAGAGCCGAGTTCCTACAAAAGATCCTCGGCTCACCAGACCCCGTCGTCCTCGACTGCTACGCCGAATGGTGCTCACACTGCAAAGCCATCGAACCGAAAATTGAAGAATTGAGCAACCTCTACACCCCAGTGAAATTCTACCAGGTGGATGTCGACAAAATCGAGGATGTTGGCCAGGAGCTAGGTGTGCGGGCTAAGCCGACATTCATGCTATTTAAGGACGGAGAGAAGATTACAGAGATTGTTGGGGCTCATTTGCCTGCTGTTGAGCAGGGCATTAAAACTCATCTCCTTTGAGGGCGGTTCTTTTTTTTTATCCACCGAGGTGCTTGTGCTTGTGGGATACATGCCTCCAGTCATCTGCTAAGCTGGTCTTGTTATAATGTTGGCATGTCATCGATCAGACAGCTGCTTATCCGATCATGTTTTAATGGATACGGCTCTTTTATCAAAGAGGGATTCTCAACTATGTTTTATTCTAGAGTGCATTCATACAGATATTGCTCGAACATTCGGCATCCCATTATCCCGTGTACAACCACTCAATACACTGTGCAACCTACAGCAAATACCAAAGTAAACATCACACCAAGGCGTCAGAAAGCCCACCTATATACTTCCCCAAATCTATCCCATATACCTCATCTAGACACTAGAACCCAGCAGCAATAGAATAATTCGCAGGGATAACAGGCCAAGCATCAACCCCATCCAACATCGCCAAGACCATCCCCCCACTCTGATGAACCTGAATATGACAATGCAACAAGAAAGCCCCGGGATTAACAACATGATACCTGATCGCCGTCCAACTCAAGCCCGTGACAGCCGGAAGCGTATGAAAAGTATCCCGATACTGGGGCGTCTGCAAATTAAAGTTACCAGGAACAGCCTGTACCGCTTCCGCGACCGAGCCCCAACTAAAAGTACCATTCCCCTGACCGATAATGAAATGCTTATTCGAATGCTTGTGGATCGGATGCGGGGGCTGGAGGATGGTATCCGTCTGAAGAATCAAGTCGATCCAGGTATTATTCTTCGTTCGGACGATCAAGTCGCCGGGAATAGAGTTCTGGTTGAAGAGCAATGGCTGTGCTTCCTCGAGCTCGAGGCCGTAGCTGGAATTACCGAGTCTCCAGCGGTAGGCGACGCCGACTTGGTTGATGTGCAGGAAGAAGGTTTGTGCGATATTGTTTGACGGGACGAGCGCTGGGAACGGGACGACGATGGACTCGTTAAGGAAGACGGTGTCTGTCCTGGCGGCTGCGTTGTTGATTTGGATCCACGGGTTGGATGGCCGGGTTAGCTGCGACACGCCTTGGTATCGCATTATTGCCGTCGTGTTCAGGAACTGGTTTATGCTGGCGCTGACCATGCGCACGGCGTAGTCTCCGGCTGGCTGGGTGAGGGGGATCAGAACCGAGTATCGGTTTGAGTTTGGAACGGTGACTGCGTTGACTTTGAGAGGCTCGATGTATCGTCCGTCTATGGCGTATACCCACATGTCGTGTTCGTCGACTGAGAAGGTGAGCTCTAGCAGGCCGGCTGTGCTAATGAGATCCCAGCTCACGTATTGGTTGGCTGCGTTGACAGTAAATAATTCTTGGGGACCTTGTGACGGTACGCAGCCTTCGAACATGGTTGGGGGGATGGCAGCGTAGTTGTGTGGGAAGTTGAACACCGTTTCAGTGATATTAGGAGGGAAGCATCTAGTGATATAGTTAGTCTTTGCCGGGATCATCAAAGTACTCATTAGACAACCACTCACGCCATATCTGTTAGTTTAAGACCATCACCCAAGGACGTTTTCTGGACAGGTGTCGTCAGGGCATCAATCTCAGCACGTGGCAGACAAGTGATGGACCCTTTGCCATTGATGAGTAAAGCATTGGCACAGAATGCGTCTGTGCCAGACGCAATCTCAGCAGCCCATATCTCCTCCGACGTGAGGACACGCCATTCAGAAAGCAAAACGGGAGAGGTCACGATCTCCGCACGGATCATAGCCCTCAGCTGAGCGGGATCGGTTGTGATAAGACTGAAGGGCTTTTGCACCGAGGCTGCAGGGGTGATATAGATCGGTCCGTAAAGGCCGTCTTCGAGAGAGCCGCGGTGATGGGCATGATACCAGTAGGCTCCGTACTCGGTTGCAGTCCATTTATACAGGAATGAGGTGTTCGGTGTGATGGATCTCTGAGAGACACCCGGGACTCCATCAGACCAAGGAGTTCCCAGCTGTTCAATTCCTATAGAATTCATTAGTATGGATATGCAAATCAGCTCAAGCCATCGAAGAGCTTACCATGGAAGTGTATAGTTGTATTGAACGGGCACCGGTTATCAACGAGGAACTCAACATTGTCCCCCTGGTTGATCCGCAGCGGGGGACCAGGAAACTGCCCGTTTGTCAAAATCACTTGCCTAGACACTCCTGCGACAGTTCTGTTAGACCATGTCAAGGTAACTGGAAAGAAAACTGTAGCCGCATGTGTCCATTGGACGAGGCACAGAGCCCAAAGGGACAGGCTGAACTTCATATCTAAAGATAACACTAGACTGAAAATCACTATCAGATCGAACCTGCTCTTGATGTCCCATGCTTTTTATGGGATTCCCACCCTTTTATGCCGGCCCAGGGAGAGTCATGGAGCATTGAGTGAGCATATGCATCTCGCAGCTCTTATGTGGGTCTATCACATCAGATGCAGGATTCTCATGGGCGAGTCTTCTTGCGAGCTCGTATAGGCGCAAATAAATGGAATAAGCCATCTACTTCTGTCGGGAACTAATCTAACTTCTCGGGGAATAGGCGGGGGCGAAGTTCATCCGAGAATTAGTAGATTGATCTTGGGTCTTGAAGCCTGTTTCGCAGCTAAGCCAATGACTAAAGGCTAAATTAGGTCGCAATCTTCGATCTGAAGCAAGGGACGCGATTGGGAACAGCAGGCTGACTCCTGGCGAATGAAGGACTCAAAGTTCAAGATACCCCGGTAGTCCCAAACAATAGCTTGGCGGTGCTGCAGGGATGAATCTGTAATGAAGGTGTTGGCACTGCTTGTGTGTAAGCATAGCCCTAAGCGGGCAGATTCAAGACAGGAATCCTTTGGGATTTGGCACGTTGCTGATGTGGTGTATCCGGGATGAATGGCGCATGCTGGGCACAAAGTTTCCACAGCCGTGGGAGAGTCTGACTTGGGGTCAGAGTTCCGGTAACCTACATGTTACACGGATGAGAATGAATATCACTAGTCTGATCAAAGAACTGCCGGTCTCGGTCGTCATCGTACTATGATTCAACCAGTCATAAATCAGCTTTCATCGAAAAAGAGTCGGTGTAATCCTCATCCCGACTTAGGAGCCACGTGCTGAAACTGAATCAAGGTACGCAATTTTCAGGATGAAACGAAAGCCTTAGGTGAGGGAGGTTATAGAAGGAAGATGGGGGCAGTTGGATTCCAAACTGAACCACCCGCCACAAAGGTGACGTGTGGAAGCTGCCTGGATGCAGCTGAGATCTAAAACAGGAGAAGGAAATGGAAAACGCCAATTGATTTGTGATATTCGAAAACATGATTAATATCCAAGTCATATGCTATCAACAAGGAAGATTGTAACAATTTTGTGAAGTTAACTTTTCTTGCCATGTATGATACGGCATGGGGGAAGTAAATAGCCGCCAAAGACATTAATAGTTGCCATCGACAAAGTAGCCTGGCATGTCATCATGGGTGTCATTCGATGCAGGAGGGTGGCCCGCTTTGGAATTGAAAATAGCAACCGGGTTTGAAGCAGACAACTCACTCCCACGAGACGGGGAGATGGGCTGACCAAGTGAGCCTTTCGTTGACCATCCTTGTTCTTCGGAAATTTTTTGACCATCGGCGCCATCTAGATGCAAGCCTTCCAAACCATCAGGATTGATTTCACTGTAGCTGTCGTTCAGTCGTTGTAGGAATTCTGGGTCAAATCCCATTTGTACCAAAGGGTCAGCTGTGCTTTCTCCCAGCACAGACGCAGTGGTTGGAAGACTACTAGCCCAATCCGTGGAGAAGGATGGATCAGGACCAGCTGACATCATCCCTGCACTACCAGCGTAACTGCCTGATATACTCCCCGGTCGGCTGGGCCCAGCAGAAGAAAAGCCAGTGCCAGGAAAGCCGTGGCTGCGAAGACTAGGGCTAGAGACTGCCGGGCTGTGGATGGCGGCCCCTTGGCATACTGTTCGCGCTAGCATATTGATCTCCCGGGGTGGAGCTCGGAGGCCGCCATTGATAGCGAATGGAGGCTGCATGCCTAGATCGGCAAATTGGATGCTGTCGTTGTTCACAGGAGTCTCCAATCCACAGTCACGCTTTAGGACACCCAGCCAAACAATATTATCTGCGCAGGTCTGGTTCCAGGGATCGTCACATCCATAGATGACGCGACGAGCTTCCGCTTGTATCATCTGATCTGACGGAACATGACCTTGTGCCTTTTGGTCATTTATGTATGCAGTGAGTGCGCGAGAAAGCCGATGGTAACAATTGATATCCGTAGGAACGGGAAGCATAAGTGTGCTACCATCCCCTTTAGCATGCTCAGTGCCCCAGGGATCAGGAGACCGCCATTCGTAGTCAATCATGTACGGCGGAATGGCGTTTTCGACGCGAGCTTGGATCTGTGGGTCAAAGCCCCAGTCCCCTTGCCATTGAGCCATGCTAGCTCCATGTTTGAAATGACCGGCCAAATGGTCTACTCGATCTTTCCATGTGTGGAAGAGGGAACCACAGAATCCACAGCGGGAGTTGATATCTGTAATGCTGCTTTGCCATTTCTCCATGCAGGGTTGGAACTTGGCATTGTGCATCAAGCGGAGGTGTTGGTTGAGATGATCCTTGCGGTAAAATGTCCTCTCTTGCACTGTCTTCTCTTGGCAGGTGACGAAACTGTGAGTTTCAAGGTGTTCATCGTCTGGATTAGCTGCCAAGCAAAAGACACAAACAGGTATACCGTCCTGTTCAATTGCACCGCCGTGAGGGGAGCATGTCCATTTGTCCAAGATAAGATGTATGGACTTCTCGTGCCGCTGCCAGTCATACTTAGCAGGGAAGGAGTCGGTACAAAAGGTACACTGGAAAGGACGAGCAGCTTTGGCCTTTGAATGGGCCAGAGTATTGACAGGCACCGAGGCCTTGCGGCGGCGGCGACGGTCTTTCCGGTCCATTGACCCAAAGGAAAGAGAAGATCGATGGGAGAATGCAGAAGCAAAAGAGAGATCAGAAATGGATGAATCAAAACTACTGGCGGAGGCAGCGCACAGTTTATGTTCAGAGCTAGCATGGCTTGACTCATTGTTACTAGAACGGGCCCTCACGTGACTCGATGGAGCCTGGCGTGGACGGGAGGGATCGAATGGGGGATTGGCCAGGGCACGGGTAATATCGCTGATCGTAGCCGGTTCGTTTTCGGGGGGAGAGTACTTCCAACGTTCAAGGGGAGTCATGAGGGATACGTTGACGGATTGCTTCATGGGGATGTCCACAGCTCCTGGAACAGGAGAACTGCTCCCAGGCGACGCACGAACTTTGCCGCGTCGCCTGGCATTGGCGAGCCAATTGGCGATTTGCGTCCGAGTCAGATCAGTGTGTTGTTTCAGGTCATCCCTCTCTTGCTCGGTAGGATACGGGTTCTCGTCGTGATCTCTCAGCCAGCCCTTCAGGATGCTGATTGCCTTGCGCGAGAACCGAGCACCAGTTTTCTGAGAGCGTGCATCTGGGTCATTGGAATGTGTATTGTATGAGACTGATTTGAGGGCTTTCCTTCCGGTCAAGCTGCCTGTAGGAACATAGGCATTCTCTGACACGCTATGTAATGTCTGGAGGAACTTGCCCGGCGTTTTGGCGTGAGTGAAACTGCATTCACGCCAAAGAGAGATACAGCATGTACAACCATAGTTCATTATACCGCGCTTTGCAACAAAACAATCCAATCCCATTCGTCGGCAGAAGTCGCACGGCTCCTGAGCCCGGTCGACAGGGTCAATGGCTTGTCCGACATTCACTTCGGACTGCTCCGGTACCGGGTCATTGGAGAACTCCAATGGCCGATCATGAACCATCGAGTTGAAATTTGCTGCCTGTTCTTCGGGTTCGTCGAGTTCAATATCAATCGAAGCAACATCGTCGTCTAATTGATTAGAGCCATGGGCAGACGAGGCGCCCTCGAAATCGAAATACTCCATGTTGCGAACGATTCTAAAGGGAAATGCTGCACAGGGGACAGCCTTTCAGGACCAGAGTAAGGGAACAATAAAGAACACGGTTCAAAGCAGAAGAGGAGTCGGTCAGAAGAGAAAATAGTACCCTTCCAAGGTTCGTCCGGGGTAGAGAGATGAGTGAGTAATCAATTCTGGTGGAGCTCCGTGACCTTGGAACCAGAGGTGGGCACCATTCACTTGGACCGCTCAAAGGCAAATCCCGTGTGGCTTTTTTTTTTCACGATAAGCATGATGGTCATGAGGAATAAGGCCGAAACACATGCTTGGGTATCCACCTCATATCGCAGGCTCCGATGACAATACGGAGTGGAAGAAATTAATTTGAGAGGAAGGAAGTCCACACTGAGTGGGCGGAGAAAGGCTTCGGGTGGAGAATCCGAGTGAAAAAGGACCAAAATGGATGCATCGGCGCGCCCTTTGGATGACAACGCTAAGCCTATTTAGGTTAAGCTCCGTCGAGTTGGGGTCGTTGCCCAGCCCCGGTGATTCATCTCTTCGCGATATCGGACGTCGGCTTTCTTTTTTATATCTGTGTTGTGTAAAAGGTATACTGTTTCTATAGTAGCAGCGATAATAAAATAGTTCACGTGGATTATTATAGCCGTTAGATCCATGCAGCTTTCCTCATGTAAACAACGGATCGTCTTCCAAAGGTCTGAAGCTAGCTTACAATACATGCACACCTATTGGTTTGAATTTCCTTCGGCGTCGGAGAAGTCGAAACCTGTTGCCTCATGTAGATGGTTTCTGTATATTCTCTCGATGCATTTGGATATGCCGCCGTAAAATCAACTTGTCTCCATTCAAGACCATAAATACCAAAGAAGATACAATGTGTGATACACGATGATTGTACAAAAGAGAGGAAAAAGACGGAGAATGTTGTTTTATATGGGGAAAATGATAATTGATGGCTCTAGGCAGTGAACTTGGAAGAAGCTGAGAAGTGACATTATCGGTTTTCTATTGCGCTCGTATTCTAGTATAGTGACACATCGAGCCCTCCATTTCAAAATGAGAGATTCGATAGATTCAGGTGTTTTTTTCAATGATGAGAACAAAATCTAATATTTAGTAGATGATTGTTTGTCATGACTGGTATAGGAAGCGGCATACCTTGACGTAGATGATTTCGCAATATATCGTATGTTTCATCGTCGAACTCAGCCTGAAGCGATCTCAATCTTGGTAAACGGGAAATGATTCTGAACGCAGTTTCTGGCGCAATATTCCGATATACAACAGTCCTGATCTCGAGTTCACAAATTATATCGATTGGCGGTAGCGTGTCCGCGTTCTCCGCAAGCTCAAGAAAAGAATGTTCATATCTCCGATGGAGTAAGTCATCACTCATCCAGTAAAACTTGCATTCCATATCGCTTCATCCTTCCTTCATCATCGGGATTCGCTAGCCAGTCACTCGGAGACTGAGCACATAGGAGTAGATAAATCCGACTCCTATCTTCTGGCCACTCCTTCAAAGCTCCCCAGAGGGCTGTCAACGCGGCTGTAAACACCTGGTTGTTCTGAACGGATCGGTTTCATTTTCACAAGCGGCGCGGGCTAGAATATCGTATTCTGGAAGTGCAATATTGAACTCAAGGCGTGTGACGTTGACCTGCCGCTGTCTGGATTAACTTGAGGGTGCATAGCCTAAAAGACCGAGTATGCGACGGAAATCCGGGAGTCGAGAAGGAGTGAGACATAGAATAGAGAAGGTTTCCCGCTCGATGACAGCCAGCCATGTCTTGCAGACGGTTGCGTACAAGGCCAAACTATCTTCTTTTGGGAGGAAAGAAAAGATTCGGGTAAGATTTTCGGGGGGAAGATAAGGAGTCATGTTGGAACCGTATCAATCTCCAGAGGGAATTACGCGTGAACGGTTTGCCACGCCTCTCTTGGAAGAAATTATTCGAAGGCCGGATTCCTGTTTGTCTGTTGTTTCATCAGATGTAGATCATATGAGAAGATGATGAATAGAATGGGGTAGGTAACCAGAAGCCATAAAGTGCAAGAACTTTGATACTGGAACCGAGGAATCAAAGGCATGTTAGATGATGGCGGTCAACAAAGATGACTTAGATATACGGGCTACCTAGCTAGGCAGCCTGTTTGTCAGTCTAATGAAGGACGCGGCTGTCTGCTTCTCTCCCTACTGATTCTTCATGTATGCGTTGAGCCAAGGCTAGCGTGTAAAAACGAATGGTGCAGGCTCTGAGGATTTGACTGAATTAGCGAGAGATGCCCATATAAAATAGATCAGGCTATACTTGTATATAACATCTACAGAAGATGTATAAAGATCTACAACTTCCCTTTTGGGTTAAAGCATTTGGTGGGGCCTTTTCTCCAAAGATAACAGTTTTGAGGGGAAATTGAACCTCGTCAGAATCTGGCAATGTTCTAAATTTCGATGATCGGTAATTCAACGGGTGTTTCAATGTCCGAATCTCATTTGAACCAGAGCATTTATACCTGAATTGCCCCCAATTTGATTGAGAAAACCTCCTTCTCGTTATCTTAGAATGAAGCAGGGAATCGACTTTCAAGAGCGCGATTTGCCTCACATCGCACCATCTGAGTCAGACCGTGACCAATACCCCGAAGGTGGATTGAAGGCATGGTCTGTGGTTCTTGGGGCTTGGTGTGCCATGATTCCGTCCATGGGGCTCTTAAACAGCCTGGGAGCCCTACAACCTTGGACAAGTACCCACCAACTCCGGGATTATTCGGAGTCGAGTATTGGCTGGATCTATGGAACCTACACATTTTTCCTCTTCTTGGGGGGTGCACAATTTGGTAATCGTCTTCCCACCATATTGAATGCAATCTGAACTAACGAGCACCTCAGGCGCAATTCTTGATTCCCATGGACCTCTATATGTGGTGCTCCCGGGCTCTATTGGGATAGTACTTTCGTTGATTTTCTTGAGCTTCAGTCATGGTGTGTTCCCAATATCTATTCGTGTTTCTCCCCTATCGTATTACCTTCACTGCGAATTCACACATCCCTACGCAAGAAACAAAGTCTGACTCTAAATAAGAGTATTATCAAATATTTCTGTCATTCAGCGTTCTCGGCGGAATATCAGCTGGCACACTTTTCACACCTCCGCTGGCGGCTGTTGGCCATTGGTTCAATGTTCGACGTGGCTGGGCAACTGGGGTAGCCTGCACAGCGGGAGGCATTGGGGGTTGCATATTTCCCTTGATAATTCTTTTTGCAGCTCCTCGCATCGGTTTTGCGTGGGCAATTCGCATAATCGCGCTGGTATGTGTAGTGACATGCTCAATTGCATGTCTCACGGTCCGCACCAGACTCCCTTCCAAGAAAGCAGTCACATCCATCGACTTCAGGGCTCTCAAAGATATCAAATACGCATCCGTCACGCTGAGTGTCTTTCTTGCTGAATTTGCGGCTTTTATTCCAATCACATACATCACGTCCTACACACTTCATGCCGGATTCGATGAACAGATGTCATATGCGGTTCTTGTCTTTCTGAATCTTGGTGCTGTGTTCGGACGATTCCTCCCGGGACTGGTCGCTGATCGGTTGGGTCGATTTAACGTCATGATCGTGAGTTGCTTAATGTGTTCTCTGTTCACTCTCATCCTTTGGCTTTCCGAGGATCTGGTCGACCCCGACAGCTTGGGAATTGTCATTGGCTACGCTGTGCTTTTCGGCTTCTGGAGTGGGTCAGCTATCAGTATTGCACCAGTTTGCGTTTCTCAGGTCTGTGAAATCCAAGATTATGGGAAGAGAGTTGGAACTACATGGACGATAGTCAGCTTTGGTACCCTCGTCGCTATCCCTATTGCAGGCGCTATTCAGCAGCACAACAATGGGGAGTTCTATGGGCTGATTATTTTTGGGGGTGTTCTCTATATTTCCTGCACAATTGCGTTTATCGTGTCTCGTGGCATTTGCAAGGGATGGGGTTGGGGGATAAGATTTTAGACACGGGGAAATTATATATTGGCCAACGACATACCCGGCCTACAATCATGTCTTATGGAAAAGTCATTTTGAATTAGACATTCTTCATTGGAGCGGATAATAGATTATATTCAGAGATAAATCAAATTGATTGAAGTCTTTAGGCCTTGAAATCGACAAGAGGAAAGCCAGTTTGTAATCGTAAGCTCTTGACCTTGTGTAGTAACGAAATCATTCAGAGACACATGGCAACGAGCCTACAGTATGATCACAGCAATATTTATCAACAGCCATAATAAACTCATCCTTCGTCATCTGACCACGATCGAGACAGGCCTTGAGTTCCTCGACCTTTTCGACCCTTGTCATACTCATCCAGGTCTCGAAGCTTGTCACACACAAAGTCTTTCACCTCTGGTCTAATTTGCAGCTCACTAACACGTTTCATCCACCACTCGAAACCGATAAATTGCCGCCACTTCATGTAAGGAAAGCCGAGTGGATTGAAAAACCCACTAAAAAGAAGCATATGAACCCATATGGCTCCTGAAGTCTCGGACCATTTAACATGCTCGGAGAGTTCCTTGTATTGACTTTTTGGCCTTTTCTCTTCTTCCTTTACCAAAGCTTCATTAAATATGCGAAGACAATCGAAATAATGTTCTGTAGCCACCGGGGCGTGGTCACTGTTTTCGATTTTCCACTCATCATTGACCGGTCGATCATGAAGAAGCCACCAAGGAGCTGATCCGAAGAGCTGCGCTGGTCCTGCATAAACCCACTCAAGGTCCACGACTCTGACAGTTGTGAGATCGCTATCGCTTTTCATGATCATGTTTGCTGGGGTAAAATCGTCGCAGATGAATCTAAATGGGCCATTATCATCCGCGTGTTGACAAATTGTGGTATTAACGATTCCAAAATACTCAATGGAGTATATTTGGATTAAACGTCTAGTTCGGCAATGGCTGAATTTGGTTGATGTCGAAGTGAAAGACATGCTAGTCCAGACTAAAATGTCAGACCGCCTATTTGAGCAGTACCCTTAGACAATGAACACGACGTGACCCCATACAAACAGCATATCCCGCCCACAAACCCTCACAGTACGACTCAATAGCCGGCTTCCACTATCTCGCCTCACAAATTTCGACGCCAAAGGAGAGAGCGTGGAAAAATTTACACAAAATAAGATTAAAGGAAGGAGAAGGGGGCTAGGTAGTCACTACGAGTCACAAGGGGTGCAGACACTGCTGAAGGGCTCGAATCGGGATATTCATCTAGACTACAAGATGCTTATGAGGGAGGTCCGGTCGAATGGACAGGGAGACATTATCATTATACAACAGATGTTGCGTATATGCTGTGAAGAAGTCGGGGAGAACCACGGCTGAGACTTGACCTTGCTTTCGTCCAGTGGATAGTGCCTGGCACCTGGCATACTGAGACGAGATATCGAGTTACGCACTTACTGATTGGTTTTCACGTCGGACCAAACCATAGAATGGCAGCCGTTGGTCGATTAGCTTTCCTTTGTAATATTAATATGGTAACAAGTCATTTCTTTCCAAAGACGTATTCCATCGGTGTAAGTGTAAGTCTAGCGACACTATTGAATGCCCTCACTTTACATTTACCATAGGCTTACCTTTAATTGTAAGATGTGCAATGCCAAGAATGTGGTCAGTTAATAACTAGTAGCGGCTTTAAATTCAGCCCCAAAACTCCTGTTTGGGTAAAATATCACATGTCTGCCACGTCATCAGTGCTTGATTGATAATACAATATTGTACAAAGTACTTTATTGTAAAAAGTACTTTTAACGATCTCTATCTGTAATTATTTAATATACAACTTAGCATCACCAATTCTGGATAGCTCCAAACAAGATTATGCCGATCGACAAATCCAAACCCTACATACCCCTAGCCGGCGGCGCAGATGACGGTTGGTCTCACGAGCACCAAGCGACAGCTACATGCTACTGTGGCGCCATACAACTTGCCTTTGTATGTATAGCGCATACTCAATACCAAGGATCGCGAATTTAACATTAACGGGGAACTATAGCCAACCGACGGTCCCGGCCTAGTTGACACATTCCTTTGCCACTGTACAGACTGCCGCAAAATCACTGCATCGATGTTCGCATCCAACTTCATAGTTGCAGACTCCCATCTGGTACACCTGCGCGGCCGGGAAAATCTTAAATCCTACAGCCAGTCTCGAACAATCGCTTCCGGCAAAACAATGACCAACTTCTTCTGTTCAACATGTGGTTCGCTTATGTATCGTGTCGGCGAGGCATACCCGGGACATAGCATTCTTCGTATTGGAACGGTGGATGATTTTAACTTACATGAGACTAAGTTGAGGCCGAGGGTTGAGCAGTATACAAAGGATCGGGTTGGGTGGTTACATGGTGTGGAGGGTTTTGAGCAGGCTAGAGGGACGGCTTATGGTTCGGATGTAAAAGTTGGCTTGGATTTGGGGCATACAGATAAGACGGACGTTGTGTAACACTGTAAGAATGAAATCCAAACTCCATCAAATAAGAGTCATCCGATACGGTGTAAGTCGAGGCGTAGAATCGCGTTGAGTTCTCGTCTGCGTATGATTATTAGTCATATCGGTTTCTAAAGGTACCTAAATGTATACCGCCTTTCCACACCGCTCTATAGTTACAGCTCCCGTATTGAAGCTATTCCCACCATACAAATCTCTAAAATACCCCGTGTATAGGCGTTGAGGCCTCTCAGACCATTCTCAACAATTTCATATACATATCCTCATCTTTGATCCCACATTTTCCCCCTACATCTCACCTGGAAACATTGGTCTCTTGAAATCTGCAAATTGTCTGGTCTTGAAGAGATGGCATCTGCTAATTACCCTAGACTACAAGTCAGAACTTCACGTTGTATATTTTTGGTAGCAATTCCACATATTATTTGCCTTTTTGAAGCGTAATGATCATGATATCTGCACCACTCGTTTGGTCCGGCGTGAGGACCCGACTGGCGTCATTTTTAATATCCCAGTATGATGCTGGTGATAGAGTTTCTGCTGGCGTCAAACTCGAAGTCCCTTGTATTGGAACAAGCAATAGTCGCTTTGTGGGGTTTTCGATTCTTGCAGGCACAATGAAGTGGAAAACGGTGCAGTCATAGACCTAAATAATAATCCTTTAGAAATTATGTTGAGAATGGTAACAAGGGGATGTCGTCAGACGTACTTGATAACCTTGACTTTCCATATCCACTTTCATCTCTCTGCCCTCAGACAGAAGTCGATACTGCTACCCAAAATGACACTCTTTCATGCGATCTGGAGTGTTGCTCTGGATGATGTTCCTCATCCTCACCACGATCTCGTTCGCACTGTCCCATAGCTGTTCGCCCGCCATCGGTGCCACTCAGACAGACAGTAACGGAAGGTGCGGCAACTTTGCACGGCTTTACAACCTTGTAAAGCCAAAAGATTTAATGACTCCTGTTATTATTGAGAGATCACGAGGTCCAAAGGCGGGGCTGTCATAACAAGGTGCCCGAAAATCACATGATAATCTGTCTAATCCCCAAAACGAATTTGATATGACAATAATCCACACACCTTTGGTACACAGATGTGGAAAATGTACTATTCAAATTATTGGCAACGCGATGAGAAAGGGGCACAGTGGATAGCGAGACAAAGAAGGGTCTAGCGCTGTTGTACCCATAACACTGAAGACGAGAACCTGAAAAAAAGGTGCCATCTTGTCATCGACGACGATTGATTGGCAAGTGCATCGCTCCTCAACGATCCTTTGCCGCTCCACTCGAGTGGGTCGAACCCGCCCTTCCGGATGTTTATTTTGATACCAAGAGATAGGGCATCTACTTTTGCTCACATTGTAGCCCATACTAACCCGAAGAAGTGCTCATAAAAGTGACAGGGTGGGAATTTCCCTATTCAATGCAAAAATCATCTGTTCAGCAAGTAGAATCGGTTGTGTCGAGATAAGTGAGAAATTGCATAGAGTTTGCATAGAGTTTGAATAACGTTCTTGTTGCATTGTTCCCGATAGCTTTAGAAGTTCAAGGCCGAAAGGCACCTCTTCGGTTCAAACATGGATGCATAAATTTGAAGAAATCAAATTCATGGATATGCTTTTGTTGACTTGTAAGCGGGTGTTTGAAGGCCACTGACTATATGACCATAGAGATAATTCTAGGGTGGTTTTAGGTAGAAATTGATGACAAGGTTTGTGTTGGTCAAGCAGGAACAAAACTGTTGTAGCATTAGAACGGCAAAGCATTCTGTGATCCGTGGCGCACTCGAGAAATTCTGGCAGATCCTCCGGATATGGGCCGATGAAAAATGAACCAATTCTAGCAGGCGTTGGTTCCGTCTCAATGTCTAGATTGAGACAAAAATTGAAAAGTACAAACCTTTATTAGGCGCGACGAAGATAAAGTGAAAGCTAGCCTATCTGAAAGAAACAAGAATGAACATGGGTCTATAACAGCTACGCGAAGCGATGTAATATATAAGATTAGTGTCGGTCTGTAAAGACGTAAGTAGATCTACAAGAGCCTGCAGGCTTCACTGCGCATGAAAACGCTTTAGTAAAAATTCGGCCAGATTGGCATATCGTCCCTGGCTCACATCTTGCTGAGCCAGAATCTGCTCGGCCACATCATGCCCCCAAACAAACTCGGAATGAAAGTTGCGCAGTTCGGATAGACGCTGACGGAGCCACCTTTGATGTGTTATATCATTGGTTTCAATTACCGCCATCAATAGCGGCCAGTGTAAACGCCTGAGGAGCTTTGGATCAGATAAAAATTGTTTTTGGCAAATGTCAATGATCCCTGCTGTAGCTTGTTGGTGAATGCCTAGCGGTAAAGAATCGACACAGAGAAGCCGGCGGTGGAAAAGGACCTGGCCGTAGAAGGTAGAAACGGCCATGTATATGGTGTTAAGCGTGCGTCGAGCGGAAACGCTGCCGGCAAATTTTGCAGTGATAAAAAGGTCAGAGAATTTCTGGCCACAATCAGCATGTCACTCGACATCTAGAGGGAGGTTATCTATACTGACTTCTCGTGTGGCGAGGATCTCACGGAAAAGGGGTTCTGTGGAGTTGGCGGCACCAGCCGCGGATTCGACGAGGACCTTCCAAGTGCGATGGCGTAGGCAAAATCCGGCATGCAATAGCTCTAGAGCTCTATAATTTTCAATGTCGTCTAGAACTTCCTCCTCGGGATACTGCTCGCCCCAGAAGCATCGGCCCCAAAGACGAGCACATCGATAAAGGTGGTCCGGCTGCAAAGCGGGATTCCCAGACTGGGCCACATAGTCGTTAAGTGACTCGGTAAGACCAATGGGACGACAGCTAGCATCGATATATCTGTTCATTTGTTAGTCGTAGTCGTTTTTTTGTTGACCGCTGGGGATGAATCACAGAATCCATAACAAAAACTGCTCGGGAATGAAGGAGACCTTGGCCATGGTCACGGTATCACCGGTCAATGTGTCGACTCCGGGAGAGAAGAACATATCATTAACATCTTTAATTCGAAATAGTTGTGGATGTGTTTCCAGAAGTGAACGCACGCCCTGCAGGTGGAATTGAAGCTGGATTCCCATTAGCCGACTAATAGTGAACACAGCCAGGACACAAGATTCTTACATGGCGTACTGAGTGTCCGAACTGCCACTCCCATGCTATCATCAAGAATACAGTGGCAAAAACCGTCTCGACATCTTCCAATGAAACCTGGCGCGGCGTCTCAAGTAATTGCCTGAATTCTTTAACCGCTTGGCTGTAATGGTACTGACCATGGTCCTGAGAGCGCATAAGCAGCCCATTGCGATGCATATCAGATGCACTTAACGCCAATATCATCCGCATTATTACTCTATTCGATGCGGCCGGGCCTTCGTAGAGATGGCTAATTTTGATCAGTTAGCCGGTTGAATTTTATTGTAAGCCATTTCGCACACGCATGAAAGCCTCACCATAAGCCGCTCCAATTCCATCTCTTCATGTAGTAAAATACGAGTGAGGAGGAAGGAAAGTACTGGAAATGTTGTTGATCGAGAGAGGTGAGTGTCAATGAATTGGCGCACGCGACATTGACGTTCAAGGAAGGGTATATGGGGGGCGAAATTGGCGCTACGTTGAATGTGTCAAGACAAACGTCCGATGTCCAAGAGATCGGCGAGAGACTTGTGGAAAGGGCATCTGGTTGGAACTCGACAAGGTCCTCGGCTTTAGGTATTGAAGAGGCTTGTTCGGAGGTTCCGGGTGCAGGTTCAAGGTGACGAATTCGCGTGCTTCGTCCATGTTTCACTGGTATCCCCCATTCGCAATTTAGGCGCAAGGATGAGCATCTTGCACAAACTGGTTTCTCCTCACCGCATTTGACCTTGCGACGGCGGCAGGTACTACAACCTAGCAAGAAGTGGGTTAGTCGCGATGTAGATGAGGTAAAAGTAATGTCCTACCACTCTTGGAACGTGGTCCATTACGCCCAAAACCCTGCATGGACATGAACCAGCAGGGATCAACCTACAGACATGAGCGAAAAGACCGAAGAGAGCGAATTGAAAGAAGTAATAATGAAAGGGTGTCGGGACATTGGAAGAATTCAGTGCCGAGGCCGATAAGATAACGCGGGGAAGGCTGAGTCATCATGGCGTTGCTCCGACTATTTCCCTTTTCGGATGTCTATCGGGAATTCACGTTCTTATGCCGACTCTTACGACTTCAATTCGGTCGCAAATGATGAAACATTAATACACCAAAAACTTCGATAGTGAAAAAATAAATGGGCTTTACAACCATTGGAGTGCTATGTACTAAAAATGCATATACTCCTCCCGCATAATCTCGTTTTTCCATTGGCGCCGCGCCACATCATACATATCATTCTCCACAATCATATCCCAACCGATCAATGCCAGTGATTTTCCAACAATCAATGCCTCGGCATGAGCTTCATCTGTTCCAGCTGCAGCTGCAAACGTCGGATGATGTGGAAACGAAGTTGGCGGAGCCGGAATCGCAAACATTGTGTGAAGCGTGGGGGTCTCGTAGCTTACATTTCCTATTATGGAAGTACATGGGTCAGCTATATCAACTAAAGGTTCTATAGGGTTTAGATACCAATGTCAGACGACGCTGTTAGGACCTTGTCATGGCGCTTGAGAACATTGCGACCATACTGTCCCATGTGAACCTGGTAGCGTTCACAGAGAGTATCATTCAATCGGACATCGGTATAAAGTTCATCCCTTGAAGCAAGCATGTTAGTGACCAGTTCATCAAATACGGCTAAATGGGTTCATACTCATCAATCTTGACTTGACAACCGGTGGCCAAGGCACCGGCCTCAATGCAATTACGCAATTTACCGATGAGAGTATTCAATCCTTTCAAGGTAGGGCTGCGTACTTGCCAGAAAGCTTTCGTATAAGCCGGTATCACGTTGACTACCTTGGGTGTATCCAAGAAAGCACAATGAACACGTTGATCCGGAAGAAGCTGCTGTCGAAGAACCGCAACGTTGTTATAAGACGAGACCAGAGCATCAAGCGCGTTGATCCCTTCCCAAGGGTTTCCACCGGCATGGGCATTCCTGCCCGTGAATTCGCCTAGATATTTATCAGCATGGGATACAAAAATCAGAATTGGAGCGACTCACAGTAAATATTCTTGCGGGCATTCATCGACGTTCCAGCTATGCCATCAGATGGCTCTTGGTCAGGATAAATCTTTTTGGGTCCAGGGTGACTGCAAGTAAAGTCAGCACATAATGTTCTAAAAATACTAAGATGTATCTTACGCCATTAGCGAGATGTCAACATTCTTGTAAGCGCCGGCATCAATCAATTTGGCCTTTCCGCCTCCACTTTCCTCAGCCGGAGTGCCTAACAGCTGGGTTCTACCAGGGATACCAAATTTCTTTATGGCAAACGACAGCGCAAGGAACGCAGCAATACTGCTTGTCGCTATCAGATTGTGACCACAGGCATGGCCAATTCCAGGCAATGCGTCATATTCTGCGTTGAAATTGATCAACCGTCCATCAGTTCCACTCAAAACCTCAAAGGAGGTATCTAGACCATAGGCGTGGCGAGTAACACTAAAGCCTTGTCCTTCGAGGAAGTCACAAATCGTATCGTGGGCGCGGTGCTCCTGGTAAGCAAGCTCTGGGTTTGACCAGATCTGGGAATGATCACCAACATGTTAGCCTTGCAGATAAAATGGTGACCGTAGGGACTAACGTACTTGATAATTCAATTCCCGCAATTCCTGCTCTAGTTCCTTGAGCGAGGCATCCACAGAAGTCTTCACTTCCTCGATATTGATGGTCGTAAGAGTCATAGTGATTTAACTATATTTTTCAATTCGAGCCGTGTAAAATTGGAATCCGCCTTAGAAAAAGGTTCAGTGTATAATTCCTGTTGGGATATGAGCAACTTTCAACCCGGATTGAAACTTGATCAAATAGTATCCGGGTGGCGTTTGCCAATATAAGAGGGGAAGGCGATGCCGAACGATATGTCGCATTGTCCTATCGCCAATGTGACAATGGAGGTAGTAGTCACGAAATTACGCCTATCATTTGCCACAAACTTCGTAGCCTAATTTTACCTAACACTATGCCTCTTTACCATTTTCGCCGTTGTTGTCTTTGACTCTTTATCGGGGGCTGTATGGAAAGTGGGTTGCCGATGAACATGGGCATCCACATTGCCGACGAGGCAATATGATTCGTTGGACTGCCGATATGGTAATGCCAATATTTTGCGCCTCACGAAGTCTATCCAAACTCTAGTATCTGGCTACAATTAAGACCTACATGGATCTTATCTCGGCATCCAAAGCCACATATAGTCATCTCTGTTTGCCGTCCAGTCTTCCCGTGTTCATTGCGAACGATGTGGTTTCCGTGTGGTTTCCCCGCCTATTCTTGCAGTAAAACCAGCTCTTATCAACGTAATATTGACTGGACAGCTCATGAAAATCATTGGTCTGGTTCCCTATCAGCTATTCCGGTATCTTGTGAGTCGCCATCGGCTTGGCCTCACTGCCCTGAAGTCATATAGCCCTCTAGGACGCCCGCAAATTGGTTAATAAAATCTGATATCAACAATATTTCTTCCTCTTTTCTCACCTGCCATCTACCTATCTTCTTCTCTACTCATTTAGTTTAGTCAGTATGGGACAACAAGACCTCCCATCCGAAAGTATAAAACCAGACCTTGGAATTCTCAAGGTTGAGTCGATTTCTGCTGCTCGAGATGTCGATCTTGGACAGCTGTTTGAGGTTGAAACAACACCAGAAATGGAGAAGAAGGTTTTGAGAAAGCTAGACTTCTTTTTGATTCCTCTTATGGGCGGTTGCTACATGCTGCAGTACATTGACAAACTAGCCATTAGTCAGGCGACCCTTTTCAATCTTCGACAGGACTTGGTATTTCCCCTTTCAATTCAGTCTTTTTTGTCTTCGATACTAATATGCTTCCTTTTCACTAGGGCTTGAAAGGCAATGAATATAACTGGGCATCAGCCATCTTTTATTTTGGATATTTCGCATGGAGTTGGCCGAGTTCATATCTGGTCGTGAGGTACGTTTGAGAGATGATGCATAATAACATATACTAATTATGAATCCTAGGCTTCCTTTGGGCAAATATCTCAGTTGTGCTGTTTGTGTTTGGGGAGGTTGTGTGATGTGTCACGCCGCTTGCACAAACTGGGCTGGTTTAATGGCAGCGAGATTCTTCTTAGGCATTGGAGGTAGGAGTTCCTCTACCAATAAATTCCAATTTGGCTAATGAGTGCATTTTGACAGAGGCATCGATTGCTCCTGGCTTTGCACTGATAACGGGAATGTTTTATACAAGAGCGGAGCAGCCAGCAAGACAAGCAGCATGGTTTATTGGTAATTCTATTGCTGTTCTCCTTGGTGGACTGATTGCCTACGGCATTGGCAATATCCACGGCACGGCTGTTGCCCAATGGCAACTGTTGTTTCTTGTCTTAGGCGCCATCACTTCTCTCTATGGCGTCCTCTTATTCTTTACACTACCGGACTCACCCGCGAAGGCTGTCTTTCTTAAGCCAAACGAACAAGCGATCGCCGTCCACAGAACTTTGAAGAACAAGACTGGAGTTTTGGACACGGGAAAGTTCCAATGGGGTCAGGTTTTAATGGCGGTAAAAGACCTACAAACATGGTTTTTGGTGCTTTATACACTGTGTGTCAACTTCTGCAATGGTGGCCTCACAAGTTTTTCTGCTATCATTATCACCGGATTTGGATTCCCCCATTTAGAGGCTCTTCTCATCCAGATGCCTATTGGTGGCGCCCAGCTTGTCTTCCTCATCCTTACTTCGGGCATTGCCTCCCTCGTTCCAAAGTCTCGCATTATTATGATGATGGTCAATACTTCAGTGTCGATGGTGGGTATGATTTTAATTTTGAAGCTAGATAGTGATAATCAAGCAGGGAAGATGACCGGTCTCTGCCTCGGTGGTGTCTTCGCTGCCAATATCCCGCTGTCGCTCAGTTTGATTAGTTCGAATGTCGCTGGATTTACCAAGAAGAGCACTGTCAGTGCCATCATGTTCGCGGCATATTGCGTTGGAAATATCGTTGGACCCCAGTTCTTCATCCCCTCGGAAGAACCTTCATATCTGGTCAGTACTTCACTCTCATGATCTGTCCTTACCCAGAAGTGCTGACTTGATAAGACCGGTATTAAAGCATCTATGGCTGGACTGGCCTTTGGAATCTTCTTCTTGGCCTGTCTCTATCTGTTTTATGTCTCGGAAAACCGTCGACGGGATAGGCTGTACGGGTCTCCTGTGGAGATGACCGAGACCGAAGAACTGCAAGACGAGCTATCTAACAAAACCGATCACGAGATCGAAAGTTTTCGATATGTGCTTTGAGATATTTCACTTCGACATGAATTTGTCCGGGGATATGAAGCACATTTCTGCTGTCTTCATGCGTCCTGTGATTTTGCTCTTTTGTATCCCACTGTGTGCCAGACGAGCAAGTATTTTCCAACAGGGCCCTTGGCAAAGTCATTAGAGAAATACTAGCGCGAAAAGATCAGCAGGATCTACATTGACAGAATTGTTATGGATGGGAGTACTTCGATCGATATAAAAGGTCTCTCGCCTTCGCCGCAAATAGAGATTACGAGTACATAAAAATATAGGATTTGTTTCCTTTGAATTCTGATATAAGGGCCCAGAGCTAGCTAAACAATAAAAAGCAACATGACACAGAGCAATAACCTTTTCTCGGTGTGAAATTTCTAGCCAAATGAACATATGCAAACTCATTTTCCTGGTAGGATGGTTGCTCCGGAAGGTGGTTATTTGACGATTTCGTATGTTTTCGCTGCTTTCCATTTTTCGAATGCAAATGCTTCCAAGCCTGCATGGCTTACTGCCACAAACCGGGATTGTAGTCCCGGAACTCTCCTTCTAGAACGCTCGGTAGACGAATCTGGCCCTTCCAAGAGATGCCAGGATGCCGGTACTCGCTCCCAGACATTAGAGACTGTCGCTCCAGTCCAAAAGTTCACTTTAGATTGCCAGTCCTGGCCAGCCAAATCTATCTTAACCAAAGGCCGGAAGTCTTGAAAATCAGAATGACGCCATCTGAGCCAGCATATTCCATGGCATGCTTGAACGAGTAGTTGGTATAGAAACCAGGCCTAAACTCGTGGTCAAAGGTTTTTGGAGAGATATGAAGTGTGAGGAATGCGGCCAGGCTAGCCACTGCCCGGCGGGATAAACCCTTAAAAAGAAGATTACCATCTTCAGGGTATCTTGGTGAGTTCTGGGTGGGGTTGTTGGAGGATTGCTGTCAGCAGCGAAGTCATCTGACAACGAAGGTGTGGTATGGTCAGGTAATCCAGCTGGTTGGTGGTTCTCGGCCAGGCGGGATACGTTACGTGCCAAGTCGAACTGGAAAGAAAGAGTGCATTCAGACAAGATACTAAACGTGGAGAAAGAAAGGAAAGAAGAACAGGACGCAGAGCTACAGTGTCGTCCTTATATCCCCAGGGGCAAAGCCCTATCCTCGCTTACTTGGTGAGGAAGGAACGAGTCCAGCAAGTGCCAATCGTAGAAGCAAGTTGCAAAGTGGGAAGCAGCCCATTGATATAGCTGCCACTTTACAAACAATGCGAACCTCGAACCTCCTCGCTTAGCTATTCAACAAACAACCTATTTATCAAGCAGTAACAATGCGAACAGTAAGCGAGCAAGCAAATATGAAGCATGTGATAGCGATCCATGTGGATCGTGACACTGGTACTGCAAAGTTCAGTCATAGATCCAAACTCCCTCTGTAACATGACATTCCCTTGATTATCTTCAGCACATTGCAGACTAATGTATTAGGAATTTCCATTTTCATTTTTATCAATGACCCTATAGCTTTAGAAATTCAAGTTTTTGCTCCCCATTTAGGAGGTCAGTTACACAATTTGGTAACCGTCCAGACCGAAGCTCCATAACGATTACAGAGATGCCTAAGGGGAAGTTCAAAGCTATATTTCTGATATCTATAATACAATAGGCATGGCCTCTATCTATAAGGGTTCTAATTAAGAGATCCCCATTCAACTGGCCTGAGTGTAAACCGTATCGTCGGTGACAGCTTCTGCTGGCAGCCACTTCCCGGCAACGGTGTTTTTGTACGTGAGTTGGGCGAGTGTAAAAGTGTGAAGCTCGGACACCAGAACCGTCTTCTTCAGGGGCAAGATGCGGTGTACCATGGCGTTTTGAGTAAGCATCGAGATGTACTCTTCGTCGGCTACGGATTTCATCGAGGCGTCAAAGGTCACGCGGATCAAGGCATCGGGCGAGTCTGTGCTAAGCAGCGACGTAGATAAGAGCCACAAGGCTGGGCCGGCCGCAGTCGATGCATCGGCAATGTGCAGTAGGCCAGCGTTGGTGCCGAGCAGCGGGTGCTTGAGCGTGAAAAACTCCATTGTGCCAGAGGCTCCAATGTGGCCGAAAGTGCCGGTGCCACCAGTGGCATTGCCAGCGAGAGTGAACCACACACCACTCAAAGGACCGGTAGCGGAAATCATCCCGACGGCGTTGTTGCCGACGCTGGGCGGGATGGGCATCTGATTCGTCTCGCCGCTGGTAGTATTGATGCGCAGGATGGACGAGTCATTGTCTTGTGTAACATAGATCAAACCAGTGGACGGTTCCTCCTTGATAAACACCGGGCTGTTGAGTGCAGGATACAGTATGTAGTCCTTGGCATTGTGGATATCCGCAGAGAACACATAGTAGTTGCCATTTTGCTCGGATGCCACCTTAAGACCGGCCCAGACGCGGTTGCCGATCTCAAACACACAATGCGGGCCGTTACCCGGCGCCGGGATATTAATAGTCTTCTTGATGATCGGTGCAGTCGAGAGTTTCTTGCCGGGATCCACAAGCAGTAGCTTGTTTTCGCCCTGCAGTGACAACCACATCATGCCGGGGTATATCGTTGATGGCCACACGCCATGGAGCATGGAGGTAGTGCTGTTCTTTCCCATGGGGAACGAGTGGTAAGCAATTGGCTCCTCGGTGGTTGCATCCAACTCGATCTTGATAAGATTGCTGTCAGAGATCTGCGTCAACAAGACGAAATTCGAGTTCGGCACATGTGCAAACTCATGCGTCTGAGTGGCGACAGGCATAAGATACTCGGTGAGGCGGCGGCTCACAAGCGAATGAGAGGAACTCTGTGCCAACACGGTGCTGGCGCTGAGCGCCAGCCCGATTACGAGAGACTTGCAAGCAGAGAAAAACATATTCGAAATGCCCCGCTTGACGTTATCGGGGCTTCAAATGTTGATGTGTTCGCACATGGGAAAAAGCACTCATCTTATATTCACTGCTTCCAAGGTTGTCAGCTTGTCAGCTCATCAGCTTGGCAGCTTGGCAGCTCAGTTTTCTCCTCCACATCTTGCACTAGTGATTTACATAGTAGTTGAATAGTCTAGCCTACTTTATAATTTCTTCTCTCCTATCAATCAACCAATTAAAAATCATAATTTCACCACAATGAGGCAATTCGGAATCTGCGGTAAAATTGGGTAGAAAGCCAGCTTAAGTCGCCCGCGAGTACTCCGTACCTTGGAATGTTGACTTCAGATCCCAACCTCGAAGCGGCCGACCGAAGAAGTTAAATGACCGTACTATTCATTATGAACGCCGAGTATCTTGCTCGAGTATTCCGTGGGCCTTCATTATGTGTGGAATAAAGTCTTGGTGGGCCTGGAATTGGCTTTATTGGTAGTATTTTCATTCCGTCCAAGCTTGCGGGTACCTGAAATCTCTTGCAGCGCCCTACAAGGTACTCAGTATAGCTCAGAAAAATCACGCACAACCCTTTGGCTGGTATATAGCCGTCTTACCACCCCCATACCTGTACCAGGTATGGGTCTGTCCCACATAACGAGAGTTTCTCACAAAACGAGAGATTTCTCTTTTTAAGTATCTTTAATATGGCATACCCATACAAAAGGTACATATACCCCATATCATGTTCTCAACCCTTTGGCTAGTTAAAGGAGAAATAAGAGTATAAATCAATAATAAATTTATAGTTAAATTAATTGGCTAATAAAAGAAGTTTCAGATATCTTATATAGAAAAGTAAAGACCATATTTATGAAAGAGATGTATATAGAAACATCAACGTTCTACCACTTGGAGAATACTCAATATTTCATCCTAATATATTAATAGTAAATAAAATAGACCTCCTTTAGACTATATATCCCCTACTATATCTTTTGTAAGTATTCCTAGAAGTGACAAAATCTCTATTTTATGTTCATGTACCTTTTGTATGGGTATACCATATAAAAGATACTGTCAAGAATGGGCCCTAAACAAGAACCTTGGTTTTTGTTATGGTCTAGTGGTAAATTACGCTGTACGAAATTCAACAGATACCTAAAAAGAGAAATCTCTCGTTTTGTGAGAAACTCTCGTTATGTGGGACAGACCCACCCTAGTTAACTCAGGGTGGGATGGTAAGACGGCTATATGGCAAGCTGCTACTAAGTATGTGCTCTAGCTGGTTACAAGCTTCGCAAATTGAAGGGATAACCCATATACATCGCCGGTTCAGTATAGGCGATTTGTTTATATATTGTAAACCGAACCATAGTGACCGAACACAAGGAATTTAAGGTAAAAGCTATCCATTAGTGGAGTTGTTCCTGACCCTCCAAATTTCAGGATTGGCTTACCAACTCTGCAAGAAAGGTATTGAAAGGGAATAAGAGCCGGATGTTGAGAATGTTCGACATGTAAGTATCGTAACCGAGAGCCACTCATTCTCCGCAGTATAGAGTCTCTCCAAGTCAAGAACATAAGCAGTTACCGAGCAGATAATGCTAGAGCATGCCGTATGCACAACACTCCCAAAATGGCAAGCAGTAATTTATCCGGGAAGGAGCCCTTCTCAAAAGCCTTATGTTCTGATTGGGTTTGTATAGAACCACGCACGGGTACACACAAAGCCAAGTGCGCTAAGCCCAAAGGGCCAAAACTAAACTACATTAGTCCTCTGCCACAGGTCCACTTTGCCCTTGGCTCATGTAGCCAATAATATGTCCTTCCTTCATCCAATATCTGTAAGTCGAGGTGACGGCGGAAACACCACGAATGTGCGTGGTTTTGCAGTGCACGTCTAGCACAGCTACCCGCCTAACGACACGGTATAGATACAGAGTGACCTTACCCGATTCGGTTTAGCGTGACTTTCCATGCTCTCATAGTATGGCGGGTCCATCATGAGGGAAGTCGGTGCTATAAGAGGGAAGTCGGTGCTATAAGAGGGAAGGCTCATATGTTCAACCAGGAGTCTATGCAGTCGAATGCCTGTTCCCTTGATTACTATTATAAGGCACGATAGGTAGCACGGCAAACAACAACACACATCAATGACACTTGTTTTCAGATCAAAGGAATTCAGTGAATTTCCTCAAAGACCCGAACAATGAATGATTTCCCCTTGATAACCACCTTCTCCCCTGGGATCCTCCATGCGCCAATACCCTCTCCATCAAACCCATCTTTGATTGATGGTACGTCACCTGCATCAGGGCCGATGACATATTTCTCCTCCCATCCAGAACCCCACTCTTCCCTTCTCGCACTAACTTCACCTCCGGACCTCTTGAGAGACCAGGCACCGGCCTGATCCTTCTGGCCGGAATGTGTCTGAGTCTGCTGGAGTGCCAAGTAGGTTCCCCAGATCCGTCCCAAGAAGACCTTGGTCACAGTCACCTCTTTTTGCTCACCAACGGCCAGAGGAGCATCATCTGACTCCAGAATCCAGGAGATTCCTTTCTTCGCTCCTTCAGGACCCTCCTTGAAGAGCAGCTCTTGCCAAACTTCTTCAAAAGCCGTCATGGGCTCACCGGGCAGATCCGCCCGGGGCATCTCTCCGCACTCGAGGTCGGTACCATCGGCCTGGGGACTGAAGTTGCCAATATCCACGATACCGATCTCATTCAGGGAGTCCAACTCGCGCGTGAAGAGCACCTTGACTGTTTCTTGTCAGTGACCTTCAATCAAAAGGTATTTCCGACAAGTAATTTCAGGGCAACGAACGTGGAATTTCTTTGGGATTCTCCTCAATTCTAGTACCGGCCATTGCCCAGTCAATGGCGCCGGATTTCTTATCCATTCGCAAATCCACGAACCATTCTCCCACAGAAAGAACAATGGTATCAGTCGTCTCCTCAGGAATTTCAGGAACCCATCGGAGTGAAAGACGGGTTGAGAAACCGCAAATTGATCCTAGTTGAGCACCCGTGGCAGACATTGTGTATGTGAAGTGGTTTGTGGTTTGAATGTTCACCTGGCCAGTCTAATTATAATCAATAATCTTATCACAATCGCCGAGGCAGGACTCGGTAAGTAACACCAGTTGAGTTTCGCATCTCAATCTAACTGTCGCCTGAAGTTCCTGCATCAATCACCCCCCCCCGCTGCCCCAGCTTACGTAACCCGGATGTTCGCCGAATCGGGGATTTTGAAGCGATTCAACGATTGGCGATGGAGAACGGTGGGGTGATTCAACTAATGGTGTTATCTAATGCACTTCGAGTTCATTGGACCGCTGTCGTTGTAAGTGATTGAGCCAATAACTGCATTCCAAAGCATAAATCGGTTATCAAAATGTCTCGAAGAGTTTCGGGCCATTAGCTTCCAGCGAAATGTATCAATGATTTGCGTTTTTGCTATTTAGTATCTGATAAACTAGAGGTTCTTTACTATCTTCTGTCAAATATAGAGCCATCTAAGATAAGCTCGATTGGCACTCCACACCAATATCACCATCAATTCCATCACAAGTAATCACTGATGGGGTACACTTGCCGGACGAGGTGCCATGAATATTCTCGAACTTGATGTTCGTGAAATTGACAGCGGATGGGTACTCGGCGCAAGTGGTGCTGTTAATGTTGAAGTAATATTGGTCAAGGACAATGGGACTATCGGTATTTCTAACGTGAATGTCCTTAGAGGTGATATTGTTGATACGACCGAAGCCGACGTCGGGGCCAGCCTAGGCCTTAGCTCCGGTCTGTGTCATATCAGCGAGTGCATTATTGAGAAACAGAATTATAACTATCTTACCTAGCTGTTCAGGATAGTAACATTCTCGATCCAGGCGTTCTTAATGATATCCTCGACGCCAGAGTACTTCTAATACTTCCTATACTCATGCCGTCGGTGTTATTGTACCGCGGGGTTCTACACGAAAATATTGGCATGTAGTATAAGCTTTCTACCTAGCCGGTTGGAAGGATTCAACACCCCTTAGAGTTTCTTGCTAGCCTGAACTAGCCCATAGATACAGCTGACGTTACCAGACCACCAAGCCACGGAGCGCAGGAAGCTCGCAGGCTTGGTTGTGATGTTTGCGTAGAGAATACTATACACCACACGCGAAATCGAGTACCAAACACCGATGGTGTTGATCGTCTCGTTGGGAACACCGGCAAACAGTGAAATCAAAACTGCATTATGTAATCAGTATTTCTGCCGAGGTCCAGGCACGAAAGGGGCAAAAGCTTAAGCAAAGAGGGGGATCTTACTGGCCGCCACAAACAGAGGGTAGCCCTCCTGAGCATTCGCATGGGCCGCCTCGCGACGCTTCAGCTTATTGAGCGTGTCGCGGCTGATTTTGCGAGCCTGGACCGCCGCCTCGCCGTAGGTAGTCAGGTCCTCGCGGGGACAGACATTGTTGTCGATGCCGAGGCGAATCTTCGCGCCACGGTTGCTCATGAGACAGAAGGCCCAAACCCAGTTTGCGATGAGGAAGCCGGAGGCGTGGTTGGCGGCCGTTTGGCCGGGGGCGGCGCGGAGGCCAATGGTGGTGAGGAGAGCACTGGGTTGGTTAGCTTCGTTGTCGGTTCAGCGCACGATTAGGGTCACTCACGACATTGTGTGTGGATTTGTGTTGTTCGCTCAAGATGCGGCTGGGGGAGGTCTTATAAGCGTATGTGAGAGAGCGAGAGCGAGAGACCGAGGGATGAGATCATGTTTGTCGATCGGATCCACTTTCAGCAGTCAGGTTGTGAAGATGAGATCACGGCTGTCTGCACTTTTGATTCTGTGCTTGTGCTTGAAATTGGGTTGTTCTGAACATGGCATTTGTTCTGACGTGGCATGGAACTGACACATGTGACCACGGATCCATCGTTCAGCGCTTGCAGGATTTACATCAGCACATCGAAATTTGTTCTAGAGATCACGCTGGCCTTGGAAATCTACCCATGCCTCGAAATGGGCACAAACTCTTTCGAGAGAAGCCCCATCAAATTGCGCAGGATCATCTATAATTGGCGACAAGTGTTTGGCCCAGATTTGATCGGCGTTCCATCCCCAAGCCTTTCTTTCCCCCTTGGATCTGCAAGAAATCCTTTTTTTATATAGGCCTCAATGTACCTGATGGCGTGAGAGAATGTGGTATTAGGTTCAGCCCTGTGAGTGGTTCGATAGATAACATATCCACAATCCGGGAGCGGCGAAGTCTGCTCCGCAGCTCGCCATGGTTGCGCGTGACTGGTCTGGCCGAAGTCGCGAGAGGAGAAGAGATCGAGTATATGAGGAGGGAAAGCTCCGAGCTCCAACATGCCTAGAGCTAGAGGGGCTGATCCCAAGACGGTCCGAGTCATGCTCTTAATTCGAGTGTTGTGTTGATATAATCAATTCACTCTGAAATCATGCAGCTGTTGCATTCAACAAATTTTTCAATCCCCAGCCAGTCCATGTAATCAACGCCTGTCAACGGTAAGGTTAGATTATGGAAGGTGGAGTATATCACCTCTGCTTCATTGTTCATTTAGAGATGATCAGTCACTGTTGTTTGACACTCCACGGTACGGACCTACCTCCAAGTTGGAGCAATTCTTGCAATTAGTACAATTTATCATGTTGGAACTTTGCTTGCATTGTTCACAATCCTTGCAGTCACTGCAAAATGAACAGTCGGTCAGAGCACAGACGAAGCCAAGCAGAAAGGGAAAGCGGGCGGTACACAGCGAGAAGTTGAAGGAGCGATGACAAGGACAGAGAGCCTTGAACTGAAAGAGTAGAGGCTAGAGCTAAGAGCGAATTTGTTGTACCCATCCGATATAAGATTACGATTGTGCGTGGTATAGGACTACATGATTGTCCCTCATAACTAGCCCAAATTGCGGGCGAAGACCCACTATTTTAAGATTTTGACCTGCCACGCCACCATCGACTAAAGGAACACACAGGCCTTTTTTTCCCTCATTTCTAGCGCCAAAACATTGGGGGCGGCCCCCGGTAAGAAGTACGAAGTAGAGCCCCTCGGCTGCATTGTGGCCTGCCATTGGCTAATATCCGAGTCTTACCTGCATTGGGAAATGATCAATTGGTATTCAATCGGCATGATTGACTCACAATATGTAGAACCCGTACAATTTGATGCGAAATGGGGAACTTCATCTCAGTTGAATACTTGGCAGCTGGTCTTGAATGTATACCTCCCCGAAACTCATCTTGACATTGGTATATCCTATTTTTACGTCCATGGATACTCCGTAGTTACCGCCCCCACCCGGGCAGTGCCTACAATGCAGTGATCGGCGGGGGCCATTATTTGCACATAAAACAGACTAGCTTACTAGTCTCGCATGCCGCCTTTTTAACTCACCGTTTGCCAGGACCGTAATAACTCATGTTGTTTCCCCATCGCAACACTTCTGCCAGGCCGATTCCGCCCCGTATCCCTTTACCTTTGATTCTAAGCTCGCGTCAATCGTGTCTTAAGCGCAATGTCCGAGGAATATGTAAAGGGATACGCTATTCGTCGAAATAGCACATGCGAGACCGGCGAAAACCAATGTACGAAAAAAGCGACATGGGGTGACTACCAGGCGTTTTGTCCTGGAAATTCTTTCTGCTTTGATTCCGATACTGGAATTCCCAATATCATATGTTGCGACAATCACAACAATTGCACGCAAGCTATATCAGTCGCTCCAGCATGTGCTGACAGGAGCTGGAATCTATTCGACGGGAATGGTTCTTTCTGCTGTGATCAAGGAGAGTCGGGATTTCGTGTTGAAAATAGAGTTTTGGTTGGTTGCTCTGAGGCAACATCCCCGGGAAATGCTAGTTTCATCACCTTGCCAACGATATCGGTCGGTTAGTTTATCGCATACCGACGACATTCAATCAAAATGACCGATTAACACTTTCTCAGGTAAATCTGTCGCAAGTTCAACAGCGACGTCTTCATCATCGCCCTCTTCATCATCGCCCTCATCCCCATCAACCTCGAAAGTAGCATCAAACAGCTCGAGTGCTTCCTCGTCTACCAACGTAGGCGCAATCGCTGGTGGTGTTGTTGGCGGCGTTGCTGGCGTAGCTGCTATAGCTGCCATCCTCTTTTTCTTCGTTCGGCGCCGCAAGCAACAAAATACCCAGACACTAGCCCAGACACCGTATTCGCCTCCAGTGTATTCAGAAGTCGGGGCTGGCCTACCCCGAAAGGAGCTTGATGGCCAAACAAGATCAGAGATGGATGATACCCCTCTTCGCGAACCACAAGAGTTGCCGACAAGCCATTGATTATGAAATGATTTCTGCTTTCAATAACAGCCCTGATTATATGATAAAGCACGCTTGACTGAACAGGGGCTCGGGGTTTTTCAATGCATTCCATGGATGATGACCCTTTAGCGTTTCTGTACTCTTATCTTAGCTCCCGGATTTTACTCGAGCATGAGGCCGGAATGAGAATTGTGGCCTTTGCGATCGTGACGACGAAAGAACGCTACTGAAAAATTTGACTATTATGGTAGTAATATAAAATATACTAAGCGATGGGGAAATGGATCGGTGATACCTTACAAGTCAAATACACAAAGATATGACTGACTGGGAAGTGATACGCTTTCGCAGGGGGGTGGGTGAATCTTTATAAGGTAGACTGTTGTATGAGTGGCACTTTTTACACCGCCTAGCCAACGCCAAATCAAGTCTGCAACTTCATTGAACCGCCCCTGTTGTAGTCTGGACCTGCTCCAGAGACTCTGCAAGAGACGTCAAGCCTAGAGTATCAGGCAAATTTTCTCTCATCATCCCGGTGGATTTCTCACAGCGACAACATCTAATCACGATGACCCACGAATTCGAGTAGGTACCCCGCCTGCAGATCTAGAATATAGAATATACCCATACTAATAATTTCAGATGTCCATATGCTGTTGGTAATGTGATCAAGATTCACTTGGAGACACCAGATGGATTGGAGGCAACAGCAGATGCCAATATCATTAAAGTCTTCAAGCCGTTCACTCTTTCCTCTGTGATGCTTATTCGGATGGCCTGCTCATCTTTAAGATTGGAAGGCGATATGATTTTGAAGCTCTTTGATCGGCGATTTGCAACGCAGCTTCGGGAAGACGAAAAGATTCGGCCCTGGAACCCAGATACAGAGACTGAGTACCGTCAATTTATCCTTGATGGCGGTGCATCAGAGTTTGTTACTCAGCTCAACGACGGTGAAACACCTGAAGGCAGTACATGGAGTGCGGCTATGGACGAAACTTATCTTCATGATCACATGTTGGATCTGTACAAGACATAGGTCCAGGTATATAGCAACCTGAAGGAGATTCAAGGCACCGACATACCAAAACTCCTTGCATCCGCTATTATGCCTATTCCCTACCCAGGTCAAACGAGCAGCGAATATACCGATATTCCTGGGATCCTTTTGCAATATATCGAAGGCTTCCCATTGACCGATATTGAGGAATATACACCAAGAGAAAGCTGGCAGGCCATCTGTGAAGACGCCATTCGAGTTATCAATCGTATCGGTGATCTGGGAATACTTAATGAGGATGTTAAACCAAGGAGCTTCATTGTGCGTGAGGACGCGGGGAATAGATTCAAGGTGACCATGATCGATTTTGCGCTATGCAAATTCCGTCAAGACTATAAAGATGTCTATGACTGGGATAAATGGAAATCGATACAGGACGAAGAGGGGGCAGTGGGGTATGTCATGCAAAGGCGTTTAAAAGGTGGATTTTCTTACCGTCGATCTGCTCGATACGAAAAGCTAGATGAGGAATTCAGAAAGGGTGAATGAGTTGAGACTGTAGGGAAAATAGAAATCAATATCAGGCCGAGGAATATAGCGTCTGTATGTAACGTTCAACCTGACCTGGATTCGAAACCTCGACTATGAGGCCTTTTAGGGACCATCACGACAATGGGTTTTTTGCCAGGCAGAAAATTAGGTAATAAAATAATACCGCCTAACTAACTAGCCAGGCGCCAACACACGGTATGTGTTTTCGACACGATTAGGTGCGAAGGCTAAGTATAAGTAATATTGATGCCTGATAATCCCGAACACCCTTATTCTGCCCCCTACAACGTTGGTGGCGAAAGGTAAAATCTACTGTTCAATAGTTCTGGGATATCAATTTGAATAACACCCCCCAATAAGGGTTCTTACCTATGCCGTGTTGTTGCTTTACCCGTGGCATTCTGTTGCTCTGTCCCAGATGCAACCTCGACGCCTGTATTTAAACAGGAGAGCAAGTTGTGGGGATAAGGATCAACCATACACACTACTCCAGTACACAAGTACCAGTGCTTTCTTTATCAAAGTATATAGCATTACGTTCAGCGCAGAGCAGGCGATGTAAAACCATCATATTTTGGTAGCCGCAGATATTATACATTTCTTTATTAGCATTAAAAAACAAGAATGAAAAAAGAAAAGAAAAAGAAGAAGAAGCCAGCAAATCCATACCGCCAAGGCTATCACCCCAATTTCCCTTCCATCTGCCGACTCCAGAGTTTGCGGTCGAATCGTTGTTCTAGTAGCGCCTGCGCATCACCCGCGTACATGAAAACTCTACCACCGGTCTCCTTGGGCTCCTTCTCGTCTTTGAAGTAGACCCAGCAGTCTGCAACTTCGTAGGCATTCGTCTCATGATATGATAGCTTCTGGGCCTCTTCTTCGGATCGCACGAGGTACGCAGATCCCGTCACCACATCCCCTTGTTTACTATTGATCAGGGCGGGATAATCACCCCATTTCGCAACAGCGTAACTAAATATCTCTGCCTCGCGAAGTTGCGGCTCCTCCGGCAGGTCGAGGATCCTTTTCACCTGGGCCGGGGCGGTTAGAGTTCCGTAGAAGAAGTAATACACTGGAAAGGCAGGCGGGAAGTCGACTGGCTCGTCGCGCTGCGCAAGGTAGTCCGGTGGTGCTGACCGGAGCATAGTATAGAAAGGTGATAGTGGCTCCTCCTTGGCGGGGAAAAGGCCTGGAGACCAGGGTGCTCCGGAGTCCTCTGGATTCATGAAGGCTGTATGATGTGAAAGTTGGACAAAATGTTGAAGTTAGAAGGCTCGGATACGGAACAAAGGAATAAGTGGGTGCTCAAAGAGAAACCAGAAGAGGCAGTAATAATAATAGGGTTAAAACTAAACTACATTAGTCATCTGCCACAGGTCCACTTTGCTCTTGGCTCATGTAGCCAATAATATGTCCTTCCTTCATCCAATATCCGATATGGTGTAAAAGGCCGTGACGGAGAAATGGCCACGATATGCCGTTGTATAAATTCGAAAACTCGTGGTGTTTTCACATAGGCATTATTTTAGGCCATTAATTGACACTATACTAATTTGGACACTAGCGCGAAAATCGATCAGAGGGAGGGTCGTGCAGCGCTTCTATCATCAATACGAATAGAATATAAATGGCTATGTCTCCTACAGCCCTGACCGAAATATTTCTATATCAAACGCCTACCAAAGCGCTTTGTAAAATCGTCATGGACTGGAATTCGTTCATCCGAGAGTCGGATCCGCAGGTTCAAGCAGATCTTTCGAAACCCACACGAGATAAAATGCGAGAGGCTCGGAATGCCTTTCGAAGGTTATCAACCCTTCATTCTTCTTATCGGACGGTGGCTGACCATCTAATAGATTTACAAGTCACCTTAATCCACCAGATCACACCTATTGGCTGCAATCCGAGAACCTCACATTAAGAGTCATTGAAGGGGTTTTCCGCTGGTATCATGAAAACTACAGCTTAGGATATCAATCCGGCTTTCTCACCATGACTCGCCCCCCCCCCCCGGCGAGATAGACTAGCATTTTGGCAATCAGGGACCGAGAAACAATTTGTTGAGATACAAAGTATAAAGAAATGGAGAGCGTTGATTGATTCGAAGAAGAGGAGAGAAGAGAGAAACTGCAAAATACATAAATATGGATCGAAACTATGTAAAGGGCACGGGTGAGGTAGACGTGAGACACCACCACAACAGTTTTCGGCCCCCTGGTTGTGTCGCTTTCCAAAGTTTGTCGCGGCGCTTATTGCTTGAAAGCATGCGGCTAAGGGTTTCCTGGCTATGCGAGACACCTAAAGCTGCCAGATCCTCGGGTAGAGCGTGCAAAAGGAACTGAAGATGAATTTGAAAAGAATTACTACTTAGAAAATCCGCTTTAACCACCTGGGCAATAAAGAGGTGGCGGTATTTCTATGGCTTGAATTACGCATAAGGCAATAGAGCTCTAGCAGCGATCTCGTAGAACAAATGTGTTACGCACACAACGTATGACTATAATCGGGATAGAGGGTATAATAAAGCTGGGAAATTATTATAGAAGTATATACGTACACACCAGGGAAGTTAGATCGATATCACCGCGTTGAAAGTTCGTAAGGTCCTTGGCGGGAGGCCTGTGAATGTTCTGACATATTCTGCGCGCTTTGTTCAGACTGAGAAGTCTGTTGGGCGCTTTGCCCGTATTCTGAGGTTTGTGTTGAGGTTGGTGGAAACGCAATGGCCCGACCGTAGTCCAACTCATGGAACCTGCTAGGTTTGGTGTCTGGAGCTTCCACGGGCGCCGTAGTTATTATCGAGGGAGGAGGTTGTTGCGAAGACCGGTCTGCCGCTGCACTGTCCTGACTGGGAGTCCGCTTATATTTTTGACGATGGGAGATAAACCAATAAGCTGCAGCAACGGCCGCCAAAGCAGCAATACCGCAGCCGGCGCCAATGCCAGCCTTGGCGCCGGTTGAGAGACCAATGCTACCGGTCGAGGTCGTCGTAGTCGTCGAGGTCGTCGAAGTCGTCGAGTTGGTCGTGGGAGAATTCGGGGATGCAAGTACCGTCCAAGAGTTTTCCCAAGTAGGTTCCCAGCTATTCCCAGAGGATGTGATGGTGGTGTCACTATCGCTGATGTCGACAACATTCTGAATGTAAGAATAGTCTGGTCCAGGAGCTTGGGCTAAAAACCAGGATTTCTTGGACCAGTTGACGCCGACGAAAGCAGCCTGTAGAAAGGCACGACCAAGAGCTGGAGTGGAGTCGGTGCCCATGCATGGGAAGTATTGTGTAGGACTGGTCACCAAAGGGGCTTCCAGAGTAAGGTTCAGAAGAGCGAAAGGGACCTTGATGGTGATATCCTCAGTGTTAACGCCATTCTTGGTGAAGGTGAAACCTAGGTAGCTGGGGGATGTCACAATTTTGGTATATTGCGAATCAGTTGTGTCCCAAAAGTAGAGACCCAGATCGGAATTATATGTGATAGGCAGATTGGCGGCAATGGCGTCGCACGAACTTTGGGGTAGATAGATATATGGGTTTGCTGGGTCCACTGCTACCGTGAAGCCGGAGGTCAAAGAGGAATTGCTTTGTGCCAGCAATCCTGTCATATTAGAGAATTTCCAGGGCGAACCACCTTTTGCAACCCCGATACCTATGTCGATTAATTCAATCGGAAACTTCCCACTGTCGACTGGCTGCGCAGAGACATCTCCAAAGACTCGACCTTGGTCGTATCCTCTAAGCTTGAGAGAACCGGATATACCGAACGAGGCAGAGCCAATATGTATACCATACGAATAGGACGGGATTTGTCCTTTGTCGTAGAGATAACTGTTGGCGAAAGTGGCATTGATAGGGGGCAATGGGGCGTCTCTGGTGAATGTTTGGTTGATGTCCGGACATCCTAGAGAAAGGACACCCACTTCTAAGGGGTAGTTCTTCCCACCGGGATACGTCTGATATCCCTCTAAGACTGTAGTCAAATCCGCGGACTGCATAACCGTGCCTCCAAGATCCATGGAGTCTAGCGCTCGAGATGTCACGGCGTTGATAGGCACTGCGTTGGTATATCCCAATTGCATGTCTGACCATTCACCTGCATTTGAATCATATATAGATGTATCGTTGTAAGTTGATGAATCGTGGATGTCGAAAAGACCAGCTGAATCTGCGTAACAGATAGGTGATATTTTTGTCGTGTTGTCGCAAATTGTTAAGAGGAGAACCGTGCTCGCCCAAGATCCTCCGGGATATAACGCGATCTTTGTATCGTTGCCGCTAATGCTTACTTCGACGGCCTGCCAGGGACCATCAGGTCCAAATGACCCAGAAGCCTAGGTCATGCTCCAAGGAGCTACGGCGGCAGCAGAGCTATCGATATACAAACTCTAAAGAAGGGTTATGGCCCAGAGCAATGGATTCTTTATGCCTTATTAGAGTGAAGTGTCAGCCGAATCTCTATATCGCTGCTTAAATCTGTCACGTGGAATCAAGCCGAAGTAAACAAAGTTGGCTTACCTATAGAGTTCAAAGGGAACGTTGGAATCAGAGGATAGGAACCACGGTTCGATAACGGTTCGTTCGGCTTTTCCAGCGGATACTTCGAGTAAACACGCGATATTCACTAAAAATAGAATCAGCACGACTTGATGCCAGTGAAGGAAGAATACTCCGTTGTTAAACAGGATATTTTCTCAGCAACCGCCGGGGACGGACGCATGTGAAAAGCCAGGAAGTTGAGGGAGATTTTGGACGGAGCCCACTACGGACCCTTTTTGGTATTAACTGTTTTAGGTATGGGTTCAGCTGGAGATTGATTAAACACGTACTAATGTACAGTCCACTAAGTACGAGTATGGAGTACAATAGGGGCAGTAGGCCCGATCCCCTTCCCACCATACGAACAGGTACTAGTAGCACCTGGGCAAACATATACAGAATCCGATTTGTCATTGCTAAACAAAATATGGCATTGGGCTGATACCTGGGTGCAATTTCGTACACTGTCCGTCTTGTAATACCTGCTAAATGAAGATCGACTCGGTCCATTACTCGATAAAGCATAGCATTGCACCCATGACTCGTAGTCGGCTTGCCTCTACAAGGGGTAAGAATTGACAAATTGCAGGACGAAATACGAGTATACCAGGGTTTGTGGGCTATAATACCAATAGTGATAAGATCCCTATATTTTGGAAGGAAAAATAATATATACCCATAGACCTGGTTTCTGTTGTGGACAGAATTTGGTCAAAACGTGGGAATCGGAACTGGCAGATCTGTTTGATAATAAGCATGGCTTTGTTCAATTGATGTATCTTGAGGCCCTACCCTGCCCGCTGCCCAGGCCTTTTCCGCTGCGGATTACGCTGTCGTCCAGTAATGGTGTTTCGCCCCCAATTTGTAAGAAATTAGTGCGGTTTGGGACCAAATGTCTCGCTTTGGTTACGGAGCAGATTCGGGGTCTCCTGTGCTTACCCCGGCGGTTAGCTTGCTGTCATTTTCAACCTGGCTAGGCTGACAGGTCTAAGACGAAGGATTTCTTCACTCACACCACGCCATAAGTAAAGATACGATATTGATGGCTAATCGCTAGACTTTGCAAGCGATCATACCATGACTGTAACCAAACCCCTACGCGCTGTATTTGTCCTGATATCTATCATATTACTGGTGATCTTTCTTCGGATTCGCGGCAGTTTTGGCTATCTTAGGCCATAGGTTACTATCCAATTTGGGAAAGAAGTTGACTGGACTCGCTTTGCGTATATACAATATGTCACTAATACTGATTATCTGTGTAACTCGGTCATGCTATTTGAGGCCCTGTATCGTCTCGACAGCAAGCCCGACCGCTTAATGATGTACCCCGATTATTTTTCGGTCGCTGATGACGATAATTTGAGGGAAGCGGAATTACTCCGTATCGCTCGGGATAAATACAAAGTCAAGCTTAAGCCTATTCAAGTTTAAAGCAGGAACGGCGGTGACCGTAAGTAATTTTTCCCTGCGGTATACACTATGGTCGCTTTGCCAGTACCTTCCTTGAAGTGTCCCTCTTAGCTAATATCAACCACAGAAATATGGGCAGAGAGCTATACGAAGCTTCTTGCTTTCAATCAAATACAATACGACAGGGTTTTGAGCCTAGACTCTGACTCTACTATCCTGCAAGTCTGTTTATCACAATGTTGTCTTATCGTTCCTACTAACCTACCTACAGGCTATAGATGAGCTGTTTCTGCTCCTACCTTGCCCTGTCGCAATGCTACGAGCCTACTGGCTTAATCCAGACGACTGAGTCCTAAGTTCGCAATTGGTTCTTGTCGAACCGTCTACGTTTGAATTCACTCGCGTTATGCAAGCAATTGCTAATGCAAGCTCTGGCGACTTTGACATGGAAATCGTCAACGATTTATACAAAGACAGCGCTTTCGTCCTGCCACACCGTTGCTACGATCTTTTGACAGGAGAGTTCCGCGGCAAAGAACATGCTGGCTACCTTGGAAACCCGTTGGAAGAATGGGATCCCTATGCCATTCTTAACGAGACCAAGTTTCTCCATTTCTCTGACTGGCCTGTGCCCAAGGTTTGTGCTAGGATTCCAAAGTCGACCCAAGATGCTAACCTGTGTGAATGATAGCCATGGATCGAAGCTCCTAAAGATATTATTGATGAAAAGCAGCCTACCTGTGATTTCAACCCTCTGACCTAACAGGAAGATGACTGTCGCGCTTTGAACATTTGGTTGGGCATTTACGACGACTTTAAGATACGACGAAAGGTTCGTCATATTAGTTCCTCTGTCACAACTATCAGACCGTGTTGTTTTCTAACGAAAGAAATAGAATGTATGTAAAACCAGTGCAGCGGAAGCGTAATTAATCCACGAGATGTCTTCACTATCTCAGCATACTGCTACTGCATACGTTAGATGGGCCAGTGTATTCTCGCATCGTTGGATGCTAGACGTCTATCGATTTTCCCTCTTATTTCTCCATCGCGATGTACATATGCTGTTTTTATTTGCGAGCCAGTCATTTGAAGCATGCATTTCAAGCCAAGGTACGTATTGTAAAAGCTGTAACGATACTGTTCTGGACATCATACTGCATAGTATCATTGGGTCATGCGCCGTCCCCTTTAATTTAAAGGAGTATGTCGAATTTCGTACAGCGTAATTTGCCACTAGACCATAACAAAAACCAAGGTGCTTGTTTAGGGCCTAGAGGGGCCATATCCCATTCTTGACAGAGTACAATATGTACGTCTGCCTCCGTAGCAGCCTCCCATGGGTTTTCGACGATATGAGCGTCAACCCCCCGAATATCCATTGACCAAATTTAGAAGGGTTCAACATATGTGAAACATCCTGCCGCCGATTATGCACAGTAGCCGGGATTGTCCTGATTCATCTTTTCATTTTAATTAACTGATAATTAAAAATTTAATAAAGTGACATTACGCATGAACCAAATTATGCGAAGCCCTTGATGAGGTGGAAACTGCCGATCTTGTACCCCAATGGGATGGATGTAAAGATCCGCTGGGGTTCGGCCCGCCCGCAAATGCATTGGTAAAGTTTGTGGTTCGTTACACTTACTGTACAGGTATGGTAAGACAATTTACAGCATCACGGAAATGCACAGGTAGGCAGTGTTCGTAACATATTGCGTGTAAGCAAATTGAGACCAATTCAATGCGTCAACGGCAGCTGGACCATCGTAGTGACTGGGAATTTGTACCACTGTAGGCTCGCCATCTATAATGAGCAAAGACACAATTATAACAAAAAGGAAAACTATGGTAATTGTAGCTCGCATGGTGGGTCCTGTGGGGAAAGGACAATGAAAGGCTTGGCAAGGGTTCAGTTGGCAGAGAAATACTTTAACCCATATAGAACTTCCTTTTTGATATAAAAAACAGTGAGTATTAAACAGAGCAATAAAGGTTGAGATATACAGGAGGCAACGTGGTTGCGTTCTGGTATTAAAAATTGTCACTGAGCCCGCTGTACTAAAGGGCTGGGTAAGCGCTAACGTGTATATGCGATATAAAGAAAAAGGCTAGGAAGTCGGAAAAAATACAAAGTATTCGTATAGAAATCTGGGGGCCAAAGGTGCGAGACTAGTCCATATAAGACACGTAAGGGTACTTTTGCTATGTTATGATTACACCTATAAAACGACAAAATTAGGGATAATACCTACGCGCTAATGCTATAGGGATTCGAATCCCAGGGTCCGAGATTGGATCACTACGCGCTGGGACTAATGTGCTGGACAGCCTCCCCTGCTTGGTATTGCAAGATGATCCAGATAAACCAACACCGGTTTAAGAAGAGGTGCGAGCCTAGTGAGCGCGACTCCTAGTGCCCCTCCGACTTTTATCGTCTCGTTCCATGAACCCCTGGCCCCGAACGCTCGTGTCTGTCCTCTATATTCTGTCTGTGATATAGACATCAGATGCAATATGAGAATGTCGACGGGGATATCCTGCTCACAGATACGTCGAAGTCGAATCGGCATCATTTTTCTGCTTTTCGCCCTCCTGGATTTCAGCTCTGCAGACTCGCTTCCATGGGTGATGAGATGGTCCCCAAAAGGATTTGGACCAGATGGCCCTTGGAACGCTGTGTTGTGGGAAAGAGGAGATCGCTCTGTATCCAGGGGGGTGGTGGAACAGCTACATCATTCTTTCTTCCTACTGTTCAAATCGCACGTTAACCTCCTACTGCTATGCCGATGATGCCGGCACCTTCGATACTCAATCGAGCACTTGGGACAACACATCCATTGATTATACGCCTTATGGCTTGTGGGGGTCTCTGGATTTCTCGCAAACCAACGACAATCCGGTCTTCGGAAGGGCTCACTGTGCCACAGATACGATGAGTCTATATGGGGTAGACATCCCAAGGTCCAATCTAATCGCTGTCCAACAAGGCTACCAGACCTACCCCGGAGGACAGAGTTATCCTCTCGAAGTTGGCTCCCTAGCGCTGGGTGCCCAATACATGAACCAGACATTTGGCAACATCGGAGGAACCATTGCCCCTGGCTGGTTGTGGAACGGGTCGAAGCAAATCGAATCATATTCATACGGCATGCACATTGGGTTATCCTCGCTAGGTATTCCGGGCAGTTTGATGCTCGGTGGCTACGATCAAAGTCGGCTGCTGGGTGACGCTTCTGTTCAGCCTCACACGGGCAGTTCGGCGCCTATCAATCTACTCGACGTTAGCCTCGGTGTCGTGACCGGTGGTTCGCCATGGGATTCTTCTAGCAAAGAAGGCCTACTTGCACAAGGAAACTCTTCTCTTTTGGGGGGCACCACCGTCATAGCAGCCCCAGTCGATCCTTGCATTTACCTGCCTCAGGGTTCCTGTGACGCCATTGCTGCTGAATTATCAGTGACTCACAACGCTGATTTGGGTCTTTATATCTGGAATACCAACGACCCTCAATACCAGAAGATCGTCACTTCTCCCAGCTATATTGCATTTACTTTCACCAAGGATAACACCAACACACAAGACCTTTGAGATCACTTGAGTTGCAACATGCTCTCGCTGTTGCATTTGAAGAGGATAGCTTTGACGAAAAAAATCTCTTAGAGAATAAGACATCATCTCTGTGTGTGCAGGCATGGTTACAGCTGATGAGTAAAGCGACGTCGTTCAACTACGACACTACACAAGGTATGAGTTAAGAATAACTGAACCGAGTTCTTTCCCGATGCTCATGGCCAACTTGCGACTATATGTATTTCCTACATGCGCCATGAGGTACTTCAAGATGGGCTCACATCCTCGCACAGTCAGTTTAAAGACTATCTTGAACGATTTCCACCTTTTGAGTACTCGGCCAAGAATTGGGGCTATCATGCACGCATGTCCCACTCAAAAGTGAAGGAACAAGTCCAAGCTTTTGTTCAGAGCGAGAACGCCCTTTCTCAATCCCTCTGGGTATTGTTTGCCGATCGGTACCTTCGGCGAATCAAGCAGGGGTGCTCAATCAGAGCCTCTCTACTATATACTGCAGCATACTTCAGCCTTGGAGAATGTCTTCTTTACTTTCTCGCCAATAGTGTCTCCCGTGATACAAAGGACGATGATGGCCAGACTGCATTACACTGGGCTGCCAGAAATGGACAAGTGGAAGCAGCTGAACTGCTATTGAAGCATGGTCTTGAAGTCTACGGGGCCGGCAAAGAAAGAAAAACAGCCTTGCATTACGCTGCTGACCAGGATGACTCACAATTGATAAAACTCCTTGTGCAATATAGGGCAAATATTGAATATACAGACATCGATGGCCAGACACCTCTTCTTACCGCGGTGCAGAATGTGAAGCTTGAGCTGGCTCAAGAACTAGTTCGTCTCGGGGCCTCAATAAAAGCGATAGACTCTATGCGTCGCAGTGCGCTACACTTATCAACCAAGGGGGGAAGTCGCAGCATTCAGATCACCAATTTTCTTTTAGCGAGAGGTGCTTGTTCTGAGATATGTGACGTGGGAAACATGATGCCATTACATTACGCCATCCGCAAGGGATCTAAAGACACAGCCGAAGCCTCAATTCAAGCAGGAGCATGTGTCAACGCTGGCATCGCGAGGAAGAGATGGAATCGAACAACAAAAGCTGGCCGCGGGGTTTATGAACCTTCACCTGGAGACCAGGATGCCCCTGGAAGTAAGCTCGTTCATGGCCTAACTCCACTGCATTGGGCAGCACTCATAGGCCACTCGGAAATGGTCAGATATCTTCTCTCCAAAGGGGCCGACCGAACAAGCGTTGCCAGGGTGGCGACACACCGTTGCACCTTGCCATACGCGAAGATATCATTCGGGATTACGGAGATACTTGGAACTCACCCGAATGGCGGATTGAAGTTCTCAGCGACTTGGTTGGGGCTGGAAGTGAAGAGGCTTAACTATATAGAACCACGCACGGGTACGCACAAAGCCAAGTGCGCTAAACCAAAAGGGTCACTAAACTACATTAGTCATCCCCCTCAGGTCCACTTTGCCCTTGGTTCATATAGCCAATAACATGCTCTTCCTTCATCCAATATCCGATATGGTGTAGTGGCTAACATCGCCGTCTCTCACACGGCAGCCGGGGGTTCGATTCCCCCTATCGGAGATTAACTTGACATATCTTTTTAGATGCGGTTCGTTTTGTACTGGTTTTTTATATATTGTACACGCGAGAAGAAAGAGAAGGCGGTGATTGTTTCATAGTCATACAAAAGTTCTTGTCCTGCATAGTTATTACATGTTGCTGATATACAAAAGTACGAATCCTTACTACTGACAGTACTCCGTACGCATAAAGACAAACTAAAAAAATCCTCTGACCCGGGATCGAACCAGGGACCTCAAGATAACAAGTTCTCTTAAAGAATAGGGCAATTACAGTCTTGCGCTCTTCCAGCTGAGCTATCAGAGGGGTTGATACGGTACAATTAGGTGCCTCTAAAATCCATAAGTTTGAAGTTGATCCCCAGGTTATCGGCAGTAGATCGGCAATAGATCGGGTTTTGTTATCGATCGGGATTTTCTTATCGGTCTCCTTATCAGTAAGTATGGCGGAAGCGTCCACGTTGACATGTGAAACTGGAGATTTCAGTTGAACTATTTTAGGTCGTTTTCTATCATTTGCCATCTAATCTAGATTTTCCCCCAAAAGGCCCTCAAGTTCCCATCCGGTGTCAACTTCAACTCAGTGCACGGTGATAATGGACTACGCTATTTTCCCCATCCCGGCATCCATTCGGCGTCGACTACCCCGCCTATACTCTGCCCGAGCCGTCCCCGAGACCACCGAATCGAGCGGGGATCAGCACCGTGGACTTGCATCTTCGTCGGAACCTCATCTGCTATGTCAAAGCCAATTGTCTGCGTCAGTAGTACCTGAGCTCCAAGGGCCTTCCATGGCCAGCAATGACTTGGATTTGTTCGACCCTGGCCCCGTGGGGTCAGATAGTCCCCGAGAGGACATGGGGTCCCCGACAAAATACGAAACCACATCGGGGCTGCGGTGGAATCGAGTCGTACCCGGTGAGTCCTCTCCGGTTGATGTTCGAAGTATTCATTGCATGGTTTTTACTGACGGTTTTCGTGAAGCGTTCAATCTTCTCCGAAATGCGGGGTATGAAGCCCAGCAGCCGCAGGCTGATGGCCGTCTGGCTCGATCTCTCTACTTTAACGCTCTCATTTACCTTCTCGATGCTTTACCTTCCGACCTGACCAATGAGGAGACCTCCATGCTTCAGCACCATATCCCCGAGCCGGTGAAAGTCGAGTTAACAACATACTCCCAGCCGTCCGGGTATATGGAAGGTGCGAATCATACAATATGCCCTCCGCCAAGATCATATCTGCATAAATTTCTTGCCTCAATGATCTTGCAGTTGTTCATTCTATTGCGGTTCCTTCTACCATATGCAAAGGTGCTATTGCGCCAAATATATGAGTATGACCGGACACATCGCATCACTCGGCGTATCATGACCATCACACTGGAGGCAGCTGACGGGTTGGGGAAAGGCGGTGTTAATATCGGAGCTGCTGTTAGCAAGTTCAACGAAGGGCGGATTGGCGCTGCTCTCACTAATTTCGCGGTTTGGTGGATGGAAGGTGTAGCTGGAGGCATATATGAGGGGGTTGGTGAGGGGATGATACATTTGGGTCTCTTGGGGAAAGAAGCGGATTTGGATAGACTTCCTTTAGAGCCGATGAGTATGTAGATAGATAGATCATAGGTCATAGATGGCTTATATTAGATTACGTCCCAACGAGAGCAATGAACATATTCATGGAGTATGACATCACATCTTGTAGCAAGCTCCTTAGCAATGCCCATCAACTTTATAGTGATTTGCAGCGATGTCGAGAACACTCTAGGCCGTAATAGCATCGAAACCGATGTGTGGAATGTTGGCACTGATGATGGCAAACTATGAGGTTGATCGAGTCACCTAGCAATTCTTCCAGTGATTGGTTATCGCCAGACTTGAGTGCTTGTTCCAGGTCTCCGTAGAGAGTGGCTGTCAAATTACGAAGACCCATAGCGCTCAGGGCTCGAAACTCCCTTTTGGGGGGATTTGATGCCTGTATGCCTTATTTTAGCACCGCTCTCGATAACTACCGCCCTATATGAAGCCTTCGGCCTATACAAATTTCGGCATCTTCATATTTTTGGGTGGTTTTTGAGTTCCAAAAAAATTTCTACTTTGAGTTGACTGCCGGTTTTCTCTTCTTCTTTCTTCTTTCTTCTTTCTTTCTCCCTCGGCATAAATCCGGGTAAGGGAGGTGGAAGGGATCAAATCCTCCGTCTCCGCTGGCTCCGCCGAGGTGCTGGAGATCTAGCACGCTTGCGACGGACTGGCTTTGGTTTTGCGGCTGCGATAATAACAGGGTCAGCCACGAAACAGGAATGTAAGGGTGTGTGGATTACCTCGAGGGATGCTTCGAGCGGCGGCCAGATCAAGCATAGGTAGACGGCTTCAATGCCGAGACATAAAGGAATTCTAGGATTTGTGTCACATTTGACGCCCATTTTCTACTATTATGGTAATTCAGGTATTTAAATTTTCTGCCGTTCTAAAATAAGGCATCCAGGAATCAAAGCCTCCCCAAGAGGAGTTTGGAACCCTGAGCGCCATGGGTCTTCGTAGTCAAACTATCAACTCATATGTACGGAGTAAAATTAGGGAGTTACTATTTATATAGGGAATTGTTGCTCACACCCCCGGAAAATCGGCTCTAGTGGTCCGAGGTCTAGTTGGACTTCTGTGACTGATCTTGATCTTCTTTCACCGCTCATTTCCCCTCCATTCAGCCAATCATCCATATTTCAATATTACTTCCATCAATACCTGCTCTGTTCACGATGTGGGAACCAGTCGCTATCCCCTTTCAGAACTCCAAGCCTCTGCCTACTCTACCTACAACAGATGAAATTCGCGCTTGCACCAATGTTCTGTGGGAGACCATGGCCTCCAAGATTGTGGCGGTGAACGACGATATTGTTGCAAAATATGGGGGTACTGTCAACGCCTGGGAAGGCCAAGCTTTGGTTTACCTTGAACGATACGTCCCAGGAGTTCCGGCCCCTCGACTATACGCGATGTACTATGAGTCCAAACAAGTCTTCATGATCATGCAACGCGTTCCTGGGGTTCCGCTGAATTCCATCTGGCCATCATTGGTGGACTCTGAGAAGGACGACATTATCGCAAAACTTAAACTAATATCCGACACAATGCGAAAGGCCGAGTGTCCATGGCCCGACTTTTTCGGAGGCCTGGACGGGGGCGGCGTACATCACTACCTATTCTATAGCCAGCATGGCGATAAAAAATTCCTAGGGCCTTTCTCTGGCGAGCCTGCCTTCGTTGCGGCCCTTGTCGGTAATTATAGAGCCTTGGTCGAACGCAATAAGCGTCCAGACTTCAAGGCTCGCTTTTACGAAAAACACTGGGCTCGCGTCCTTCAAGGTCACCGGCCCACATTGACACATGGGGACCTTCAGCAGAAGAACATTATTGTCGCAGAGAATACAAGTCGCCCAAACGATCAAGGTGGGCGATCATTTGATGTCGTACTGGTCGATTGGGAGAATTCTGGCTGGTTTCCTGACTTCTGGGAATTCTTTTGTGCATCTTCCCCCTTTATTTTTGACTGGGGAGAAGACTGGTCCTGGCGAGTCCAGGAGTTTCTTCAAGTATGGCCAGCCGAGGTGGCCATGATGCAACTGATTGACAGGGATCTAGGCTGGTGAAGTACGTTGCTATGTTTAGAACGAAATCGATGTATTCTTAACCACAAAGAAAAAATAAAGCTCGTCAACTTCCATCTCAATCCTTCATCAGAAGGCTCTGGCCGTCATCTGCGCTCCGCAAACAGGCATCCAGAGTGGGTGGCCCCGATTCTTCTGGGATGCGATCGTATGACCGCAAACCGAAACAAACCGATACTTCAAATTTAGCTATGTAAAATGCCTTCCTGTCGCAACTTCGGAATCGCAATCTGATGTGTCCATTCATTGCACTTTATGATTGGCCGTCGTTGTTCGCCTGGCCCGTAAAGCTCCCCATTCTCCTTCGTCCAAGTGATCTTATTCCGCTTGCTTGGATCATGGCTCCAAAAGTCAATCCCCTGCTGCTTGGTCGGTGTGGGCAAGGCTTCTAAGATACCCCTTATTCTCGGAAAATCGACTTTGTAAATCCATCCAATCTCTGTGGTTCTGTGAAAATGCGCGGACGCTCCAGGAGTATAGCTTTCTTTCACATCGAAGTACATGCCCTTTGCGGCGATGATGTCGCCGGTGACATGAAATAGATCTCCTTCGAAAATATCCGGGTCTGTTTGAATGAAGACACCTGTGTGGTATCGCTTCGCAGGGTCCAGAGGATCGGGGGCTGCTGTGTCGAACTCTGGTGTGAAGACTCTGTACCGCTCGGATGCGGGAGGATTGTCGGACATGTTTGATATCCAGATAAAGACGTGAGAAGGACGTAGCGTTGATGGGGGAAAACAGAGTATATCAAAGTATTGAGACACTGGATAGTGAAAAGATGGTGGTTTCAGTCAGGAGAAAAGAAAACAAAAGTGAAAACAAGTTCAGTAATTACCTCCTCAAGGCAAGTACTGTAATGGGAAGGAATGTAGGTGATCTTTCTTTTTAGAATGGGATTCATTCTTCCTTTTATAATGTCTTCCTTCTATAATGAAAGTATACATGACATATTTTAAGTATCATCTCGCCTCGTCTGAAACAAACCAATTGGACAGCAATCCCCGCCAGGTCTCAAATTAGGCCGAGTACCTCTTCCAAAGTTGGCGCCCGGAGTACTCCTTTGTAGCCTCACTTTCAGCTCTCTGACGCTAGCGCTGGACTTGCATATGTACTATGTCCAGCCATTTCCCTTTTATGGAGCCAATCGTCGCTCGATTTCTCCTCTAGTTATATTCTCAAAATAATCACACTGGCTTTGTTCAAATGTGTATTTATTATCGTGTCGTAATAGTTTGTAATGCTGAATTAAGCAATTGGACGACAGCTGCGGAGAAAATCTACACATGTCTACTCCGTATAGCCTGCGGGGTATCGGCTACGCGCCGGATGCTGTGGAACGTGCCGTCTTTCCACAATTCGCGGTTTTGTTTCGCCTTGAAACATTGGCTGGATTGAAGTGGTCAATGACCTCTAAGGGCTTGCCGCCAGCCTGAAAAGCGCAACCTTGGAAAGAGAATTTGTTTTGTCAGTCGATCAAAAGTGGTCCTAGATGGGCGTCAACGAAAATGTTCGACGTTGACACCGAAAATAGTGTCGCAACCAAAACGTACCCTTTCCAGGCTGAGCCGCTCATTGCGATTCTGTCCAAAATACCTTGCCCCGGCTCATCTCCCGGTATGATTAGACTTCCGGTGTCAATTTTATTATCACCCAGGAGCAGTGGGTGAGCGTTGAGGCGGCTTACTGGTCAAAGATCATTGGCTAGCACGTTTCCCCCAGGGTGAGCAACTGCTGGCTGCGCCCGCTGTGCTACGAACTCTGTATGGATCCCTATAGAAGTGCGCTTTGGTGTTTCATGGATGCATTAGCGAAACGCCCACGATGTTCGAGCTCGACACCTTGGCACCCGTGAATTGCCAATCATTTTTGGTAGCCTTATCTGATCCAAGAGGAATATACATGCCAGCCGAGGAATACATGTCAGCTAAGGAATACTCGTGTCAGTCGATCAGCCCTGTTTGTCGATCCGTGAGGGGTCCATCATATGATATGCATGTTGACATCGGGGCCTTTGGGCAGATAGATTCCATATAGTCGAGGACCCCCATTCCCAACGAGGAAGAGACACTCGCACAACGACAAAGTCGCTTTCACCCTCGGAGGACTGACAAGCATTAGTCCCAGACAATACATTCATACATCGTATCTTACCCGGTTGACAGACCACACACTGGAATACAGTGTACCTTTACATTATCTCTGCAACTTAAATAATGGTCAATAAGCATCAGTTCCACTAAATATTTTATTGGATGGACCTGGCGGATGGTTGCAAACACAAAAAAGTTCGCTTGGTCTAATTGTGTGGACTCCTCTGGACTGCGCCAACTTGAGCGGTGAATAGATACTCAACCCTAGTTCAGCCTGTTGAGTCTTTTCAGTTGCCAAGGTTGATTTGTATCTCGGGAGGATACGTGATCTGGGCTCAACCCCATAACTGATCGGTGATGGTAGAGGATTTGAATAATATCGATTGTACCGCCAGGCCCAGGCGACGGCATGGATCTAGGAGTCACGGTTCGACTCGTCCGTTAGACAACTGATTCAAAAAAAGGGAGACAGGAGTGTGAAAATGCAATTAATTGTGGTGCACGGAAATATAGTATCTTAAACGGGTCAATATTATTCTCGATCTTGGAACATAAGCCTGACTTGGAGGGTGCGTACTATCACTACAACATCCTGTTGTTGTATGTATGTCTTCTGCTCTGCAGCGAGAGAAGGAAGATAGCAGGGCTTTACGAGTCGATATATTCTAGAATATTAGACTTCCAATTTACACCCGTTGTTGTATGAGGGGGGCAAATATACTGATTTGAAGGAGGCGGTGGAAAAAGCGGTAGGTAGAATCAGCCAAATCATTTTATAGTCACGATTGGCCGTTATTCTCCCCCGTATAGCCAGGTGAGCGTCAACCCCGGATCTTCCCAACTCCCTCTGCTAAAGTAGACATGTCGACCTCCAAGTTGCCCTGCATACCTTCACTTCGAAAGCAGCAGCTCCACCTGGAATTGTGAGCCTATGTACCCCGCGAATACCATTTTATGTATTGACACCCCTACAGCGCGAGCCTGAGACGTGCAGCACCGCCAGGGGTTTACATGAGCCTTGCGCCTGGGGACCCGACACTTTGGAATGGAGTGATATTTGTTCGCTCAGGTGAATTCAAATTTACTATTCCCTCCGCCATGCGTCGATTAACTCCTGTTTGTAGGTCCCTATGCTTCGGCCGTCCTCCGATTCCAGCTCCGCTTCCCAGACACCTATCCCGACCTTCCTCCTCTAGTCACCTTCGCGACGGACTTGTTCCACCCATTGATTGTGCCTCTTACTACATATACCTATAGCACTGGCTCGGCAAGTGACAATCCCGTCAGTGCGACGGACGATGAACGATTACCGCCCGGCGGATTCAGTCTGCGCCATGGATTCCCCCACTGGTTTGGTAGGGCAAAACGGAACACATCACGGAATGTAAGCGGTGCTAGTGCAAGTGCTGCATCGATCGGACGCGCAAGCTCTACCGATCCGGTTACAGACGATGGTGATGAATCGAACGCGTCAAACCCTCCAGCGGCATCAGCGGCTAGTGAGGACGGCGATGTAGAAGCATCGCGGGTGGCAGAAGTACCTGCTATAGATCAGTTTTCGGAACGAAGAGACGTTGTCCCTGTGTCCGAGATACTGGATTACATTCGGTCGACCTTTGATGACGAATTGGTTTTGGATTCGCTGCCGGTTGAGGTTGCCGGGAACCCCGGGGCATGGCATGCATGGCAGGCACATCGTCGAGGAGGCCCTCGAGGACAACTGAAACGTGGAAGCCCGCAGGCTCGGCTTCCGGGGGATTGGCACTGGGATGGAATTTGGGCCAGGCGGGTGAAAGATGAGATTGAAAACTCTCATTCTGAGCCGATGCTGTTTGGAGGTGCTGCTCGTGGGGGTGTGGATGAAATGGTACATGACCCTTGGCGTCCTTTCTTGACTTGTACTAACCACATTTTAGATTCGATTCTCGCGGCTGGATGATACAACCATGAACTCAGTCAAGGAGAAAATGGCTGCAATGGCAGGGGACGGGATATAAGTGCTATTATGATACCCAAAATGCTACTTTACGTTGTCTTAAATCTTCATCGACTTAATCTCGGAATATCCCACGGATCCTCCGTCCAGGAGCCATGGAAATGCCATCGTCGTTGCCATCTGAATCGTCGGTCCTCAGGAAGCGGCAGGAGCATATGGCTTCAACGTTGTTTACTTCCCCATTTCTCCTCCTCGCATCATTATATCCCAGCAAAATGACCTATAAGCTATCATATGATATCAAAAGCTCAGCTTTAATTATTGCATTGATCCTTGTTCCTATCGCTGTTCTCGTCTTTGTTGTTGTCGTCGCTCTTGCGTGTTCCAATTACTGGAGCATTCATTCCCTCAAAGAATCGTTCCTGTCGTGCTTCAGTATTTGGAAGCAGCAGAGACGCAAGAAGATCCCATCGGACTCAGAGACTTGCCCCATCACGCCCCGGTCGACTCTAGTTCGTGCGACAGACGCTTCGGATATTCGGATTGAATTCGAGCGTCCTGTCACCAACAGAGAGCATATTTAAATCTCGCGACACCATGGAGGAAATACCAACTACGCCGATTTCTGTTCTTAAACGCCGCACCCCATTCATTGCACACATACATAGAGCCAGCTCGACATCTAGCTCTGCTTCGAGCTTGTCATATCCACAGATCCCTTCTCGCCATTCGTCCCTTTCTGCGAGCGTGGAATACGATTCAAGCGAGCTTGCAACATCAACCAGAAGCCCGTCTCTCAGTGATAGTCTTTACAATATTGATGTGGTTAAACTTCGTCAGGAACATGCTGCAGCTTCCCGAGGTATCCGCAAGGCTGGCTTTGATGCGAATGAAGACCCATTTATCGATCAGGTAATTTCCGCCATGGTTTCAAGTGCATTGTCCTTACTGACCTTTCCCTTCAGACATCGCGCCGCCGGGTTGATCCTCGAAGAGGACTCATGACTCAGAGTGGATATCAACTGGCGCCACAACTTCTTGTCCGCTGGAGCTCCGGGTCTTATGGTTCTATGGAGCCATGTCTCTCGTCGAAGTCAGCCTCCGTTTCCGGCGCAATGGAACCGCCAACAGATTCCATCTCGAAACATAAATCCAGAATGGACAGTTCCCGGTCTTTATCAAACATGCTGCGCCCAGGGTCATCCGGGTTACTTTGTCCGTTGGAGCTTCCTGTCGCGTTCGCCACCATGAGGTCCTACACAGGCTGGCCGTGCATGGGCACAGATTCGATGTCTGTGTGGGCGTCAGTAAATGTATCTGCTGATGTTGAGCCTATTTCGCTGCCTGAGACCTCGACCCTAGCACCCCTTGACATTATCATACTTTTTGATAGCTTGTGAGTTGATCCGTTGGTTTAATCGTCAAGAGAAAACATGTTTTGCTGACTATCAAATAGGCGACAATCTTCTGTTAGCCTTTTGACGCCAATGGTCTTGGCATCTTCTGTGCTTGCTTCAAATCTGGTCAGCAATGACAGAATAGCCGTAGCATGTGTTGACGGAAGTTCTAAAGACGGTTTTAAGCTATTCCTTCCGCTGGGGTTCCACCCATTCGAGACATTGAGAGCTGCCCTGAATGAATTTTCTCTCCGCCAGTTGAAGAAGAAAACGAGAAAAGCCCCTGACGCGAGTAACTCTATTCGACAGGCATCTCGACTCTTTTACCCGTCTCCCAGAGCAGCGTTTTGTCATCTGGTATTCATATCCGCGTTTCCCCCAGAAAATCTGTTTATATCTGGCGTGGACACGGCTATTGGTATCCATACGATCTCCCCTCAGCCTTGCTTCCCTCTTGGCACAGCAAACCATCCACTTGGATGGCACATTTTCTATGATGCCAATGCAGATGATCCACGATCCTGCGAAGTTCATTTCATGCGAATGGTCTCCAAAGTCATTCGGCAGCTTCGTACCGGTCTCAGCCCCGGGATCCTATCCAACTTGAAATTGTTTGTTGAGCAGGGCCACGGATGCCAGTTTGATTCGGCAATGGAAGACTGCCACCTGGCGCGGTTACGACCAGGGGAGACGTGGATACTCAAAGTGAAAATTGGTGTTCCGATTGAGTTTTATCAGGAAACACAATTGACTGAACATCCCGTGTTCGAAGACTTGATCAGGCAGATCAACAGTGTTCTAAAAGCGTATTCTTCTGAGCCGGCCGCCCAGCATGTTCTAAGCGCCCACCTGGAGCACCAGCACTCTTTGCTACCGAAACCCCATGCTATTTGCTTGGAAACTCATTGCACTATCTCGCGCATCCCAGGTGTGCCGCCCCGTCCTTCTGACGATTATCGCAAGGTTTCAGCGCTAATGTCGTATGAAATGGACGATGATGCTATCAGTATCAGCTTGGGATCTTCAAGCGAACTCAGTTGAGATCAACTGTTTGTATTTGCTCGATGGAGTCATCACACTATTCTTATGGCCTAATGCTTGATTTGCTCCCGACTTGAATTATGCTTTATATTTGTATCTGTATAAGAAGGCTTTCTCTTACTCTTGGAGTATAAGTTTCAATTGGATGCAACTCGCTATTTGACTAATGAAGAAGAACTATTCCTTGTGTTCAAATTCAGTACTGGAACTGGGTATAGTGTAGATATGACCACACAAACGTCGCAAGTCTTCCCAATGACGGCAAAGTTCGACAGCAGGGGATATCAAATGCGAGGGTAGACATTGCCCGCCATCCGCCATGTCTCTTTGATTAAATCCGCACATTTCTCTCCGATGCCGTAAGCCGGCATCTGGGTATGTCCTCCATGCAATGTAGGCATGACACTGCAATCAGCAACTCGCAGCCCCGACACACCCCTCACCTGCAACTTCTCATTGAGAACAGCCATCGGATCACCATTCTTCCCCATGGCACAAGTACCCGCCGCATGGTAGCCTGTCAACAAAAGTCAGTAACCACAAGACGAACCGTCCTTCCAATACAGCACTCACAAGTAGTCGCATGCTGCTTCACATACGGAACCCACTCCTCCCTCGACTTATAAGTATGGTGCTTCAAATTCGGCGGCCAAGACCCCTTAACGATATCCTTGGTTCCAGCACCCTGCATAACAACCTCATTCGCAAACCGACAAGCCTCACTAAGAACCAACACATCAAGCGGATCAGCGAGATAGTTACAATCGACAATCGGGTTAACCGACGCATCCGCCGATTCGAGCACCACCGAGCCACGAGACTTCGGCGCGAACAGCTCGGCAATGATGGAAAACGCGTGCTGGTTATTGATCGGGAATTGGTCGTATTGCTTGGGACCGCCGTAGCACTCTGTGCTGAAGAACTCGATGTTTGGCTGCTGTGGTGTGAGACCCATAGGGTCACGGCCGGGTTCGCGGGAGGTGTTTTTCCAGAGAGGCTCGTCTTGCAGTCGGTCGTCGAGGCGCGCGAAGGCGAAGCTGCCGAAGGGGAAGGTGGATAGGAAGCCGGTTTTGTTCTCTTTCCACTGTGCGTAGGTTCGGTCGAAGTTGTTGCCGTGGTAGACGTGGTGGTCGTTTGTTAGGCCTTGCTTTTCAGTTTCGTAGAACATGAATACGATCTAGAGGTGTGGACTGTTAGGATGGTTCATGTTGATATGATCGTTAGGGAATACTGACGAGATGGTCCATCAGGTTCTTGCCCACGCCTGGTAGGTTGACCAAAGAAGGAATGTTGTGCTGTTCTAGCTCTGCCTTGGGGCCGATGCCAGATCGAAGGAGGATTGCGGGACTGCAGTAGGCGCCTGCAGAGATTATGATCTCCTTTCGAGCGTAGTAGATGCGAGAGCCGCCATCTGAAGTTTGCGTGACTACGCCCGAAGCGCGAGTCTCGTTTCTCTGCTTACTGAAGATGATTTTGTCGACAGTGGTGTCGGTCTTGATGGTGATATTCCCACGGTGGCTCTTGTTGGTAACGAAATCAGCACCCGTTGTCCGCGTACCCTGGTATACTGTGCGAGGTACATGGCCACATCCTTGTGCAACATCGCCGGTGCTGAACATGTCATGATGAAGAGGCATGCCTTGCGAGACATAAGACTCCATCAAAAGCTTGGAGATTGGCGCCAGATCATGCGGCTCTGTGTGAAGGGGACCGGAGTGTCCGTGACTCTCTTTGTCGGCCTGGAACCATGGCTTTGGGTGAAATGTCTCTGACTATTCGTATTTTTGTTGTCAGTGCCTGCTTATTCAATGCGGCGTGGGAATCATATCACCTACTTTTTTCATATACTCGAAAAACTCTTCCCCACTCCACCCATCTAGTCCCCAGTCATCATAATCCAGCTTGTTGCCACGAATGCAAAGCGTGCCATTGCACCCGCTGGATCCTCCTAGGAACCGGCCACGACTCAGCTTCACTTGGCGATTGTCAACCCCTGCCATAGGAGGAGTGACGATATTCCAGTCTGTCTCGGCATCGAAGTTGTTTGACCACCTAATCTGTCAGTGATGAGGAATGCATCAAGGAGGGCTTTGCGACTCACCCGCCGGTCATGTGAACATTCTCCAGGTCCTTGTTATGCTGCCCAGCCTCCAGAAGCAACACACTGACCTCGGGGTTTTCAGCTAGACGGCCAGCAACCACACAGCCAGAGGTTCCTCCTCTAACTTATGGTAAGCAAGATTGTAAGCTTCTGTGGGTGGATAACTATCTTACCCGCAGACAACATAGTCATAGGTATCCTCAATTCCAGAAGCCATGGTGTAGATTTCAGATCACGACTTCATCAAGATGGCAAATTAAAGATCACCAAAATGCATGAAATATGAGCTCGGCTTTTTACACCGGACTTCTGAAATAGGGGAGGACGGAGGCGATTCCGCATACTCGTGGGTAACTTGGGACAATCTTACCTGTTTATGTACTAGGCAGCGACATTGGGCTTGGCAGAAGTACATTTAATGCATGATCTAGTGATAGACTTGCATCAGCCGGCATATGATTGGTCCAAATCAAAAACCTCGGGATACCCCAAAGTGTGGAGTTTGCGGAATGTCCAGTCCACTTTCCGCTCGCGGGGTATGGGGTATGGGTGAAAAGCGGGATGGTTCCACATCAAAGGTTATAGAACAGTCGATTCGCACACCAAAAAAGAGCCCACAGGGCCGTTATTGTTTCTATACAGCAGTCTCATAACCTATTGAGATGCTGAGAAATTCGATAAAGCAGGGGCGTGGTCCAGGATGGCTTTCTTTCCCCAAACCGGATCCCCATCATCGTCAAACTCAGCCCACTGAAAGAACGAACACCCTTCCTTTCCTGGTGCAAAACCAGCATAGCACATCCACATATATCTGCCTCGTGTCTCATGCTTGCGTTGTGCACACCGGAGAATCGTATGTTCACCACACTTACAACGTGGAGTGTAGCGTGGGTGTAGAGTATCACGATACCAACGATAGGTGATATTGATACGTCTGTTACCGGATATCGGATGTGGGGAGATAGCTTGAGCCGGGGTAATGGAGTGTTTCCACTCCTCTTGCATCTCTGCGTGCATAATAAGGAGAGAATTGTGCGGAAGATAGATCGAGATTTGGCCTTGGGCGTCAGCCCGTGCAGCTGATGCAGTCTGGTTTCGCGCAAATTTTGGGACTGGACTAGTCTTATCCGCATCTTGATCTTCTTCCGCAGTCTCGTCGTCTCGGGCTACTATTCGGCGGACTCGGAATTCGCGTGCCACGCCCAAGCTCAAGCTTCCTATCACTGGGTGGGGCCCAAGATAGGTCAGTTCGTCAGAGTGATATCCCACGCTTTCGGTCGGCCCGTCGTAGCAATTAACGAATGCTGCGTTGGGCCGCCACTCCTTTGGTGACTGGTACTGTAACTTCTTTCCGCCTGGATAGATGTCTCGAATTCGTTTGTTGATCTCGCTGTTGACATTGTTCTGTACTTGGCGTGACACTAACCGTAGCTGAGGTGTTACCTGGCGCACATTTGACCGATATGTGCCACCGTATGTGTATTCTGACGTCTGTTGCCGGTGTTCTTCGGGCGTAGAGACGTACACGGCGTGTGTGTGGGGACTCTGGACGGTGCGGTTGAAGAGTTGAAAGTCGTACCGAGAAAAGTGTTTAGATTCATCAAGTAATTCAAGTAGAAGTGTATTTGCTTCTTTAGCTGGTAGGAAGTTGTGGATGATAGTACAAGGTGTGTAGGTGGCAATATCCTCAGGCGAGTAGAGGTGTAACGTTTTGCCCTTTTGTGGGAGGGGAATGATTTTCTTACTCGCACATTCATTCAAAGGTTTCATGCTTCCGTCTTCAGCTTTTGTAAGAATATGCGATGAGAGAGATGTCTGCATTCCGAATGATGAGGTAACAGCAGCTCGCTTTTTGCTGACAAGTGTGCCTGCCGTGGAGCCTTTCTCGGAGAGAAGTCCAGCAGCATTCTCCACAGACCCTTCGCAGGATACCAGTATTTCCAATAGCTCATCTTGTTTGATAGTCGGGAAGAGAGAGAGCAGTATTGCTAGCTTGGTATCAGTGGTGTCTTCGTGGGGATCTGATGACTCGGGCTTGGCCTCCTCGCTCGGATTTAAGAGCCGCGGTCGCTTCCTGGATATGAAAGCATCCATGGATGTTCCCAGTCTCATCCTTTTGAGGCTCTGAAAAGTAACGAATGGGCCTCGGGGTGCTTATGACAAATCACGATAAAATGCTTATCGGCACATGATTTCCACCGAAGTGACCAATCAGATCACGCACAGTATGAGGCTCTCCGTAGATAGGTGCAAATTGTAGATGATCTCTATAGAACGACTTTTAAACTAGGTAGAATTTCTGAAATTGGCGATATTGGTCTGCTATGCATGGCTCAGCATGTCTACTTTCATTTCGTCCAATTTGGGTGACCCATCATGAGGTTCCTTCCTACTATATCGCAAGAACAGCCGCACTTGCCTTTGTGTGGTCTTACCTTGGTAGATGGGATGGTACGGCCACCAGCATCGGTCTCGAACTACACATTATATACGATATATGCGAAAAAAAATGGTTGAAACTGATTGAAAGATACACTCTAATACAGACTAAATCCATTTGCCCTCTCCCAAATATACCTGTCCCTCCCGATGATACTCAACCAGGGGTTTCATCTGACGAAGCCCATCAAAGATTTCTACCAATGCATCGAGTGCCACTATCGTCCACCCATGATAATCCCCCTGGTTTTCTGTAACGTAACTAGATACACGTTCTATATCGTGGCTCGTGAGCGGGTGATCATCAATCCTCGAATCCGGAAAATTCTCCTCAACAACCTTCACCCAGCATCCACCCACATCTGCATCCCTCTCGGCCTTCGACGAACGATCTAAAGCGCATTTCAAGTGCGAGAAGACTGCATCATCGAGCATCAAGCATATGCGCAGTCTGCTTGGGAGCTCTATTTCAGGCATCGCGAGTGACACCTTGAAATCATGAAACACTTGTCGAATCTCTTCCTCATTCAAATCGGCGAACATATCTCGCGAGTTGAAAATCTTGGAAGAATATGTCTCTGTGAGAATTTGGATTTCTTCATCGGATCCTGTCAACGTCCGGCGCAATGCCCGGCTCACGGAATGGTTGAGGTAGCGCATGAATACAGGGAGGAGGCGCTTGGATTCGGGGGAGTAAGAGGTGCGGTAGACGATGGGTCCCCATGAGAGAGTGATAAAGTCACGCTCTGGGCCTGGGGGCAGGGATCTCAGGCCTGGCAATGCACCGAGTCGGTAGACTTCTTCTTTGAGGAATAGACTGGCCGGGGATGTATACTGCTTCGGTACTGGCGTTTGCTTGTCGCCTCCCAATTTGGGTGCCATTTGGCTATCGTGGATTCTTGGGCTTATCATGGCAGTTGGATTGTATATTAAGAAGAGTTTATGTTCAATCAGAATCAAGCCGAGCAGACTAAAAAGCAGATCTTGAAAGAGGCCAATTGTGGCGTCATTTCCATACTTTGCAGATTGAGGCAAAATATTATCGGGTGGCTCAATTTGTACCTATTGAACATGATTGGCTTAAATCCGTACCAGCGAATAGATAATTGATCTAGAATGGTTCCTTTTACTGTTGCAATTGGGGCTTGATGTAGCTGTAGATGTAGCCCGTTGACGTCAACGACCACGAACATCACATACTCCACCCTCAACCATCGACCCAGCAGATAAGACGAGAGCGACACAAGTGACAACATCAACCATCCAGGACAATCAGCTAGCAAGTATGGAGATGACACAGGTCGCAGTAGATATTATTATCTCCTAATGTAACAACATCCTGTAAACTTTTTCATTCTGTGAGTGGTGACTGGTCTAGCTTCTCCTCTGGGATTCTAGTTCACATGAAGGCCCCTAGTTAACTAAACTTTCTCTCTGTCTGGAAGATAAGGCTACTACTAGGATACCGGCTTTCCCAACTGCAATACTCATATAGGCAGAGCAGATATCTCTGTCTAAGCATCCACCTTTCTCTATCATTATAGCTTCCAAAACATGCACTAGATGCGGTCACTCGCGTCCTTTAGAGCTATTTCGCTCGCGCGCTAGCAATCAAGAGGCCGATCAGTATCAATCTTATCGAGATGCCAAAAAGAAAGAGCGTTCTAGACCTACTATTGCATCGTCCCCCCCTTACACTATCACCTCTGGCTATAAATGCCCCAGTACCAGAGGCATCTCTGTCGCCAGAACCCTCATTGAAACAATTTATAGGATGTAAGCGCAACTTACCTCTAGACCAGTTCCAGTCTACGTTTCTCTCGACAGAGACCAAACAATGCCAGAGATGCCGTGATTACTACGTGGAGGCAGCAAAGCACTTACTTTGGATGAAACGACTGCTCAATTCAATTGAATTTGACGCACAACACGATCTAATATTGTCATGTGACAATAAGCAGACCATTGATCTGATGACCAAGCCAAGTTCATCATATCAGACGAAATTACGCCACGTGGACATCAATAAACACTAGCTGCGTGAGAAGGTAAGAAAGATTCAGGACTTCAAGGTGCTTTTGGGACGGAAGGTGTTTTGTTAATCCGTCGGCGATCATATGCTGCCTCAGAAAGTGCAACTAACTCTGCTTCGAAGATTAAAAAGAATCCCGACATTCGCTGATGTCTGACATTCGCTGAGCTCTCGGAACTCGGATTAATACATGTTCCTCTGTGCCAAGAGGCGCTAAAAATTGGCGGTCCCATCTGGGCGAGATTCCTAGTATGCTTCATGTTTGCTTGCTCGTTTGCTTACTCGCTTACTGTTCGCATTGTTTACTTTACATGGATTGTTTGCTAGATAGCTAAGCGAGAAAGTTCAAGTTTGTAACGTTTGCAAAGTGGTCAGCTATATCAACTTGCTTCTTCTTTCTTTCTCCATCTTGGTTATTGGGTTGAATATACTCTTTCTTCTTGGTCGATCTGGCACCTTGTATCCTGAAGGAGTTCATAGAAAGAAATTACATATGACGCCATTATTGTCCGCATCGACAGCGTCAAAGCCCGTTCTAAGTATACGTAATAAAGTAAATTCAGGATCATCACGTTCAATACCTGGAATGGGCAACAGATACTAAAATTTCCTATATCATCTAAAGCAGATTCTCCATTGAGAAAAGCTTCAAACAAGAATACAAAGACGAAGACGAAAGAATCATCAACAACCAATTCATTGAGATTATTTTTAGTATGAAATTGCTGACATAGATAATAAATCAAAAGCGAATGTGCAAGTGGCGTGCCTGAAGAGCCAAGAAAGGACCTCGGCCCATTTGATCCCCGCAATCCCGAGATCATACGCCAATCTCAACTCGACATCTTCACGAGCTTTGACGTTTGTCTTTTTGATACCCTATAGCTTGCTTGACGATCTCCTTTTTTCTCTTTCTATTTCTCTTTCCTACCTCCCTCCTTGGGCGACCGGCGCCAATCAGTTGCTCGTCATGCTCCATTACCGCACACAAGGATATAACGGTTGCGCCGTCAAATACTCCCCATTCTTTGACAATCGACTAGCCGTTGCAAGCTCCTCAAATTTTGGCCTAGTTGGCAATGGCCGCCTTCATATTCTAGAGTTGACTGCGAATGGAATCCAACCGCTAAAATGGTAAGTGGGATATTCCAGACCCCGCGGCGGAGTGTGCTACACAGAAACCTAACCATCTGGCGCTATACAACCTCTAGGTTTACGACACAAGACTCCCTATATGATCTCGCATGGTCCGAACTTCACGAGAACCAAGTCCTCGCCGCATCCGGCGACGGCAGCATCAAACTATTCGACTGCACAGCGAACGACTTCCCAATCTCAAATTGGAAAGAGCACGCGCGGGAAGTATTCAGCGTCAGCTGGAACCCCGTCGCAAAAGACCGCTTCTGCTCAAGTAGCTGGGACGGCACGGTCCGCATCTGGTCGCCGCATCGCCCACAGTCCCTCCTCACCCTCCCAACCCACAGCTGCACCTACTCCGCATCATTCTGTCCGCACAGTCCAGACATCCTCTCGTGCGTGACATCAGACTCATACGTGCGCGTGTTCGATCTCCGCACACCGGCCTCCGCTTCCAACCACCTCGTCACCCAGATCCCCATCCACGGCGGACCCCCCGCTCCTGCAATCCCCGGCCAGCCAGGCGGCCCTACCCCGCCCGCCGAGGCCCTCACTCACGACTGGAACAAATACCGCCCCACTGTCTTAGCTACGGCGGGTGTTGACCGTGCTATCAGGACGTTTGATATCCGGGCCCCGCAACAAGGGCCGCTTGCCATTATGCTCGGGCATGAATATGCTGTGCGAAAAGTGGCTTGGTCGCCGCATCTTTCTAATGTTCTTTTGAGTGCTAGCTACGATATGACTTGTCGAGTGTGGAGTGACCGGTCGGACACGGGCCCGGGCGGGGATATGGATATGATGCGCGCTGGCCCAGTGATGGGTGCGGAACTAGGGCGCATGGGTAGACATACCGAGTTTGTGACGGGTGTGGACTGGTGTCTCTTTGGAAGTGAGGGCTGGTGTGCTAGTGTTGGCTGGGATGAGAATCTATATGTGTGGGATGTGCGAGCCACGATGTCATAGAATTTGACAAATCAACCAATTATATATCTCTGGCAGGGTCCGAGGCTTATCATTTTTTTCCAATCGAAACGGAGCTATGCTATGTAGGATTTTACTGGACACGTGTGTTTAAGATATCAGATTGCCAGACAGCCTGCTTTAAACGGAGTGCATAACTTGAAAGGGATATTGATCATTTTATTTCGTATTATATGCCAGAGAGGCTAAAGATGCAATGCGTGGTGCGATATAAGAACAAATGCGTCACTATTGCCTATTCCTCAGGCTTAAGCATTAAGCCTTTTGTTCTGAACCCTGCAGTGACTCAATGACTCCGAATCAAGATAAGAGGCTCACAATCTTGAGAGAAACATCCATGTTGGGTATTTGGGAGCATTTAGACTCAGGGCCATGGTCAGTGAGCCAATATATCGACAACCTCCCAATAATTCATGCGCCTGAATGCTTATGATCAAGTGACAGACCCATCTATTTGCCGCCCAGTCTGCCCTCGACCTTCTTGCGCTCGCTATCCCGAAGGGCAGCAACCTCTTCCTTGGTAGCATTGACAGCCGCGTGCACCTGGTTGAATGGGTTCTCCTCGCTCTTCTCGAATTCCTTCCGGCAGAGATCCATACGCTGGTTCCGGCGCAGACCGGGGTTTTCCTGCTCAATCTCTGGCAAACGCCTCTCCTCAAATGCGGCATATGCGGCCTTGAATCGGCGCTCCGGGTGTCGGTCGATCTTGGATGTGTCCTTCGAGGCTAGAGACAGGGCATCTAATGCGTTATCGATACCAGTGGCGCTGAGAGCAGATTCTTTCTTGCTGCCTGCAGGAGCATCATCCAACTGTGAAAGATCGAGGCCGCGAGTCTTCTTTTGTGCGGTCTTGGCGTTTGCGCCTTTGGCTTTGGCTGGTTGGGAGGCTTCTTCTTCGGCGAGTAGGGCATCGCGCTCTGCCTTCTTGCGGGCAGCCTCAGCTTTCTTAGCCTCAACATCCTCTCTGTAGATTGAAAATGATCAGCTCGGTACTCGAGGACATGTTCTCCTTGAGAGATTGAGTTCACATACTTCTTAGCACTGCTCTTGGATCCCTTTGTCCATTGCTTTTCCTCCTCTGAAGCCTTCTTCTGGTCCTCCGCTGCCTTTTTTGCTGCTGCGGCTTCCGCTTTCTGTACGGCACTATCAGCTTCTATCCAAACGATCTTATGCTTGAGGGGTGTGGCAATAATAGCGGGGGCGGGGTTCAGAAAAAACATACACGAGCGTTTCCGGCGACCTTCTTGGTGTTCTCGCCTGCTGCTTTCTTGCCTGCCATAGTGAAATATTAGGTCCAAACTATACGCCGGACAGATCGAGCAATGGATATGAAAAGAAAACGGTGGAATCGAGCTTCGACTATAACTTACATGATCTGATCTGCGGAACCAATATGCCGATTCCGATGAAGGCGGTGACTAGTCCGTGCGTCAATGTTGGTGCCTTATGAATGTGGCAACTGTCGAAGTTTCCCCGACATTTGTAATCTCCTATCTCACCTAGGCAGCTTGAAGCTGTCTGTCTTCTTCCGGCCATTTGTGCTATGGCCCTGATATGGTTCTTATGATTGATAATTGTGGCCTTTGACTTGATTTATACTTTGTCGCTGTTGATTTCATTTACCGATTAAGCAGCGTCCTCCTCCCTACTAGTATGACCTGATCGTCCGTCACAATGGCTTTGCTCTTCCGCTTTCTACAGGCGTTCGCCTTGCTGCTCCTTGCCAGCGCAGTTGTCGCTGAACACACCTCTAATTGGGCGGTACTTGTATCTACCTCTCGCTTCTGGTTCAACTACCGCCACCTCGCCAATGTCCTATCACTATACCGAACCGTCAAACGGCTCGGAATTCCCGATTCACAGATCATCCTCATGCTCCCCGATGACATGGCTTGCAATCCCCGAAACGCTTTCCCCGGCACCGTTTACAGTAACGCAGACCGCGCCGTCGACCTATACGGTGACAATATCGAAGTGGACTACAGGGGGTACGAAGTGACCGTGGAGAACTTCATCCGACTCTTGACCGACCGCCTCGACGAAGATGTGCCGCGCAGCAAACGCCTGGGATCTGACGCCGGCAGCAATGTGTTAGTATACATGACCGGACATGGAGGCGACCAGTTCCTAAAGTTCCAGGACGCCGAAGAGATAGGCGCGTGGGATCTTGCAGACGCGTTTGGACAGATGTGGGAGAAGAAGCGCTATCATGAGCTGCTGTTCATGATCGACACTTGCCAGGCCAATACGATGTACACCCATTTTTACTCGCCTAACATCGTGGCGACAGGCTCCAGCGAGATCGACCAATCTTCCTATTCCCACCATGCGGACAACGACGTCGGCGTCGCTGTCATTGATCGCTGGACATACTATGTTCTCGAATTCCTCGAGACACAAGTGACAAGTGTCACTTCTAAACTCAACCTGGGAGATCTGTTCGATTCCTATGATGAGTCGAAGATCCACTCTCAGCCAGGTGTCCGGTGGGATTTGTTCCCTGGAGGCGAGCAAGAAGGCCGTCTGCGGACTGTGGTTGACTTCTTCGGCAATGTGCAGAATGTGGAAGTCGAGAATGCAAACGCCACAGAGCCTGGCTCCCTCAAGGAAGATTTGGCTGAGATTGCGCGACTTGTGGAGAAGTGGCAAAATCGTGACGAGGAATATTCAGCCATGCTAGCTGATTCCGCTACAAATGTCACTGAAGACCTGCATTCATCGTCTCTACATCTGAAGCTGAAGAGCACTGTTGGGCCAACCAAAATGGCGGAAGACAGCAGCTGGGGCAAGCGGCTAGTTGGCATCTCTGTCGTCGGTGCATGCACCGCTATCTGGGTGGCTGGATCGTTTCTCGGCCGCTCGTCTGTTTAATATTATGCAAAAAAGCATCTGGTTTTCTTTCCTTTGGCTGCAATCTTGAGTTTTCTTCCCGGACTCACGGATTCATGGTTATAATGTCTTCGTTGGAATAGTTTTGGGGAATATAGCATATTCATGGCGAAAGGCGTTACCTCCGCGATTATTGAATTTGAAGATATCCTCTGATGAGAAACAACCATGCCTTTCAGACACTTAACCAAAGTAATAATCCTAGTAAAGATGCAACCAATATATCGCAAAGTTTTCGATACATGTCACTCCGGGCAGTGATGTTGTTCGAATCTGATTACACGGCTTCATTCCTTGGTCATTTTGAGAATATAAAGTGTACAAGGAGTTGACGAACCCACACCCGGCCAATATGAAAATTTCCAGACTTGGGTTTCCGAATGTATTCTCACATCACTTGCTCTAACGTACGATGACTCACTCTCCATAGAGCAGAGCAATTTGAAAATAATTGCGGAGCGAAGCGAAGCAATTACAAATCAGAAGGTCGTACGTACGTGTCACGTGGCCAAGTTTTCTCCTAGGGGGAGAAATAATAGCGTTTTAATGCAGCGTCAGGTGACCAGGTAAGGTCACGTGGCCAAGTTTCTCCTAGGGGAGCTGAATTATGACTTATGACAAAAGCAGGGGAGTTGATCTAGCCGAGGGGTTGCTGTGAAGCCGGTGGGCTTTGCGCAGCATTAGAAGTTAGAATTAGCCGCTTTGCTCTGCAACGACTATCTCGTAGGCCGGTGAGATCACTCGTAATATCAGAATTATTAGAGGAGCGACGGACTGGCACGTCATACTTAACCAGCTCTTTCCACAACACAACACTCAACCCAACTCATCTGTCACAACACTCAACCCAACTCATCTGTCAGTACACGCAATCATCATGAATCCACGGCGTGAGGGTCAAAGCAGCGATGAATCGGCGACATCGGAAGCCCTGTCCATCGCGCAGAACGCCAGAATTTCTCAACAGTTCTTAGCAACAAACCTCGGACTCCTGACGGATTCGGCAATTCTCCAACGAACTCTTAGCTTGAATTCTGTCATTTCGACGACCTCTTCCTTCAGCATCCGTTTTCAGAATGCACGTTCTCGCCCCGACTTACAAACCCTCAACCAAATCGGAGCTGGCTTGCAGGGAGCTGTATTTGAGCAGGTCGGCAAGCCTCTAGTACTAAAGAAGGAATTTCCTGGAAACGAAGACCTGCCATCGAACCTCGATCATGAGTATAGGATCCACTGTACTGTTTCGGCTACATTCGAGTATTACCATTCCCTCAACAGCGAAGTCCACGTTCCAAAACCTTACAACTTTATCTTCAAAGAAGAGAATAATGCTTTCTGGGATGAGATCTTACCAAAAATCCCTCAGGCCTATCGTATACGTGGAGACCTTATGATGATGGAACGGATTCTTCCGTTACCGAAAGTCGTGCGAAGGGCCTTAATCTCCCAGTTTTATACTCCTCAATACCTCAATAATACTGGGATTGAGGCTATCCTCAATCACCCTGGAAATAAGCACTGCCTTGCCCGTGTCTATCTTGGTAAGGCAAATGGTACCATTGATCAGGAGACTCCGCTACGAAATTTCCCTCTGTACCTTGAGCCGATGGAGCAGATTGGCATCGAGACTCTCCCGCTTGCAAATGCGATGGGGAAAGCCTATGCAACCCTACATTGGGCCGCCGCCATCAACGGTGATGATGTGGAGTTTGTTCTTGGAACGTCAGCCATAGCTCCCGAGGGAAGATACCATGAACCCGACTTTCAGCACCGCGCCGTTCAGTTATATCTCTTGGATTTCGGACAATGTGAGACGGTAGACCTCACCCAGGACCCCGATATTGTCTATCAAGCTTTCAAGGGAGCTATGGTGACAGGGGACAATCAGCGTTTCATCCCGCATTACTTGAAGAGCCCGGAACTGTTCGCAATATTCCGAAAAGGATACACTGAAGCGGGCAATAGAATTCTATTAGATAAGCGGTTGGAAGACAAGTTCAACATGGAGGACTTCATGCAGCAGTATGAGGAGTATGCTGAGGACTTCCTGTACTAGCTTCGTTGCAATGACTGGGGAGCTGATAGCTAAACTTGCTTTACCAGAATGAGGAGAATATCTTTATCAAAAATACATTTAAGGATGTGAGGTGCCAGATTGATCTTGAAGAAGAAAGAGTACATTCAACTAAATAACGAAGATGAAGACGCAAGTTGCAAGGTGCGAAGCAGCCTGTTGATATAGCCATAGTCGTCGTTGCTTAAGCTAGTGAAATTCTTACACATTAACTACGTAGCTAGTTGGCTTAATAAATTGCTGTTTATTGAACGTATTGCGGAGCGGTATCCCAGGCTGAGCTGGGAACACAGGAATTAAGCACATCTCGCATGATCACATAGTTCACATTAATTCGCAGGCATTTGGGAGCCTGAAATGACTCAGTCGATCTCCTTCCAGCCTATGGCAATGGCGTGTGCAAGAAGTCATCATCGCTGTCGTCTTCCACGGGCACATCCTCCACCGGCTTGAACTGGATCATTATGTCCAACATGATCGCCTTTCGGTCGCTGCCGATGACCGGCACCCAGTTACACTCTCTTATCGAATCGCTTCCCGGAGCGTGCATCATCGGAAGGATCTGGCCGGTTTTCATGTCTTCGAAGTCGAAGGACATCAGACACTGTGTGTAACGGTAATGATGTACTTGTCTCACAAAGGGGCCTGAGACAATTCTCATATGGTCATCAAGCCTGTACTTGCGGAGGCAGCAGGAACGAACCCCAGTCGATACCTGCAAGCAGGTCTTCCACGTATCATAATCGACAAAGTCCACAATCCTGTCGTACAGCTCCAGCGGGAGAATGCCTGCTAATTTGGATGCTGCGCGGCGGCTCGAGGCAACTTCGAAGAAGTTGACAAGTGCCGCGAGCCCAGGGAAATGGCGTTGTAGTCTTCGGATTGTCCCCTTGCAGTCTGAGTTCACCGTGCGTTTACCATCCCGATTCTGAGCCTCCATTCCAGGCTTCAGCTCTGGTCGCTGGCGCGGATGTGTGCTCGCGCAAGCATCTACACGCAGAGGCGAGAGCTTGACAGCTTTGCTGGCTTTGGCGAATGGCCCCGCCTCACCATCAAAGGAGACTTCTGCAAATGCCACTTCAAAGAGGGATAAGATGACAATCTGGAAGTTGGTGTGTCCGCGCTCGACACCCCAGGCAACGGCCTTTGAGATGGAATCACCGTCAACCACCAGTGCAAGACTGACAAGCACGTCCTCCACCCAGTAGATCGTCTCCATGGGCGATGCCCCTGGAGGCTCGCCTGGTCGATGAGCTGGGGAGCCGAACTCCAGTAACGGAGCGCTATCGCCAACCCACTCTTCGTCAACCCATCCAGGTAATCTGTGTAAGTGGCTCGACTTGCAGGTCCATCTCTGGCATGTTCGAGGGTTACACTCCTGAACGGGGAAAGAATGGAATTTGGTCTGGCCAGACGCAATTGACACGAGAGCAAAAGTCAACTCGCGAAAAGCGAAGGAGCTCGGGCTCCACTCCTTTCCAAACGTAATAATCTGCGTCTCGTATTGACTGATAGTATCGGCTAGAACTTGTGTGACAAACGCCTTCGGTGCCTCCGCGATGTCGGTCCTCGGGGATACAATGCGGAAGTCATATTTGATGTCCCATGTTGGCTCGGGATACTCTAAAGCCGGTGAGGCCATGTGCTCTTCGGGACAGATTTCAGGCGAGATGGTGGACTCGTACCGATAGATGCTGCCTACAATGGCACGAAGCCATAGGTCGTCCTGACGCGGGACATTCCCCAGCTTCCAATGTATGGTGTGGTTCATAGTGAGGACTTCATGATCGAGGTTGATGATGTAGATGTACTCGGCCCAGTTATTCAGCTCTGGGAAGTCGGAAGGAAGCGACTCAAACTCCTCAAACTGCGAATAGTCGGGTTTGACGCCGTCACGGATCTCATAGACATCTCTATCGAGAACACTTTCCTTGGCCGCATACTGGGCTCGCATCGACTCAAGCCATCCTGCAGGCATTAGTATAGTGTAAAGCAAGATCTTTATTCGCGCCGTACTGTTGTATTTCTCAGGGTCCGTTGGGATGCTCGCGACTATCTTAGCGCCGAGACCCTCAAAGTAACTGTCGAAACGATGCCAGCGAATGTAGTAACGCCCGCGAAAGCGTACTATCTCAAGACCTCGTGTGCCCATTGCTGTAGCTGGAAATTTGATTCTTAGCTCTCGTTGACAGAAACAAAAAGAGCTATAGTTACCAAGTGGGTGGAGACGGTGGGATAATCACTGTGGGTCACGACGGGAAGACCCTCAGGGCTTGACCCACGGGGTTGACAGGATCATCAAACAAGACAAACACAAGCATGTGACTGGGTTTAGCGAGGTTGGTTCATTGATTGATCTTTACAAGCTTCAATGTTGGAACTCTAGTTCCAAGTACATATGCATTAAGTAGTCTCAAGCGCTTGATGGGTGTATCAGAGGAAGCAGGTCTCCATCATTTCATCTTCCGCATAACTATCAACATCAGATGGTCTGTACCTTCTTCAATGTCTCCTTTACCGTCTCCCGATGATGGTTCCTGAAAAGGGCTGTGTGGTATGTTATGCCTGGCTAGTTCTTTGCCATCACTGACCATGTCAAAGGGAGTCTTTTAGGTCTCATTATCGTCATTTGTCGCTTCTTTTCTTGGTATGAGAGATATTTCCGTGGTAAAAGCCGCTGTTGCATGTCAAATCGTGGTCAACACATGAACAACATGATCTTCTGAATCATCTTTGGCTTTGGCTTCGAAGAGCCTCGCCGATAATGACCGATATCTCGAGCGGAGTTAAAAAGACGCTCCATACCTGCTTCTGTGGCTGTAATTGACATGATATCTCGTGCAAGGCTCGCAGGTACTGAGAAGTTACTGCTAACCGTCATCTCGATATTCAATCATACATCATGTCTTTAACAGACACAACGTTGAGTGGCCGTTCAATTGGCAACAATTTGACAACCGCCGGCGAAGTTAGAAAGTCCTTGATCAACTCAAGGAATGTATATCGACTACATTGACAAGGCAGCCTCTGGCTCAATACACGCCTTCTCCGTTTCGACATGCTACTAGGAGAAGTGCAAGCACTGGAACAGGGGTTTAATATCGATAATTGATCTGACCGCCGAGAGATCCTCCGTTCCTAGAGAGACGGTAGGAAACATGATTCGAACAAAGGATTTTCGCGTGAGACTCAATTTAAGAGTATAGAAAAATCTAGCGTAAAGCACCCAATTTGCAAAGCATCGCGCAATAAGATGAACCAACATATTCTGTGAAAATACTCATATTAAATTCAAGGAGTTGAGGAGTAAGACATTTAAATAGTGAAATATTCCGATAATAAAAGAATGGGAGCAAATATCGTCGAGGTGATGAAGAGGTATGGAATCCCGGCACGTGCCTCCGACGCGTCGCGCTTGTCCACTTCCCCGGCGCTATGAGAGACTCTTTGCTGCAAGGGCTTCACCCCAAATAACCACCTCACATTTCTGGGCTTATTCTTACGAGTTCTCTTTCTTCATGAGCTGTCGCATGAGCATATGATAATCCCAAGCTGGCCATGTATCTCCCACGGCAGCTCATCTCACACCTCTACCTACAACTCCTCCGATCTCACCACCCGCTTTCTCCACCCGTCCTGATTCTCGTGGCATTAGAGCCAGACGCGCTATGTGCCTGTCGAATTCTCACTTCTTTGTTGAAACGCGACTATATCCCCCATAAAATCCAACCAGTTGCAGGATATGGCGACCTTGCGCGTGCGGGGGAGGAGATGGTCCGCCCAATGCAGACTACCAATGGGGGCAGCGGAGGAGTTGTGGTATGCCTCGGGGTAGGGGGACTGGTAGATCTGGCCGAGATACTTGCGTTGAGCAATCCTGAGGACGAGGTGGAAGATATGGGAGGCGTGGAAATCTGGGTATTCGACGCGCGACGGCCGTGGAACCTGGGAAACGTGTTTGGTGGACAAACGGGGATAGGCCAGCACATGACTGAAATTGATGTCAATTCGCGACTGCGAGGACGCGGGGTTGACAAAGGGTGCATAACTTCCGCTTACACGTCGAAGAATGGTGGCATTATCGTGTATGACGACGGAGACATCGAGGAAGAGCTTCGCAACGAACGAGAGGCATACTACGCGTTACTAGAAATGCCAGAGGTTGACGAAGACGACGATGATGCGAGTGACGACGGATCTGAAGACGAAACGCAAACAGGGTCAAAAAAGCGCAAATCCTGGTCAGGTCGCGAAGACGATGAAGATTCAGAAGGCGATGAGCCGCCTCACCAACGGAGGAGAAGCAATTCAGTAGGTTTTAACATTTTTATGATCCGACAATGGACTAATGCGTGATATAGGGCTCCTTTATTGACTCGTCTCCCACTCGCCGCAAAAAGACTGGAATCAATTCTTCGAACTCGTCACGATCTGTGACACCGACAACTGACTCGCCATCACCAGCTGAGGCAAAACAACCCTCGGCGCGGTCATTAAAGAAACGTCTAATTAATCTCAAGCGAAGACACGACTCCGTTCTACAAGCCTACTATTCGTCTGGAACTTCATACTCCGAACCGATTTCATCCCTGATCTACTCTCTGGCATCTGAGCTTGGACGAGATGACAATGACCTGTTGTGGCTTGCTATTGTCGGTGTCTCCAGTCTAGAACTCAGCGGTCGGACAATGACCGGAGTGGGTATTTCAAACACATCAGAATCAGGAGGCTCAGCAGGCTGGGGTGGCCAACGTGGTGAACACATCCGTCAAATACTTCGCGATGAGGTGCACCGTTTGAACCCGCCTGATCCTTTAGAATTCAACCGTGACATTCGAGGAGAGATCAACGGTGTCATTCCAACAACCGCTAGATCACCCACCGATACGTCGATTCGTCTTTCTCCTGAACCCCGATTCCTTCTTGTCAGGCACTGGTCACTATACGAGAGTATGCTGCACAGTCCCTATCTTGCGCCAAGGCTGCATGTATGGACTGAGAATGGCCGCAAACGACTGCACAAACTTCTGGCCAAGATGGGAATTAGTCTGACCCAGTGTCACCAATACTATACCCACATGGACATGGAATTGAAGCGTGTACTACGATCACGGCTGCTCAAGTACGCCCCTATGTATGGCTTAGACGGACTCGTACCATCAGCGGGATCTACCAGTGCGAGTGCCCGTGAGGGCTGGGGATTTGTGCGTTGCTGGGGCTGGAAGGCTTGCCTCTCTGCCACAGACGTAGGTGTTATTGTGGGTGCGATGCTGGAAGTTGGGCCACATGAGACTTTGGCTTCCTGGGACGCCAAACGTCTGCCACGAGTGCGTGATGATGCAGAGAACAGTGGAATCACAGGCGCATCTGACTTGGCCAGTCTGCTGCCTCGGTTCTGGAGTGCCTATGATGCGCTTTCACTAACATCCGAATCACCCACGATTCTTCTAGAGTCTCTGCCCCTCGCCCAACACCTACACCGTGCTATCCTTCGCACCGGTACCTCCCTGCTCTCTAAACATCAAATCCGTCACCTTCGAGCATTCCGCATTGCTGTGGTTAAGGATGGACCCGACGTCAAACTCTTCACCAACCCTGGGGCCTTGACGAAATTGGCCCTGTGGATCGCCGAGGCCATTCGAGTCCAAGAAAAAGAGCGGGGGGACTCAATCAAGATCGGTCGCAAGAGGGCAGCGGGAACTCCTCTCGTCCTTGCTGGTCTCGACGAAGATCGCGATCTCTATGTCGTCGTTGGTACTGGTGGCGGCGGCGGCGTTGTTGACTTCGCTGCCATGTCCAAGCGCCAAGAGGAACGCAAGAAGAAGAAGGAAGATAAGGAGAAGAAACAGAAAGAGCGATCAGAGCGCCGGTCCAAGCGAGCAACAGAGCGTGCCGAGCGAGAAGACGAGACTGGTGCCGAAGACTCAGATTCAGAGGAATCTGAGTCTTCATCGGAATCGGAGTCCGAGGACGAGGAAGATCCGCGTGGAAAGAAGCATCTTCTCCGCAACCGGTTTGGCATTGCCTTCCAGGAGGTAGTCCAGGAGACGAACGCCCGTGTGCGAATCGACAGCTTCGAGCATTGTGTTGTCGAGGTCCAGAAGGATGACCTTGGCGGCTTCCTCGAAGCATTGAGTTTCCGCAGTGTGGTAGGCTAAATACCCTCTACGATCAATCACGCAGTCTACGACCTGTCATCTTTGTTTACTTTCTTCGATGCATGGGGTGGGAGGGATATATGGGAGGGGATACTGGACTTTGAAACCGGCTACATGCATAATGACCGTTGCATGGGTTTCCACGCTTGCGAGCATTCAAACGCCCTTCATTCTTGCATCTGTTTCCAATGGCGTTTATGGTGTTTCTTGTTCCGTGAGGAAAACATGTCTGATTCTATCTAGTCCATAGTTGCATCGAATCTATGTATTTTCGACCTTCCGAGAGCTGATTATTGGATGCTTCTCATATAGAATAATCGAGTTATTGCAATACTTGGAATAATACATACAATTTGCTGGTGTCAGGTTCGTAATAATAGCGTATCATCTGACACCGTTCGCAAAGTAGGAGCACATCAATCTCATTCCGAGACATCACATCATCGTGGTTCTTTCACAGAGCTGTTCTTTTACCCCCACCAGAAGTTCACGCTAATCCCAGCCCTCAGCCCACGCACATAGTGCCACCACCCAACAGGAATGTAGAGACACTCGCCTTCCTTAAGAACAGTCTCCACATAATCGGCGTCCATGAACCCAGGCCACATCTCCTCCCATTTCTCATATTCAACAGGGGAAGTCTCGATAGCCGCCAGGTCCACCTTGGAAGTGTTGGACATGTCAACCGATCTACGAGTGGTTGGCAGAGCCCCGGATACAGGATCTGGCTCTGCCGTCTCATCAATAGACGTGACCCATTCTTGGCCCCGTGGGTGGATCTGAGAGTCAGGCGTGTGTGGCGAGTACAGCCGGATGTACTTGGTGCCCACGACCTGCGCGAGGATATTGTGGTGGGGGTCGTGGTGGAGAGGGGAGATCGTCCACACCGGTCCGATCCAGGTGTTGATAATTGGGTCGCTGGGGACACCCATGAGCGAGCCTGCATCTGAGTTGTGTTCGTCTATGACATGCTCCCTTGGTGCTGTGTCCAACTGGGGGCCATGCGAGGTTTCAGGAACCTGTGCTTGAACTTTAGCCTCACGCTCTCGCTGTTTCTTCTCATACACTGGTGTTCCCGGATCTGGACCTGGTGGAGTGATATAGCAGTAGTCTGGTACACTGATGTCGTTACGCAAGGCGGGGATTTGAGTAAGTAGATCGTGTTGTGCCATGTATGCTGTCTCCCCATCGAGGTTAGTGACCTGGGGCTGGTTTTCCGGCGCCTCAGCCGGAGCTAATTTTCCTTGCCATATGTACTTGTCCACAAACTCTTTGAATGGCATGATCTTCTGTCCCCAGTCCTCGTCGGTATACGACCTTCCCACCTCAACGGGGACCAATCGGCGACCCCCAAACGTGCGGTCCCACCAGTAGTTGCGCGAAGACCATGGACGCGTCGAAATGGCTGGCCAGTGTTCAATTGCATCTTGTATCACCAGTGGGGTGCGGTTGTTTTGAATGTGATGTTCGATGGAATCGAATGAGGGCGCCGATATACGCGGGATCGGATGGTCCAGATGGGGTTCACGGATCGCATTTGGAGGGAAGAGAGGCGGCGAGAATTTTCTGCGTTTCGCAATTGGATACTCCGGACCATCAGTTTCGTCGTATTCGAATTTATGGGATTCCGTAGCTGCCTGCAGCGTGGACAATAGGGATTCGACCAGCTTCTCGCGGAGGGGGGCTCCAGACATGATCAGGACGTTATCCAGGATCGCCACGACATCTGATAGCCATGGCGTGTCGGGGGAGAGCTTCGGCTCAGTTGCATTCTTTATGTCTTGAATGAGTTGTGAGACAACTAGGTGCTGGTTTTCAATGGAGATCAGGCCGCATTTTGTGATGATGATGACGCAGGCCTTGACGATAGACGCGTCCGTGTAGAGTCGATGCCAGCAGATGTGCACATCCTTGAATGGAAAGGAGTGCAGTTTTGAGTTGGCGAGCTCAAATGCTTTCTCAGTGTCGTTGAAGAGAAGATCTTGAAGTTCAGGGTTGTCGCATTGGAGAATTGGGTCGTCAGAGCTCGGCTTGGCGATAACGGACAACGCGTCACTGAGGACTGATAAAAGGGCCATGACTGAGGGGGAGGTGCAGGAGAAAGCGAGAACGGAAGGAAAGAAAGAGGTGAGCTAGAAATTATCCCCAATGTCCTCCCTAAGTGTCCCCAAGGTATGGTGTTGTGGTGGATTCGAGTTCCTCCTACCGCGTTCAAAATATATCCCAGACCCTCATTTGGGCAGTCAAATGGAGAAAGAAATGAATACCCTATTTTTTCTATGTCATTTAATACATTAGAGCTAGGAGGTTGCCTAGATAGGATGAAACTAAACCCAGGCATATGAGAGCTTAGATTGCAGAGGGATGTTGAAGGTATATTGATTTTATTATATAGTACATTTTGTTCAAGATCAAGGGAGTTTTCTAATATACACGCTTTATTCGAGAAGCTCCATCACCAGTTTAGGAATTCGAGACACCCCTTCGCCTCTTTTGGCACTGACCGGAACAACACACACTTTCTCCTTCCAAGCGCGTTCATGACCCGAGGGGTGCTCAATCGAGCCATTCTGAACACCAGACAAGTACTCCTGCAGAGCTCGGAATTGGTCTTGTGTGTTTTCCAGGTCTGCCTTGGTTGCCACGACAAACCAAGGCTTCAAATGCAGAGGTGTCATCACCAGCGGAGGCAGCGAGCCGTCGGGGTTGGTATTCAAGATGGGGGCGGGCTCTCGGTCAAGTATCTGTCGCCGATGGCCACCATCCTCAGTTTCATTGAATGGATTCCATTCAATGATGTCGTCTTCCTCAGATTCGGGATCTGCATCGCGCATTCGCTCGTACTCTCCAAGTTCGCGCCACAGTTTCTGGAGTTCCTCTACAGGATCGCCGTTGCTGAGATCAACCACAAAGGCAAGAATCCCAGCTCGGTCGATGTGCCGAAGGAACCCCAGCCCAAGTCCTCGGTCGAGATGGGCGCCTTCCACCAGACCCGGAATGTCCGCAATAGTGAAGTGTGTGCGACGGACCTTCGACTCAACAAGAGGACGACCCTTCATGTCGTCGGTGATCACAGTACCAATACTGGGGGAAAGTGTCGTGAACTCCCAGTTTCCAATGCGAGTCCGACTGTTGGTCAACGAGCGAAGGAGCGTACTCTTGCCGGCGTTTGGTTTCCCAACCAATCCGACATCTGCAAGGAGCTTGAGCTCAAAGTCGAGTTCCAACATCATTCCACCTTCACCTCGACTTGCGAACTTTGGTCGTCCCATTACGCGTGTGGAGAAGTGCGGATTGCCCAGCCCGCCAATACCACCGGCAGCCAGAAGCATGGGTTTATCCATAGGTTTTGAAAGATCCAGCCAAATCGGTGCCTTGGGTTCCATGGCTGCTATATTCTGTCGTCGCGGGTATGATTTCGGAAATTGGACCATAAGAAAATCAGACGGCTTTGCGGCGGGGTGTAGTACCCAGCGATCGTGCTGGATAGGGTTGAACTCGTCCTCTTCTGTTTCTTCAAACCCTTCACCTTCGCCTTCATCTTCACCTTCAATTTCAGAATCACTAGGAGCCCGCCACACCTTTTTCTCCTCTTTAGCAATATAGGCCGCTTCTTCTGCGGCCTTGATGCGCGCCCACTCCACCTCGACCGGATCATAACGGCTCACCTCCCGCACCACGGTGCCGACAGGCACCTGAAGGAGGACGTCATCGCCTCGTTTTCCACCCTTACTTTTACCCTGTCCGTTTCGTCCTCTGCTAGCTCTGATAATGCCTCTGCGGGCCAGCTTGTGAAGACTAGTCAAGCCCTCGACAGTCTGGATGTAGATACCGCCTCCGCTGCCACCGTCGCCGCCGTTCGGAGGTCCCTCTTCGACGTATTTCTCGCGCAGGTAGGCGACACAGCCATGTCCACCAGATCCAGCATGTATTTTCACCCGGCATTTGTCTTGGAAAATGAACCGCGAATAATCCTCCGGAGAAGGATCCAGATGCGACAGGTCTGGTTTTACCTCGTCAGATACGGCATTTTGGCTAGGCTGAGGTGGTGTTTCGGGGTCGGCCTTGGTGCTCTGAAATCGGTTCCGTGCGACGCAAGGTTTTTGAAGGTCTCGTAGGAATAATCGGCTGCAACGGGCTTGTCTTGGAAGGAATGGTCGTATGGGAAGGGAAAAATAGACTCGTGCATGCGCCATGATGTGTGATTGGCGGCTATTTCTCGCTCATTCTGTGAATGCAGTTCTTGCAACTTTTGAAATAGTTCAAGTCAAGATTAGATCTTCATAGGGCGCAGATATACCGGTTTTCTGTGAATTGTCAACAGAGTGAGTTATGACTTCAGCGGATTTCTCAATGTCCCGATAAGATCACATGATGATAAGCCATTTATAGTCTCCCCAATGGGTGCAGAATATATGGCCATACCTTAAAGTTACTCCTTTTTAATCCAATTTTCCCATTTTTGCGAATCCAAAAAGGGCTGTGTAAATAACATGCCGCTGATCAGACTCGATATTCAGAAGGATTTGCCAAGGAAAAACGAGCTGTTCAAAACAATGCCCAACTCTGCATCTAACCGTTCGCTTGCCACCTCATCAACCCATATTATGAGAAGCCGTCGGGTTTCCACATCTGATCCGTAGGGTCAAAACAAGTACAGAGTACTTTGCTGCATCTGCAAGTTGCCGCTGTGACTCCCCGATCTCGTGAGAAAGTGACCAATAAACAGATGCGGATTTTACTTGAATAGACTAGCTCAATTTTAATCCTGTCTGATTGCGACTCGACTCTTTGTCTAGCTTTCCCTAATGTTGAGTCGCTGACATGCAGCGGAGGAGAGTAAAATACGTAACGGTCTGTTGCCTTTGTTTGGTTTAATACTGTACTGTTATTTGCTTTTTCAACCTGCTGAGATTAGGAAGATAGCAGCTTATGTTGGCGGAGAACCTTGGGAACTATCAATGCATCCATAGATCACTAGCATGACCATTACTCAGGGGCTGATCATCAACTTTGACGTTATGACGACTTGACTTCTCCTATATTTCACAGCCGGCTCAAATTAATACACGAAAGCTTTCGCAACAGTCACAAGTGGGAGAACCCAAGGCGCAGCACTCTAGTCCGGACGGAATCAACAAGGATATAGATGCTTCTGATTATGTCCTTGTCTCGGCTAGCTGAACTCTTTGGTTTTGTTTTTGTGTTCTTACCAGGCGTGTTTTACATGGATTCGGTGTATCCTTGTTTTTATTGGATGTGTTTACCTTGCTCCAACTGTCCGGTGCTCCTTTTTTTTTTGAGAGTTTCTTTCTGATAGCTTTATACAAATCAGTGCCTAATATTGACTGGAATGGGGATTACCCTTATACACAATTCCTCGGGTATATTATCTGCTCGGGGAATGGCTTTCTATCAATTAGTTTTCATCGAACTTGACTAAACAATTATATGATCTAGGACGGCTCTAAAATATATTTTGAATTGCCCTAAGAATGTACTAACACACCGATTTCATGTTGCCTTGGTCTATATCGACATAATTATTACACTCAAGCAAGCACATACCCGAGTCTACAATGTCTTTATTCATGCGGGAAAACTCATGCAATTAAGTGAAAAGTAGGCGGAAGGCGAGATACATGGACGTACGTATATCATGCGCAACGTCGGTAGATAACAGTATGTAGTACTCGAAAATGGCAAGCGACATAAATTAAGACATAGGCAGATCGATAATAACAAACTATGCAGCGGAGAGAGATTATGAGAGATGATTTGGAATTTGAGATTTGAGATTAAAGCCAATTCCAAAACGGGATAGGATCACACCTCTGCAGTATCAAGTACCCGTGTAGTGGATATATCATAGAGGCTGCATTCTCGGTGTTGAAAGGTCCGATGGCCCTAGCTCTAATGTCAATTTTAGCACAGGCAGGAATCTGTGACCCGCTGTCACATTTATAGCGTGATTATGGCAACTGCAGAAGCGGGAATCGTGTTCAACAGTGAGATCAATCAACCTATGAGCAAGAGTGAACTTATTGTGAAGAGCGGTCTCTGGCATTTTCTAGGTTTCTTCCACTCAGGGGCGTGAAATTCGCTATATGGCATGATCCGAGAGATATGAAGTGAAAATAAAGATATGGGCATCAGACGAAAACTTGCCCACAGTACTGTGCATAAGAAGATTCCACAATTTTTCGACCAATCAGAGTACCATCACCATACTCTCAGGAGCAAGAGAGGGAAGCTGACAGACTAGAGAGACGCCAGGGAAAGAACCCACCAGAACCGAGCCTCAAGGCGATCAGATCTTGGCTCCGGGGCGAGCAAAAGTACTACATGGGGAAGTCTGCTGTACTTTTGCTAAGAGGTTTAGCACTAAGATCATGCGTCTGTACGGAGCCGTTCGTATCTGGACTCTATCTAGATATGATCGGTGGCGGTAATTTTTAGGGGTTCGTCCAATTCGGTAAACTTTACGAGTATACGAAGTAGTCTTTGGTACTAATTGATATTGTATTGAATGATCTTTGAGGAATTGTCTTTTAGTACTCCGTAGTTAGTTAACTACTTAACTATATGTCACGATATATGCATGGACAACTTGTTTTTATAGACCTGTGACCTGTGAGGCTATGTATTGTACCACCCTCTAGGTATCATTCTGCTGTTTGCGTGGGCTAATTATTTGTATGAAATTTCTCTGGAGTAATATTCAGATGGCTGAGCAATCGAAGTATTAAACTCCCAGCTCGTCAAGGACGCGCAAGCGGCGACTAGGTTTGTGTATTGGCTACTTGGGAAATAATGATACGCAATTCAAAAGGAGTTATTGCTCGAAGTCTAGATCCAATAACCAGATTTTCATTTAACTAGTATCAGGTAGGACGACAAGTTCTGCTCACGGTAGTTATCGTATGTTGGCCAAGCTATAAATGGGTTGAAGGTGGGATGTTGGATAATCGACAAGATACCAGGCAGGTGATCTTGAGTGATACCATTGAGCTTCAATTGGTTTCCAGTAAGACCACACGTGACTGCAATGAACTCAACATTCTGTGCCTAGACTCCT